GAAATATCGCAATTAATCAAACGTTTGATTAGTCAAAAGACAAAATGATGTGTCTTGTAAACGACCTATGACATACTATTGCTTGTGCAAAAAATACAACTTAATCCGCACCACTTTGACAAACTCGGATACGCTTTAACTCTGGGACATCACGTTCTTATAATCGTTTTGTTTTGTTGTTTTACACTGTTAGATTTTTTGCAAGAAAAACAAGCCTATCAACCGACTCTGGCTTAAGACAAGCTCTTGTGCATGTTACGATGTTTCCCCGGTACTAAATACCCTTTCAGACGGGGCACTTGTCGCTGGTATTGACAGGTACTTCTTCGCAAGCTTACTAAGTCTTGGGAAGTGGGATTCATGCTGCTTCCACCATTGAAGTGGATCTGAATCGGCATCAATTTCGGGTGCCACTAAATATGCTAACACTTCGCCCTTGAGTTTAGCCTCATATGGCTGAGTGTCAGCTTCCACAGCAGCAGTCTTTTTAAAGAAGCTGCTAAGCGATTTCTTTTTCTTTGCTACTAGCTCAACAACATTACTCTGGCTCTCAGATTTGTCTTCACCTGCAGGAGTACCTTGAACTTGAAGGCCTCTGTAATGCATAGAGCAGAGTTCTGTAATGATTCTCTCTTTTAGTTTATCAATCTGGTTTGGCTTAAGGTAAGTTGTGCGGAACCTGGGATCTAGCAGTGAGGTAAAGTCGATCAGGTCTTGTGTGGCTGGATCACTATTTTTAGTGTTCAGATAATCCAGCACATTTGCTTTGATCTGTTTTGTAAGCTCTGTATCACTTTCTTCTGGTTTTAGCAAAACTGTTGTTAAACAGATGAAGAGTTGCTTTATGAAAGAGATGCTCACGTATGTTTCACCTGAGAGAGCATCAGTGAAGTGATGTAATGGCTTAATGGCTTTATTTACAGACTCTAAAATGTCAATGTCCTGCCAAGTAGGCACTAGGTGTCTTGTTTTCTTATCTGCACCCAAGATTTGCCCAAATTGCCTTCTCCTGCTCTAGAATGCGCTCGATCATTTGCTGGCGTGACCCCCATCTTGTTGGCGATTCTGATATTAGCTGATGTTCTGGGAGGCCTAGTTCTGCTTGAACCAGTGCCATGTCCTCCGCTTCTTCCAACTAAAAGAGAAGGCACTGATGACTTTCTTGCAGACTCCTACAGTGCGTTCAATGCGATGATCCTTACAAGCATTCCCTGTAAACAAACATAATTAAGACACAATGTCAGCCACTCATTGCTCATTTCGTATAGTGTATGTAAATAAACATGTACATAATTAATGTAAAGAATACACATGTGCAGTGTTGGGTAGTAACTAAATACATGTACTTAGAATACTAATTTTGAGTAACTGTCTTGAGGTATTCTGGGCTTTGGGCATTTGCAAAGTGCTTTTTTGCATTCCTAATTAGTGGTAAATAAGTTCATAACAGGCGAGTATTCAGTGTAGCCTTTTATTAGTATTATGCAAATCAATGTGAAAGTATTCAAAGTATTCAAAACAGAGTACTCTGTTTCAGTATTCTGTAAATAAAATGTCAAAGTATTCTCCCCAACACTGCACAAATGTGCTGTTACAGTGATTACAGGCTCAGAGTAAAGTGATAGCACCATTTAAAAACATTATTTCACTTACCTATTGCATTGTGTAGCATGTGCCCAAAGCAGTTAAGGTGGGTCCACTGGTTTAACTTCAGGGCCTTTATCATATTTGTTCCACTATCTGTAGTCATGCACACCATGTTCTCCTCATCCAACTTCCACCGTGTCAACGAATCTTTGAGCCCCTGTGCAATGATCTCCCCCGTATGATCTTCTGGGAAGTAGGTGGTTTGTAAACTGCAGCTGTTGAGAGCCCAGTTCTCATCGATATAGTGCACAGTTAAACTCATGTACGGCTGAAGAGATCGACTGGACCAAAGGTCTGTAGTAGTTGCAAAAAACAAAGCGGAGTCCAACTTTTCATAGAGCGCTTGTCGTGTTTCGTTGTACAGTTTTGGTAGCGCAACCTCCGCAAAGTATTTGCGACTCGGCGGGTCATATTTTGGATCACACACTTTTAACATGTGCAGAAAGCCAGGCTTCTCTACGGTGTAAATGGGCATCATGTCCATCCCAATATGAACAGCTACAGCGTCGGTCACCTGCTTCCACCGCGCACTACACTTGTCGTACGGCACGGCTTTAGAAAATGAGGCGGCTAAAGTTTGTTGTCTTTTCCCGGCGTGGTCGTGTTTGTCTTTGCTCGTGCTACCCACGCTGCACTCCCGAAGCTGCGAGCACTGCTCCCATTCTGTGGAGTGCTTTTGCCGGAGATGCTGAAACAAGTTAGTTGTGCTGCTACTCTTGGTTTTGATAGCATTTCGGCAAACCTTGCACACGACTGTAGTCTGCTCCACGTCGGCCTTGTCAAAGCCGAACCACTTCCATATAATCGACGTAACATGAGTCCCTTTTCTGGTTACCAACTCTTCAGTTTGAGCAGCGGCCATGGCGTTTGTAAACAGTGCAGCGTGCTAGCGCGCGGAAGGAGGAAAGAGGCGGCGGAAGTCAACGCAAACGCGCAAGTCAAAAAATGCAGAAGAAGAAACTTCTTCTTCTTTTCGGTTATTGGCGGGCAGAAGAAGAAACTACCTCGATTTTACGATTTAACACATTTTCAAATCGTGGGCTTTTAAAAACATGAATTAATCGAATTAATTCGATTTATCGCCCAGCCCTACGCCCAACCCTAGTTCTGACCCGCACCAGTGTGCAACTAGCAGGCGGTAACAGAGGGGAGAGATGATGCGTGTGGATGTTACGTATCAATGAAGGGGGGGAAGTGTGTGTGTGTGTTTGTGCGCGTGCGTGTACATATGTGGCGCGTGCGGCGTGAGAGTCGGCCCGGAGTTTACTGATACATTGGCGCACACAGCTAGATATGGACCCGCCCGTCACATCGTGCAAATAGGGCTTAAAATAACGTTATGAATAGACCTCCCCTCTCTCCCTTTTCTCTTTTTTAACCGACAGCTTTGACCGGTTAACTCTGTTACGGTCAACCACCGGTTAAACGGTCACCGATTTACATCCTTAATACACACACATGTGATGCGATCTGGGAAAACGCGTCAGAGTGTCCTTTTTTTGGTTAAATTGTGTTTTCATTAAATAATACTATATAACATCTTGTCTTTCTGAAAATATCTAGGTGAAATTCACTAGTTTTATACATTAAAAATGGTGATATGTTTTGATAAACCGAACGTCAACGTTACATCCTCCGCTCTAAAAAAATTATACAACTTTGACATAGTCTGTAGGGCCAATGGGCCAATTTAAATTTTCCCTTTCATATGACCTAGACCCTGGAGTTGAACGATGGATTAAAGATTTGTGCAAATCGGACTTTGTATGTGCAAACACGAGCTAATTTGCTCTTGTAAAAAAATGGCAAAAAAGTCACATTGAGGAATTTTTCACAAAGTCTCAAAAGCAAAATCAATAGTTTCCATGGCACATGATACATCATTTTAAAAGCGTTTGAGTTTTCACACGCAACCGTCATTTTTTGGTGAGTGACAAGCACTGACGCATCCCGTCACGCACTGCACCCCTTGCATTCACCACTGTGAAAGGAAGAGGCCCTTACCCCAGTCGGGGCTCGGGCTTTATGAATAAATGTATCATGTTTGGCCGTCTACGCAACTGACATCTAAGATAAGAGATTATATTATTCGTGCCAGAGTGGGGAAGTTTCAATGACTCAGAACCTCCCTCCACAAGAACAGTTTCTTCCCTCTGCTGTTGGACTCTTGAACACTTCTTAACCTGTCCCCCCGCCCTTTATAAAGTCACTTAACTGCACATCATACGTCACTTTACTTCACTGTACTGCTGTCACCTTACATTGTGTGCACCATGTGCACTTGTATATTGTAAATATTATTATTTTTTTTATTCTTTATTTTTATGATCTCTTTCTGACTGTTGCACTGAGCCAAAGCAATTTCCAAGTCTGTGACTTCCTGTTACTTACGTGGCAATAAAAATTATTCTGATTCTGATGTTGCAGCGCACATAAAAGGACAGTAGTAAGAGCACATGTTTGACTTCAAGCGTTCGTTGTGTCATTGTCCTCCAAATAAATTAACCCTTAAAGCGCCATAGTTTTTTTTTTCTTCTAAAACACTTGAATTCGACATCTTAATTTCAAAAGGATACAACTTAAAAGTGATAAGAGATAAAGTCTGTAAATTAGAAAAATATTAAGGATGGTCCAAAGTTTATGTAGAGAATAAACCCTAATTTGCATATTATGAAGTCATATGGCGTTAGAAATTGTGGATTTCAGAATTTTCATATAATACTTTTATTTTTCTAACTGACAGACATTATCACTAGGACATGAACACACACAGAACTCAAACTGTAATAGGCTACACTCGCTTCGCTATGGTTTCCTCTGATTCAACGCGGTCTTGCTCGAATATTTTGTATGGGAGCATGTTGTTTTTTGGGGCCAGGGAGGTAGTCTGACATGTCTGCCAACTAGTGGCAGGGAGCATGAATGAATTTTGACACTCAGTTGGACACATTCAGCCGTTTTTAACAGTACCGCAGCTTGTCGACTTAAGTCGACCGTGGCGCCTAGAGGTTTAATGGAAAAAATATATATATAAAATTGTAATTGAATGAATCATGTAAAAAGTGTAGGACTGGGGGCCATCTTTTGGTTGATTGCCGCTGGCCATCGTGATCTTCTGTCTTCCTCACAAGCAGGTATCAGATAAAAAGACACATTTGGCTCATGTCTTTGCCTGTTAGTACAACTAACCACACTGCAAAATACAGTTTCGTGTGACACAGGATCTTCTTGCTGAGAGGCGAGAGTGCTAACCACTCAGCCACCGGCACGGTGCCTGAAAGCATTTCCATCCACAGCCATGAGTCATCACATACAAACATATTTTTGTTGTGGGATGTTGTCATCCCACATCGCTATTGTAGTTGGATGGGGAATTGTGGAAAGCTCAACTTCTCCCTTTTCTTTCGGAACTGAGTGGTCCCTGTGGTGGTCCATGGACACGCCTCCAGCCGGACGTCCTCCTGCTCCTTCAGTCTGCACTGCACCATGGCCCTCACCTGACCACAACAACAATCACTGTTACCACAAGCAAGGGAAAAAACAATATATTTATCCCCAGCATAAAACAATCCAGCAGTGGCAGTTTTAATCATGATTATTGACTGTTTTGAATAAAGTGATGATAACACTCATGTTTATCTCATGTTTATGCTAGAATCTAAATAAAATGTGTTTTACTCCTGTTCTGTTTGAAAGTAAAGTAATCATGAATTGTGGATAGTGTTTACAGATCTCTGTGAGTTCCGAATGTCTCGGATGGTTTTCTGCTCCTCCTCCAAGAGCCAGAGCAGGAGCTGGTGTAGCTGGGGCATTTGGAGCGGCTCGACCCGAGGATCCACCTGTAGAAAACAGCAGTTGGGGTTAGGGTAAGGGTCATCATCCCTACCATTGTTTAGTTTATCTTAGTGACACCCTTTGCAACTTCTGTTCAAAGAAAGATAATTTACCCCTCCGCTGCGGCGCCTGCAGTAACAACTCATCAGGAGACCACTCCCATCCAGCCCACCGACTGTTCCACCGGCTGCCCTCAGGACACCCCCCCGGGGGGTAAGGTTCAACTCCCTTCTTCCCCCTTCCCCTTCTCACTCCCTTGATCTCCCAAACCCTGAAACCAGCAGAAGGGCTATACAGCCCTCTACCCCCAGGCTGTCAGACTGCTCAACCCAAACACTGCCCTCCCCCCTGTGTTTCTAATCTACCTGTTAGTTATTATGCAATATGGCCTACGTGCAGGACTGTACAAGGACTCTAAACAAGGGCTCCATGTTATGACTATGTTTTGACTGTTCTTTGTGACACGTATGTCTTTCGATGTGTGACGTGACCAATGACTATATAAACTGTGTACTGCCTTTATTCTGTCTGAGGAGAAAGAAACAGAGTAAACCAGTGGAACTTGAGAGAAACTTAAATAAACTTCCCAGAGTTTGGCACCCACGATCCGTCTCTGTCTGCTAAATCCTAACAGATTTGGTGGAGAATGCGCGGCTCAGTGTGTGCCATTCTCTGGATTGTTTTGAGGGAATTTCCTCTGTTTCTTTTTTTCGGCGTGTGGGAGCAACAGCACGTTATCTGGAAGGGGGAGAAATCCCAGTGGACGCTGAAAGGGCTCGCTTTTGGATGGGCTTGCTCTTGCTCCCTCACTTTCTCTGTTTTGTGTTTAAATTGAATATTCCGACGCGGAAAAGAGGTTGGCAGACCTCTCGGACAGTCCGTGCGCACCTGTTTGACACAGAATAAGGTAAGCGGACACCTTTTTAATTCAAAGTCTGCATAATTGGAGTACTAGCTAAATTTTGGTCTGTTTTTTTGGGGTCTGCCAAATTTTGTCTCTATAGATAAGATTGTGTTGAAGAGAAGTTAGGTAAATAGAGGAAAAGGGTTTAAAGAAACCATTAAAGTGAAACCAGGTGTTTAAAAACCATGGTGTAAAAAAAAGCAATAAAAAGGGAAACGTGTTAAGGAGGCCTTTGTTACAAAAGCTTTGAAATTGACGAATTTCAGGCTGATAAATGTCAAAAGTAAAGAAGCAACAATATTTCAGTGATCACGGTTTAAATTACATACAGAAAAAGGGAGTTTTTGTTTTTGGAGTGAACAGAGTTCACCGGAGAATGCAGAGTTTTATCTAAAGTTGAGCTATGAGAGCTTTCGTGAGTTATTTACATTTTTTTACCGAGTTTTATCTACAGTTAAGCTATGAGAGGGCTGTATCCAACAGTTGTTTTTTGTTTTTTAGAAAGAGATTTTGAGTTTAAATTAGCTACCTCGATAAAATAGAAGCGTAAACGTTAAAGACAAGAGTGCCTTTTGTTACTAGTGTGGAAACTGATCATTTCTAGACTTGGATGACAAAAGTATAAAGAACAACATCAGTTATATTCGCTTAACAAAGTAATCTTGAAAGTTATTCTTCTGTATCTTTTTGCCTGTGTGTGTGCACATCTCTATCTGCTGCCGTTGTCAGGGAAACGGCCCCCTCCTTCGCTGCTCTGGCTGTGAATCTGAAGCAAAGCTACTGCTTTTAGGATTTAGGCTTTTCATAGTTTATATTCCGTTAAATTTGCTAAATTTGCCATTTGAACATTGTGTTAGACACAGTTAAACGTTTTTAAACACCATTAGGGAATAGAAGTTTTGAATTAGTATGTTTTTGAAACCCAAAGATTAGTACAAAAAGCTTTGCTTTTCTTTTTAAATCTGCTGCTTATTTTGTGAGTCCATTATTGTATCTCTGATATATTTCATAGCTGTTTGTGAGAATTTTTTCATGTATTTTTTATTTTAGTTACAAAAGCCGTTTTTCAAACATTTAAATTAGAATCTGTTAAAAGTGATTAATGATTGTAGACTTCGTCTAAAAAAGAAAGAGGGAATTAGGCTGTAAAAGTATTATATTATTAAGTTAAACTACCCAATTCACATGCAAGTGGTGACTTTTGTTTTTGTTTTGACTACACGCCTGACCTTGTTGCTCCTGCTGATGCCACAGCAGAGGAGACTGGTCTAAAATGTGCTCCAATTCATACTGACTTCATTTGAAAAATGCTGCAATTATTTTAAATTAGTAAAATATATGCTGAGATAAATGCATAGATAATTAATCACACAGTGCAAAAGTACATAATACATATTTTAAAGGTTGAAGGTTCAAGAGATTTGAGTCTTGTTTTTTATTAAGAAAGAGTTTCTGGTCTTCAAATGTCATCATTAGTAAGATAATAAGTAATCTTTATTTACATAGCGCTTGGGAAAACCCAGAGCGCTTCAAAATTGTTTTGACTTTAGGGAGAAAAACAATCTCATTCACAATCTCTGTTGTTTTTAATTTGACTATAAGGTTGTTTTCCAGAACCAAGAGCACACACTGTACAGGGTCACTGGACTGCTGGACACTGGACAGCGCAAAGCCCACCCAGCCACAGGTCACAGAGCTAAGAGCAAAGGGAAATGCCACCTCCTTGCCCCTCCCCCCACTACAGAAGTAAGTGGGAGTGAGACCGGGGCCATGAAAGAGAGGTATCTGGAGACGTGATGGGTGGAGCATCAGGGAGAGACCTGAATGAGAGTTGAGAGTGTGTCCAGTTGGTTTACATCACCACAGTGTGACCTTTGACACCTACGGGTGGTTCGAGGAGTCTGGAGAACAACCCCAAAATTCACATACACACACACACACATACACACACATACACACATACACTCACACATTCACATTTACATATAGATACATGAAAAAGCAGAACATGAGAAAAAAGCATTTTAAAAGTTTACTCCAATGTAAACACATATTTTTAATTGTCTATCACTTGAATCTTTAGTTGAATCAGTATTTTTTGAGACCAGAAATGTTCATTTGAATTCTATATTGTCATGGACATAATTGACCTCTGTCCTGACACTTTTGATTTGTTGATTTTGTACTGTGTGAAGTAATTACATTGATTAGAATTAGATCTGATAAAAACACAAATTAGAGAAGTAAACTGAATCATTGCGCTTGCTTTTTGTCTGAGGGACATTAGCAACAGCATGAATAGAAATTGTCTTTAAAGTAGAATCAAAGTGACTTAACCATAGAGAGTAACTATTGCATAACAAGCTGTGTACAGGAACTGAGACACTGCACCATTGACCAGAAGTGCATCGCAAATGACCTGATGTGCTTCAAGTGAAAAGACTGTATCTGGAGATCCTGATGTGCATCTGGAGTGACCAAAACCATGGCTTGGACCCTACTGATGTCCAAGATGACATCTCTATATGACCTGACCTGATGACGACTGAGACTCACCCTCAGGGGACCTGAGGACCTGAGGACCCGAGGATCTGAGAGAGAAAAAACTGGGGAGTGATGTTTATATTTTTGAAATCATACATTGATGAGTGCTAAATGAGAGAGATACTCATGATTCTTTCTTTTGTTTTTGTTTGTCCCTAGCTTCTGGACATCTGATGATCTATTGGACACAGCGATTTGCAGAACAAGAACCAGCCAATGAAAACGTCTATTGCCGATGCTATTGCTACAACCAGAAACTGTGACAAATGCAATATACATGTTAAGTATTCAGACATCTGACAGACAAAAACTTTGAAAATGATAAAGTATAAGTATTGTAGCGTTTTAGTAGATGTCAAATAGTAGTAAAAGAGTAGAATTTGACTTCCTTTGTTTTTCATAAACATATTTCCACGTAAGAGTTAAAATAGTACAATACAATGTTATCTCTGATAGAGCAGCTATAATATTAGAATCAGAGTTATGTTACAGCTATTAAAAGTGACAGAAGTCACAAACTAGAAATATGCCTTGGCTCTAGCTGCAACCAAGCTTTGGAGTTAAAAAATAGAGTAAAAATAGAAATAGATAAATGCATCAACCATAGATGCTTTCAAAAATAGAGAATATTCTTAGCCAGTGCTAATATCAAATGGTAAAGGGACCATTTCACAAGCATTTACTTCAAAAGTAGATAAAGTTACTTACAGTTTTATGTACAGTTTTATTAGATACTTGCCAAATTCACTTGTGTTCACACATGAGTGAATGTTGACAATGCAAAAGTCCATATGAGTGTAGTCTAGATTAATGCCTAGATTAATGAGATAGATTACAACCAACAGAGATTCAAAAGCATTTAAAAGCATTTTGATGTATTTGTGTATAGCACAAAAACACAATAGTAGATATTTAGATATTGAGAAGTTTCCAGCACAAACACCATTGTAGAATAACTGACCCCAACCCCAAACCTGCTAAAATAGATTAGCTCTTGTAAGGATAATACTAATTTGATTAAAGATGTACATTCATCCCAAACTGCCTGACAATAATATCTTTAGATAATAAAAAGTAATAAATCACTGACCACTATAGAAGTGTAAATGTTGACCATTTGCCTTACTGTGTTCACAGTTTTATTCCTGAGAATGAGAATAGACATGGAGCAAAATCCCACTAACAATAAGCCACTGATAATGAGAGTATAATACCACAGAGAGATTTGTTAGATTAAAATGTATGTTTAAGAATATGGCTCAATAGAAGCAAATATGCAAACATATTTGTAAATAGATTAGAATAGTTTTAAACTATAGTGAATAGTAAAAGTAAAGTACACAATCTAAGATTAAATAGTGAAAATACAGTGAAGTGAAGAACAATTATCATTAGAATAAAAGTATAAAGTAAGAAAAGTGAAATTAGCTTCAAATTTGAGACTCAGCTCGTTTTTGTCTGTGTTTTGACTGAATCTGCTGAGTTCTTGTGTGTCCAATAGTTTTTGTTTGTTTTTATTTTTGTTTGTTTTTATTTTTGATTTGTTTTTTGTTTGTTTATTTACTTTATTTGTGTTTTTTATTTTTTCCCAGGATAGAGGATAAAATCCACTGATATTGATTTGATGATTATGAGTTTAATGCATACATTTTCTTTGTTTTTAATAATTTTTTGAAGTTTTTTTTGGATTTTTTTTTTTTTTTTCTTTTTCCATTTTATTGATTGATCGATTTGAGTGATCACATGTGATTATGTGATCAAAGGGGAGGGTGTTAGTATTAGATAGCAATATGGCCTAATGCAGGACTGTACAAGGACTCTACAAGGACTCCATGTTATGACTATGATTTGACTGTCTCTTTGTGACACGTATGTCTTTCGATGTGTGACGTGACAATGACTATATAAACTGTGTACTGCCTTTATTCTGTCTGAGGGAAAGAAACAGAGTAAACCAGTGGAACTTGAGAGAACCTTAAATAAACTTCCAGAGTTTGGCACACCACGATCCGTCTCTCTCTGCTAAATCCTAACATACCTCATAGGCCTGTGCTGTTTACATCCTGCCAACTTTCAAAGTACTATATGTTGACGCTGAACATTTAATCTTGTTGTTTTTGTGACAATGAAAATAAATGATTGAATCTTTAACTGAATCTTAAAATAAAGACATACCATATTTATGAAAAAAATGAGAAAAGAGACCTGGAATGTGGAGACCATGTCCTTGGTGAAGTCCCCAGCCTTCTGTGTCTTGGTGGACTCTGCAGGTTTGTCAAAGGTCCTCTTGGCTGCGATGAAGGTGTTCTCTTCCAGGTGGTAGGTCACCTCCACGCGCCTTTCAGCCAAATGGAACGCAAGCTCAGCTATGTCCTCACTCGCAGGTTTGGACACATCTCGGTCAAACTTTTCCACCACTTTCTATGGACACAACATTTGAGAACAAAGATTCGTGAGCCCTTTTAACGTTATTACAGCGATATTAATGGGACAAAGTGGCCAATTGTTACAAACACCAAATATTGTTTAGTCGGCTCTATGGGGGTTCTCACACTTTGAAAATATTTTGCACAGGATCAATCCTTTATAATTACAATCCTATAGAATCAATCATGTACAATGCTACATTTTAAATCAAATCAATTAATCTATACCAACAAATCATCCCATAAGAAATAAAACAACTGAGTGAACAGATTAACCCATGTTCCCAGGTATTAAAGAAATGGATAATGTACCAGTCTAGATCCTCCCGTGCCCTTAGAGTAGACCCTCCTTCCTAAAACCCTCAACAACAAAAAAACAGTGGGGGAAAAAAAAATTGAGAGGGAAGACGGACAAGTTTCAAGTATTTTGGTAATGATCAATGTTAGCATTTTTTTGGCTCTAACCTCACGGTTCTCGCAAAACGGCTAAAACTGTGTCATATTTGCCAGAACCAAATGCTGCAACTGGCGCGGTGCTGAGAGGACTGGGCGGCAGTCGAAGGCGGAGACCTCGGCGACCCAGTCCGCACACACAACATCTGGCTCTTGGGACGTGGAACGTCACCTCACTGGGGGGGAAGGAGCCCGAGCTCGTGGGGGAGGTTGAGCGATACCGACTAGAGATAGTCGGCCTCACCTCCACACACAGCTTGGGCTCTGGAACCCAACTCCTTGAGAGGGGTTGGACGCTCCACTTTTCTGGAGTTTCCTGCGGGGAGAGGCGGCGAGCTGGGGTGGCCATTCTCATTGCCCCCCATCTCAGCCGCCATGTGTTGGAGTTCTCCCCGGTGAATGAGAGGGTCGCGTCCCTCCGCCTCCGGGTGGGGGACAAGTCTCTCATTGTTGTGACGGCCTACGGGCCTAACAGCAGTGCAGAGTACCCGGCCTTCTTGGAGTCCTTGGGAGGGGTACTGGACGGTGCACCGCCCGGGGACTCCGTTATTCTCCTGGGGGACTTCAACGCCCATGTGGGAGTCGCCAGTGACACTTGGAGAGGGGTGATCGGAAAGAACGGCCCCCCTGATTTGAACCCGAGCGGTGTTCAGTTGTTGGACTTCTGTGCCAGTCACAGTTTGTCCATCACGAACACCATGTTCGAGCACAAGGGTGTCCACCAGTGCACGTGGCACCAGGACACCCTAGGTCGGAGGTCGATGATCGACTTTGTTGTCGTATCATCTGACCTTCGACCGCGTGTCTCGGACACTCGGGTAAAGAGAGGGGCGGAGCTGTCAACCGATCATCACCTGGTCGTGAGTTGGATCCGCTGGCAGGGGAAGAAGCCGGTCAGACCTGGCAGACCCAAGCGTATAGTGAGGGTCTGCTGGGAACGTCTCGCTGAGCCCCCTGTCAGACGGACTTTCAACTCGCACCTCCGGGAGAGTTTCTCCCAGGTCCCGGCGGAGGAGGGGGACATGGAGTCCGAGTGGACCATGTTCTCTGCCTCAATCGCCGATGCGGCGGCTCGTAGCTGTGGTCGCAAGGTCTCTGGTGCTGGTCCCGGCGGCAACCCCCGAACCCGGTGGTGGACACCGGCAGTAAGGGATGCTGTCAGGCTGAAGAAGGAGTCCTATCGAGCCATGATGGTTCGGGTGACTCCTGAGGCAGCTGTCCAGTACCGGCAGGCCAAGCGTGCCGCGGCCCGGGCTGTTGCAGAGGCAAAAACCCGGGACTGGGAGGAGTTCGGAGAGTCCATGGAGCATGACTATCGGTCGGCCTTGAAGAGATTCTGGCAAACCATCCGGCGCCTCAGGAGGGGGAAGCAGTTCTTTGCCAACACCATGTACGGTGCGGGTGGAGAGCTGCTGACCTCGACTGGGGATATTGTCGGGCGGTGGAAGGAATACTTTGAGGTTCTCCTCAATCCCCCCGTCACGTCCTCTGTTACAGAGGCAGAGGCTGAGGATGTTGGGGCGGATACATCCATCTCCCTGGCTGAGGTCACCAAGGTGGTTGGTAGCCTCCATGGTGGCAAGGCTCCGGGTGTGGATGAGATCCGCCCTGATTATCTGAAGTCTCTGGATGTTGTAGGACTGTCTTGGCTGACACGTCTCTGCAACATCGCGTGGCGATCCGGGGCAGTGCCAATGGAGTGGCAGACCGGGGTGGTGGTCCCTCTCTACAAGAAGGGGGACCGGAGGGTGTGTTCCAATTATCGTGGGATCACACTCCTCAGCCTCCCCGGTAAGGTCTACTCCAGGGTACTGGAGAGGAGGTTACGGCCGATGATCGAATCTCGGATCCAGGAGGAGCAGTGTGGTTTTCGTCCCGGTCGCGGAACACTGGACCAGCTCTATACTCTCCATCGGATACTCGAGGGTTCATGGGAGTTCGCCCAACCTGTCCACATGTGTTTTGTGGATTTGGAGAAGGCGTTCGACTGTGTTCCCCGGGGTGTCCTTTGGGGGGTTCTCCGGGAGTACGGGGTCGGGGGTCCTCTGCTGAGGGCCATCCGATCCCTGTATGACCGGAGCCAGAGCTGTGTTCGCATTGCCGGCAGTAAGTCAGACCTGTTCCCGGTGAATGTTGGCCTCCGACAGGGCTGCCCTTTGTCACCGGTTCTGTTCACTGTATTTATGGACAGAATATCTAGGCGCAGCCAGGGGTCGGAGGGGGTCCGGTTCGGAGACCACAGGATTTCATCACTGCTGTTTGCGGACGATGTTGTCCTGTTGGCTCCAACGAACCAGGACCTGCAACATGCACTGGGGCGGTTTGCAGCCGAGTGTGAAGCGGCTGGGATGAGAATCAGCACCTCCAAATCCGAGGCCATGGTGCTCGACCGGAAAAAGGTGCCTTGCCCTCTTCAGGTGGGTGGAGAGGTCCTTCCTCAAGTGGAGGAGTTCAAGTATCTCGGGGTCTTGTTCACGAGTGAGGGAAGAATGGAGCGTGAGATTGACAGGCGGATCGGTGCAGCGTGCGCAGTGATGCGGTCGCTGTATCGGACCGTTGTGGTAAAGAGGGAGCTGAGCCGAAAGGCAAAGCTCTCAATTTACCGGTCAATCTTCGTTCCCTCCCTCACCTATGGTCATGAGCTTTGGGTAATGACCGAAAGAACGAGATCGCGGATACAAGCGGTCGAAATGAGCTTCCTCCGCAGAGTGGCTGGGCGCTCCCTTAGAGATAGGGTGAGGAGCTCAGTCACACGGGAGGAGCTCGGAGTAGAGCCGCTGCTTCTCCACGTCGAGAGGAACCAGTTGAGGTGGCTCGGGCATCTGTTCCGGATGCCTCCTGGACGCCTCCCTGGGGAGGTGTTCCGGGCAAGGCCCCGCGGAAGACCTAGGACACGCTGGAGGGACTATGTCTCTCAGCTGGCCTGGGAACGCCTTGGGGTCCCCCCGGACGAGCTGGAGGAATGTGGATAGGGAAGTCTGGGCGTCTCTGCTTAGACTGCTGCCCCCGCGACCCGACAGCGGATAAAGCGGAAGAAAATGGATGGATGGATGGAAATGCTGCAACTGTGGACAGTGTGGAACCCACTGTGACAATAAGTCAAAATGTTAAGGGAAGACAGAGTTGATATTCCAGATTGGTTTAACTTCTATTTAACATGATTGAACACATTTCTACCACTGCCCTGAAAACAGACGAAAAAAATGAAGAAATTCTTTTATGGAAATTTTATGGAATGATTTAATGGTCTATAAATGTGTTATATGCGGACGTTGGAACTCAAATAAAAACTTGTGTATTCCAAATTTAAAAAAGGCTATTTGTGTGATGACTTTTGGTTGAATGAGAGAGAGATATTAGGATGACAATGCAGTGAAAGCATGGCTCACATTCCCTGATGAAAAGTGTGGTCACATAGAGATCGTGTGTTGTACCAAAATGGGCCGCTGTTCTACCCAGTTGTCCGCGTTACTGGACCTCGTTCCATCAAACACAGTGTGGCGTTGATACAGGAAGTCTCTGCGCTTTTTGAAGGTCTCAATCATATGGTTTCCCCGCTCCAGTCTGTGCACCAGCCGGTCTATACGGTACGGCCCGAAACACATCTCTCTCTCTGGAATCACACCGGGGTCAGGGGGGACTGGGCAGGCATCAGGAAGCCATGTGTTGAACCTGTGGACTGGAGAGCAAGAAAGGTCATTCAAGTTTAATTTAGTCATTTAAATAGAATGATAATATTTTGTCAGGATTATTCAGTCCCATTTAAATATTTGTTTTCAAAGTGCGGTGCTTTTGAGCTTTTATTTTAACCCAGTTCAGAAGAAGCTCTCTCATTAGACAATTTTCTCGTGGAGATTCTGCTTGCTTTTTGGATGCTATTTCTTTGGATGATATTTCACAAGATGGCATGATATAAATAAAGTAGCAATATGTAAGATTTTCATGTCAAATCATCATTAAATGGCCATACTATGTCAAAAGGCGTTACTAAAACATGCTCTTTTCGAATGCTTCTTTAACTGATAAAAGTAGTTCAGCCTGAATATTTGGATTTCAAAATTAATTTACACAGCTCCTAAATCTTGTTATTGTTATCAATTCGATGTCCCGCCCTCCACTGTTTCACCAATCAGAAAGTCTGTGATCCGGGTTGCCAGAACTAACTGTCTTGAGCTAATCTCACAAATAAAGTAACATGTGGCCACAGAACTTTAAAAAGGCTGTTGTGATTCTCAAATTATTAACGACAGAACAAAGAACAAAACCAGGATTTCTAGTTGTGAAAAAGGTGTTGGTTATAGATTTGCTGTTGACAAAACTCTTTTTAGCTATTATGATCCAGCTGGATTCTTTTGCATATCTGGCAACCCAAGTCAGGGCGAGTTGGAGAGGTTGCAGTCCCACTTTTGGCCAGATTTTTACATACTGCTCCTTTGATTTCAACAATTTTTTTCAATAGCAAAACATCTGTTATTGCTCAAATATACCTGTATTCTTTCTTTTTCAGAAATGTAACTAGTAACTTGGCACAATCCAATATGGCAGCAGCATTAAAGGTGGGGTACGTAATTTAAAAATGTACTTAAACAAATCCATCTAACACCCTTCACTCTCAGTCACTAGAATTCACATATTAGTGCATGTATTTTTGGCTTCTGAACGATTTTTAGATCAGTTTGACCAGACAAAACTAGTCAAATTGTAGGGCTTTTTCTTAGTTGCATTCAAAAGATAAAATATTTGTTACTAAGTTGAAAACAGTATGGAATGGTCTGATGGTACTTCTACAAGACTGTTGAACGTTTCTGTTGCAGCAGACAATACAGTATTTATAATGGTGTAAAAAATAAGGTGCCCCAGATTTAAAAGCCAAAGTTCATTTCCCCAAAGTCGCTGAACTAGACTGTTTAAACTAAGAAAGCTTTGTGTTTCTGCTCCTATACTCGATAGTGACAGTGTCTTCATGTTTGTGTGACTGTAATTGTGGCATACAGGTGAGAAAACCAGAGCGACCCAGTTTGAAACGCTCTGTGGTGATGCCCTCTCGAGTCTCTGTCTCCATCAGCAGGTCCACTCGGTTCTGAAACCACTCCTTCACGGTCTGGACCTGTGTCTCTGGACGTCACACAGACAAGTATGTTATACAAAGAGAGTGCGTGTGCAACAGAGCTAACGGGTCGTGCATACTCTTAGGGTCCTGGTACAGCGTGAGGCGGGTCACCACTCCGTCCGGGCAGAAGAAGGGGATGAAGTTCTCTAGCATAGCCTGTTTGAAGTGAGTCACTTTGAATCCTCCTGGCCAGCGCATCTCTAGGTCTGAAACAGCAGATAACAAATAAGCTGTGCTTGAGGATATCGATTGTGGTAGTAGTAAAAACACTTATTAAATCACACTGAACACGACAGATTTTTATAAAGGTATTATTTATTCAATGCTAAATAACAACATTCTTGCATGTATTTCAATTATATGTATGAGGTGGGAGTCTACAAGCTTTTACATCCTTCCCACAACACATTGATAGTATAGTTATGTTTATATATTTGCATGTAAAAGTATATATTGTAAACACAAAAGGCAACATGTAAAAAGTCCTGTAAACTAAGGAATGTAAATATTGTGAATACTTATGATTGTAAAATTTCTGCTCAAATGAATAAAATCAATCAATCAACATGTGTAGCCCATCTGAAAAATAATCTTGTTGTGTATTTTAATAATTCCAGTCAAAATTATTCCAATCATGTAACTCATTTGCACTAGTAGTAGTTGTAGTATTACTAAATCCAAGTATTTATGAATGGGGAGCCAGACTACAAATGTAGGTCAACCACGCCCACTTCCGCAGAGTGAGTGTAGACAGGTGTTTCTGCGAGTTGCAACCGGACTATTTCTTGGTTTGGTCGTTTAAAGAGTGCAACACAGTCTAAACAACAGATTAAGAGCAGTACCTCTGTCAGTGATCTGGATCTTGGTGCACCAGGACAGGGGCATGTCGTAGCTATACAGAGGGACTGTATCCTGCAAGAACACAGGACACAGCCAACATATTAATATCCACATTACATATCATATCATATACCGTACAATATATACGATATATACAGTATGTTGTTGATGCATGGAGGAAGATTTTTATGGATTTAATTGTATCTTAAAAGCTATCTATTCACCTGCTGAATGTACTGTAGTATCAAATGACAAATAACTAAATCCAATCTAATACAATCCAAAAGAGTTTATTTGTGGATGGATATCATTTTATCTAATTGAGTTAAAGCATGAGTCTTGTCATTATTGTCAAATGCAAACCTTGTCTGGCTGGCTCATCTTTGTCATGACCTGTCTTCTGACGGCCTCAGTCTGCAGCTGCTTCCAAGAGGTAGTGCCTGGAACCACAGTTTGCCACTGGCTCTGATCCTCCGGGTCCCAAACCATGTGCTGTATGAAGAAAAGTCTTATCATCACATGGGTTTAGTTGATATTCTGTTGAGTCTATAATGGAGTCTAATAACTAATGGGTAATATCGGCCTTGAGAGTCTGAAAATCATGTATGCATTCAAATTTGTTTATAATTTTTACATCACTGACCAGGTCCATAACCTCAGTTTGGATGAATATATACAAATTACTGTAGTTCCAGGCCCTATAACTCTCCAAAGTTTGGCCAACTGAGAAATAATGGCCGAAGAGGTCGAAGACATGCAGTCTGTGAGTTTGATAAGCCAATCGAGGACAGCGGACGTGTCTCTTGCGACAACAGCATGACCCTTCTGTGGATGTCTGCACCAGCAACATCTTATGGTATGGCAACATGTCATGGTATGGCAACAATAAACCATGCTGGAGTGGTCAGCGTTTGTTGTAAGGCCCCAAAGAGGTGAGAGTGATGAGTGATTGACTGTGAGGAGGTCGCCAAAAGGATATTGATCAGGCTGCCAAGAAACAACATGAGTAGGAACAAACAAAAGTGTGGTCATCCATGTAGGCATGTGTAGCTGAAGGGAAAATATAGCAAGCTCCTCCCTCATAACGTATATACAAAAATTACAATGAAGTGTATGAAGGATACGGTTGGGACATGTTCTAAGACATTTGTTGCCACCCTGATCCTTAGATTCATATTTATCAAAATAAATGAAATAGATAAAAATAGAAAAAAATTAATTGATGCCCTAGAGTGATTGATCTTCTCAATACCTGGAATCCTTTAGCCCAGATCTCCATGTTGATGTACACATTGAACTCATTCCACACGCTCTCCACTCCCAGGAAGTCAGGGTGTCCCGCTGGGAATTGCTTTCCACTCAAAGGATCGATGAAGAAATCCCTCTCTACACTGTGACTGCCCGCCACCACCAGCACCCAGAAGTGAACTCTCAACCCCCACAGTGGGTCAGGGGGTGGAGCAGGATCAGGCTCCTGCAACACAGCATCTGTGTAATAGGCAACCAATGTATATTATGTTTCCAGCTGGGTTTAATACATTTAGAATACATTTTGCCTACACTTCTACATTTGTCAGTATGCTGGTTATAATAATACTGTTTAAGTCAAAAAGGCATGTTGGTTAACGTTTGACTGAATAATCCACCTGAAGAACGTGACCAGAGCAGACGAAAGGTATAGTTACACTGCGTGGCTCTTCATGCTGCTGCTGCTGTTCCAGTTTCTTGTTTTCTTGTTTTAGAATAAAATCACTGTGGAGTTTCATCTCCATCTTCAGGTTGTATGTGTCCCCATTGTCCACAAGATTCTTATCAGGGTCCCGAGGCTCCGGGACATGTTTCTGTGGATGAACACAATAAACACATGGAGCACAACACAGATGTTTGGACATAAACATCTGGATCTCCACCATTTCAACTGCTTATATCATTTTTGGATCAATTACTGATGTAACTTTATTATGTTGCTTTGTGTTTTTGCATTGGAAGCTCTTTTAGTCCTGTCACTAACAGAAGACCACTTTATGGCTGTATCAGAAATGGATGATAAAATAATGATGTTATACTTCAAACAATAATTAGTCATAAATGCAATAGATGTATTTCAATAGCCACAGATTTTGCATGCTTTTTGAGCTGATATACAAATAAAATTCTGTTCACACTTGGTCAAGTTAACCCTGATTCACTTGGGGCTTAATTCGTGGAGATGTGAAAGCAAACAACAAATCAGCCATTGTACTTTTTAAAACCAGATCTGGGATGTTATGTGAAGTGAGCTGAGTCCAGGCGATCAATAAGTGTGAACATGTACTTGGTTTTCCAAAACATATCCAAAGATCGAATCAGAGCCAATGAAAGAGGTCACTTGTACCTGGTTTAGTTGCCCCAGCATGGGGCAGCTCTCCTGGCTCCTGTCCAGTTCACACAGATGTTTGGAGGCATAGCCGCTCACGCAGTAGGCGTTGTAGTTGAGTCCCAGCAACAGACTGCACAAGACATTGGCATACTCCAGACTGGTGCCTCTCTGGCTGTTCAAGACCGTCTGAGGAGAGCGCAGGGTGCTGGGCTGGAGGGGACATTCAACAAATATCATATTCATTTTTGTACCTTACCTTACCTTAGTTCTATGAGTAAATGTTGCTAACGTTGTCAATTCACCAAGAAACAAACAGATCCTACATATTTACTGATCATTTCCTTTTCGGACCACAGTGTAAAGAATGAATATGGTTAATTAACTTTGTACTTCTGTATCATACATTTTACAGACAGCAAATATTCCAAAAATTAGAAATATTATACAACCAATTTAGGCCAACAATTGTCCCAAGTTAGAATCAGGTGGCAGAATTTTGGAGTGGGCGGCAGCAGAATTGTTCTGTAATATTAATTTACCCAGAGCCAACATCAAAAAATGTTTTTAATGTTGGACCGAATTGAAAGCGTCTTATTATTTTAGACCTTAAACAATTGTGCTGGAACTATTTTCACTGATTTAAATGCTTTTGTTATTTTGTGACGTCATGAAACAGAGTTCTAAACTGTCACCAGCTCTGTGGGCTCGTCCAGCGGCTGCAGGGTCAAGAAGTCTGAAACAAAGCGAGCACAGTCCTGCCACACGATGAGGTCGGCCAGCCCAGGCATGGTGGGGCGCAGCGTCGTGGTCACCAACTTCTGTAGGAAAAAAGGATTATTCAAACTTTATTATTAAAAGTTTATTCAAACTGTATTTTTTTCCTGAACTTATTTTAGGAATTCAGCTTCTAATATTGATTGTGAGGACTTTTCTATTTCCCCACCAAAATCATTTACAATCAATTAAATCATTTTGTGAGCAGTTTAAAGCAAGGAAGGTGAGTACTGCAGAGGGTACGAGCAGTAGAAGGCTTAACAAACCGGTGCTCTTCAAAGACAGGGCAATCTAATATGACAAAAAAGAAGGAAGTCTGTGGCACTTAAGTGAAAAACTGTAAAAGTCCATTTTATGAGTAGTTCTAATTTCAAATGGCAGTGAATACAAGCAAGTTCAGTAATACAGGAATTGTTTAGCTGTTCAGAACTCAGTCCCTGTATACATTTAAAATAATGGACTAAATTCTGCAGACATCAGACAATGACAATAACCAAAATAGAGTGTACACAAAGTGATAGGTATTGAAATGACTGTGCATGACTCTGTGGTCCTACTTTGACACCGCACTCGTTTCTGGGGCAGAGCAGCAGAGGTTTCCTGTCGGGGTAGACCAGTCTGAAGTGTCTCTGGAAGCTCTGTGCGATGAACAGCACGTGCTCCTCCTCTGCACTGTTCTCTGAGTACGACCTGGGGAACTCTGCCTGAGCCTCCACACACAACCTGCAAGAGGAAAATGTACTTTCAGACAACAAGTGAAACAGTTTTACATTGCCCAGGCCCATAGTTGATTCTATATAACACCTTCTACATTCTGGAGTGGTATTATAGAGAAAACAATTCCTATAATAACATTTTATATCAGTTCATATCAGTACTTAATTTTCCTATCATTTAAAGCCTATCACATTTATTCATTTATTGCAATTATATGGCATGGCCCCAATACTTGAATATAATTACATAACTATTAATTATTATATAAACTCACCTGTCCTGAAGGTCCTGCTCATCTCCAGATGTCCCATGCATCTGTATAAACACACAGCCGTGTTAGGCCCATAATATATTTCTATTGATACAGATTGAGCATTTAAAGACTGCTCTCCATCTGCATGTGTGAAATTGAACCACTAATGTAGATAGTGGTAACTGTTATTCCTGGAGTAGATTGGTCCAAGACGTGACTGTATTCGATTCAACACAAACAGCTTCTTTTCTTATCAATGTATCATTTATGAAACAGGGTATCCAGGTTTAGTCAAGTAAAATTGATGAACTTTTTAGATGTTTTAATGTCACAAAATAAAATGTTATGGCACAAATGTATAAATGTAAAAGTAAACTTATCTCACTTGCAAAAGCATTTATTTTTGTCTTAATTTGGAAAACAAACCACTTACACGGATTGATCTGTATTATTGATCCTTCCTTCTTACCGTAGTGTTTCTTGTTCCCGTTGAGTGAGAATTGATCACATCAGCAGATCTCATCAACGGCTCCCGTTTACAACCGTTGCTAAGGAAACCACGCAACAGTCGTATAACCCCACCCCCACCCCTTCTCTCTAATAATTATTACGTAAACTTCTAGTTATATATTAGCCAATGATCCTACAGATGCATATGCTCTACGTTTGTGTTTTTGCATTCGGTTCTAGATGTATTGAATACCATTGATTGATCCGTGGCGTACGTGCGGCCTGGCTTCCCATGCCTGGCGTGAGCAAACGGGGCATGGCTGTGGGCGGAGCCAACAGGACGCGTCATCACGGACCTGAGACTGGAGGGTCGCTGTGGAGGAGGCGCACGGAGCATGTTGGGATCTGTTTAGTTTCCCACTTTCACAGGGAGGAGTCAAGCCGCTGGGAAGTGACAGTTTCGGCTTCGTTTGAGTAACAAGCTGCAATCGAGGAAGCAACCCTTGGACTAAATCAACACTTTCCCGAAGAGAAGTCATTCTTGTGTAACTAGTTACTTGTTTTTTTTGCGCACCGTGTAACAATGAAGCGGCTAGACTCAGTAGACTTGGAGAAGCTGAAGATGACTGGAGCAGGGCGAGCCATGGCGGTGCTGACCAGCGGGGGAGATGCACAAGGTAGCATCTATGTTCTATTGTTTAATGTTTTTACTTTTATAATGTGTGTCAGCTCTACGCTAATTCCAAGCTGGATCAGTGACGCGCATTAAGGCTTCTGCACGATCCCAGGTCCATAACTCAACACTAGAGGGCAATATGCAGAATCCATCCATCCATCCATTTTCTACCCTTTAATCCATTTCTGGGTCAGGGGGGTGGCAGTCAGAGATGCCACCCAAGTCTCATAGCACCAGCCCCTCACTGACCCTCTGCAGGTGGTGAGTCCACAGGAGGACGGCTGCTCTCTGACTGTGAGCATAGCCTTGATCTTTCAGTGGGGGCTTTGGGCAAAGTGGGGTTAAGTGTCTTGCCCAAGGACACAACAACAGCAGTCATCAGTGGGAGTCGGTGGAGAAGGTGTAGAGGTGGGAATTGAACCCACGAATTGTTTAATCTAATTAATATGGTTTGCAAAATAGTATATTATCCGTAACACTGTATTCCACTATTGTGCGCCTCTTAGGTATTATTTGGTTTAAAGAATAATATAAACGAAAGAAAGTAACATAAAAAGGCCGCATTGCAAGGTTTTAAATGTGGTCTTGCCCTAAGGATTCATCACATTCCCATTGATGATGTTATTCCAATGTTGTACACAATACATTATTTGAACAAAACCATATTACATGTTGTTCACCAACCTATTTTGTTACAATTTACTAAAATACTGTATATAAACCAACCATTGCAGTGGACTTTATTACATTACAAAGTCAATTTGTGTATGCTGTTCTAAGGAATGAATGCTGCCGTGCGGGCTGTCACCAGAATGGGAATCTATGTAGGGGCCAAGGTCTATCTAATTCATGAGGTGAGTTTGCATCATGTTGCTTTATTGCCCTTGTTGTGCAAACAGCCTTATTATGACTGCACACAAACCTGTTACTTGTTGATAGGGGTACCAGGGTCTGGTGGATGGAGGGGATAACATCACACTCGCTCACTGGCACAGTGTGACCAATATCATTCAATTAGTAAGTGGACACCACAATGATCATAATATTTCCCTTGTAATAATAACGGCCACTATTCTTTATTGTGATATTTGTTGTTCTTCTATACTACTATGATATTCTTTTTTCTCTCACTTCAAACTATCCACTTGTCTAGAAGTGAATTTTATGTGGTAAGGGGTCTTCAGATTGTTACAATTGTTTAACACCTGCTTCAGGTGCATGCTCTAACCTGCTACCCAGCCATTATACCTGTGTTTTTTTTTAATGTACTTTAGTTTGAAAAAGAAAAAAGAAAATCACAATCGTTACTGCTCAATCCACACTTAACAAGTTGCTGAAGAAGTTTTGTTTTCGGTGTGTTGAGAATATGTAATCAGATTTTTGTCCCATTATGGCTGTCTGCATGTTTGACATTGGTCAATATTGACAAAGCAAAGAAAAGCCTGTATGCAACTTAATGTTAATTTGCTATCAGACATGCTCACATATGTGTGCACATCGCAGGGTGGAACTGTGATAGGTAGTGCCAGATGCAAAGCCTTCACGACCCACGAGGGGAGACTTTCAGCTGCTTTCAACTTGGTCCAAAGAGGCATCGCCAACCTGTGTGTGTGTGGAGGAGATGGCAGTCTCACTGGGGCTAATATTTTCCGCAGTGAGTGGAGCAGCTTGCTCCAGGAGCTGGTTGAGAAAGGTAAAATTATGTTTTCAATTAAATATTGTAATGAAGTTAATAAATTGCAAAGGATACATTTTTGGTGATGTTTCTAGGGAGAATTGCAGAAACGGTGGCCCAACAGTATAGTTATCTTAACATTGTGGGGCTGGTGGGCTCTATTGACAATGACTTCTGTGGCACTGACATGACCATTGGAGCTGACTCTGCACTGCACCGCATCATGGAGATAGTTGATGCTATAATGACCACAGCTCAAAGGTAAGTCAGAAATTAGTAAAACATTATAATAACACAGTAAACACGGCACGCTATTTTTTCTTTCATTACATTGTTGGCCAAGAAATGTGCATGTATTTTAGATTCTAATCCTCAAAATGTTGAATACAGTTGATTACTCAAATTAATATTTTTCTTAGTTTTTTAGTTGGTCTTTTGCTTGATCTTCCAAATTTAGAAGAATAGAAGAAAAAAAGAATAGAATTTCCAAATAAGCCATTGTCAAGTAATACATTGTGTATCTTTTTATGAATGTAACACTACTCGTTTTCTGCTGAAGCCACCAGCGTACCTTTGTTCTGGAGGTCATGGGACGCCACTGTGGGTGAGTTTCGCATCTATAGCTCAACAAATGGAAAATCTTGATTTTAATATGAGTTTTTCCACATTAGGTATTTGGGTTTAGTGTCAGCGCTGGCATCAGGAGCGGACTGGCTGTTCATACCAGAGGTCCCTCCTCAAGAGGGATGGGAGGACCGTATGTGTGCTCGGCTGGAGGCAGTGAGTCCAATACCGTATACAGTATACAGCTTGTCCAAAGATGCAGGTCTCCACTGACCTATAGAGCTATCGTCAAAGCAGGGAAGTCCTGCTTCAAGGCACAGCTCACTTCTGCAAATGGTCAGCCATTGGAACAATATAATGAGCTGGATGATAAAATACATACATCTTTAAAGTTTACCTTTACATGTAGAACAAAATGGCTGCATGTTGACTTGACTATAGAGCATTTACACAGATGACTGAATGTGGGATTGAGCACTGCATATGAACAAAAAGGACCTACTATTGAAATTATATAATTTACTTTCATTTTGTTAAATTTGAACCAGAGTCGCACTGGATCTAGACTCAACATCATAATTGTTGCAGAAGGTGCTATTGATGCAAATGGAAAGCCAATTTCATCAACTTATATTAAAGATGTAAGTATTGTTCCCATCTAAAACCAGAGCATTTACACCAATACAATTGCAGTGGTCTACTTTTATTCATCGTGTATATTTTTCTAAATTAGTTGGTGGTTAAAAGGCTTGGATATGACACCAGAGTGACAGTATTGGGTCATGTTCAGAGAGGAGGGACTCCTTCAGCTTTTGACCGAATTTTGGTGAGTTCTATCTATCCATGCCTTTTTCTACACTTTATACCCGAAAAGGCTCACCTCCTCCAGCTCACCAAGGTGTTACAGGGCATCTCAGCTGGTTCTGAGTCTCCCTAGACTTTTCTGTACATAGCGTTAAAACAAAGAAACTACAGTATAGCTCAATATGGCTTTTATCTTTTTACTTCCATAGAGCTGTAAGCTGGGCGTAGAGGCAGTAGTCGCCCTAATGGAGGCTTCTCCGGACACTCCAGCCTGTGTTATTGGCCTGTCCGGGAACCATGCGGTCAGACTGCCTCTCATGGAGTGTGTGGAAATGGTGAGCTGCCATCTTCTTTATCCAAGCAGAGTATTGTCATGACAAGTAAAACACTTTTGCTTTTCAAAGACTAAACTTGTCCAGCAAGCTATGAATGAGAAAAGGTTTAATGAAGCGGTCAAACTACGAGGAGGGTAAGGTTCAAGTGTATATATATTTTAAATCTAAATGTGAAATATATTGCAAAATTACACTGGAAAAAAACTCTTTATGTAGGAGCTTTGAAAACAACTGGAATATATACAAACTTCTTGCATTTCAAAAACCAGCCCAAACTAAGGTCAGTGCCAGTTTTACTACATGTGTCTTTTTTTGAAACTTTGGATCCCAGCCTAAATTCTGAATTTTCCTAAATAAATTTTTCTTCCAGACTAATAATTCTTTAGCCATAGTGAATGTTGGGGCACCAGCTCCAGGGATGAATGCTGCTGTGAGGTCTGCTGTCAGGTTAGCCATTTCCCATGGCCACAAAGTCTATGCATTTCATAATGGATTTCAAGGATTGGCTGATGACAATGTAAGGTTTAAAGTGTGTGCACATTTATGTTTTAATATACATTCTAACAAACTTGTATTTTGTTGCGCAGTTGTTTGAGATGGAGTGGTACACAGTTGCAGGATGGACCGGCCAAGGAGGCTCCAGACTTGGGACAAAAAGGTTAAAATAAATCAATTGAATTATTATTTTATACTTTATATGCTAATCAGGCCTCTTGTGTTTCAATTAGAACCCTTCCATCCAAATGCATGGATAAGATTGTCAATACACTCAACAAGTACAGCATTTCAGCGCTGCTTGTAATCGGAGGCTTTGAGGTAAACCCATCAAAAGCATCAAGTTACAGTATTGTGTTAGAAAACAGCTTGTGTTTTAAAACTTCTCTAACTCCCAGGGCTATCACGGTGTGCTTGAGCTGTTTGAAGCCAGGGGTCATTATGAGGAACTGTGCATCCCCATGTGTGTCATCCCAGCCACCATCAGCAACAATGTACCGGGAACAGACTTCAGTTTGGGAGTAGACACAGCTGTCAATGCAGCCATGGAGGTAAGAACCTTTTGAACTTTTGCACTTATCAACGTGTAATTTCCCCAAAGGCTTCACCCACTCACCTTCTATAGACCCCCATGTATTTTACCATGCACTAAAGCAGAAATATTTACCTTCATCCAGGGATTGCATGTTGGGGAAAACTATAGGTCTGATCTTTATCTGATAGTCATATTGTTGTATCACTGGTTACACATCAGGAGGCATGAGTAGCAAGATAAATTAACATAAATCTATACTAAAATAAAATAAAATCTAGCTTTACCATAACAAGGAAGCAAATCTAAAATTTCCATCAAGGCTCAGGCCTATATGTTCAGAATGTTTTTTCCCCTAACTATTCATTCATCCCCATTTGTTCAGGGTTGTGACAAGATCAAGCAGTCTGCGTCTGGCACTAAAAGGCGTGTGTTTGTGGTGGAGACTATGGGAGGGTTTTGTGGATATCTGGCCACATCCACTGGTCTGGCTGTGGGGGCGGATGCGGTCTACATTCATGAAGACCCCTTCACCATCCGTGATCTAAAAGTATCATCAGCCACATCAACAACATACGTCTTAAATATATCATCTTTAACAAACGGTTTGATTTTCAGACTAACGTTGAGCATTTGGCTGAAAAGATGAAGAAGGATATTCAGCGAGGATTAGTGATACGGTGATAATCCACGCAAAGAATTTCACATCTTCCTAAAGTGGAGATGGTTTTATGTTTTATGTGATTTGGTTTTAAACACAACAGGAATGAAAATTGTCATGAGCATTACACAACCGACTTCATTCATAAGCTCTACACAGCAGAGGGGAAAGGCGTCTTCGACTGCAGAGTGAATGTGCTTGGGCATCTGCAACAGGTCAGACGCCAAAACTATTGACTTATCTTAGGTATGACATGATATTTATATATATAATAACTATCTTTACTTACATACTGGGCTTAAGGGAGGCGCACCATCCCCCTTTGACAGAAATTTTGGCACTAAGATGGGGGTAAAGGCTCTGCAGTGGATTTCAGAGAAATTGGCGGATAACTGCAGACAGGGTAAGTTCCATTCAGTTAGGCCACATTCTACAGGACAAAGAATCATTTATTTATCTTTCCTTTATCAGGGCGTGTTTTTGCCAACGCTCCGAACACTGCATGTGTCCTTGGACTAAACAGAAAAGTTGTTTCATTTACTCCAGTTGCAGAATTAAAGCCGTTAACAGATTTTGAGTAAGTTGTCTTGTTTATAGTTTTCAATATAAGCTGGTACTACTGCTGAAAGAATTTATTTAAAACAAATGAATTACCTTTTACAGACACCGGGTGCCAAAGGACCAGTGGTGGTTAAACATGAGACCATTACTGAAGATGTTGGCCAAGTATCAAACCAGCTTCAGCGAATACGTCCCTGGATCCCTCAAACACGTGACGGAGAGATCACTGAGCGTCGATGCTGGTTTTTAGGCTACAGGTTGCGTTCATGTGAGATCACAACATTCAAAAAGCTTGTATTTTAAAACTGTTGCAAAGGGCAGCTGAAAGATCTTTATTTAGTAACTACGTCAACAGCTGTCAAAAGTGCTGACATGGCTCTTAGTTTGGAGCTGACTTCTCAGTAATTCCTGGCCCAATTCTGTGAAACAAAAAACTGTGATAAAGATTCACATTTTATTGTTATTACATGTCAACTATGGTGTAATTATTTTATCATGAAGATGACAATATTCAAAACACACACTGTATACATATATATACATATACAGTGTTTTGAGTGTCCATGAAAAGCATTATATAAAACCGATGCATTATTATTATCATTACTATTTAATGATTATGGATAACTTGCAAATAATGGTCGGGAAAAGCATTTGGACACTTTCTTTTTCAATTGTCTTTCCAAAATGAATTCCCAGAGTTGTTTTAGCACCAGGCCTCCAACTGAAATAGAAATCTAGAACATGGACGCATCCTGCGATAACATAATTCATTTACCCCATATCTATCCTTTCTATACCCACTGCAAGCTGAAATGAATGTGAATTAAAAGGGTGATTAGAAAATATTTGAAAGTACAACTGAAACTTTACTGCTTTTAATCAAGAGCAAATAACAATACTGTTTTGGTAATTGTGATTAATAATATAGACTCATACAAGTACGCTGATTTCAAGTTTTTGTAATTTATTTGCCATTTACTGTAAAAGAAAGTCACTAAAGTTGCCTAGAACCTCTAATGCATTAAACAATTTGATACTAGTTGCTATGCCAGTATTCTGAGAAAAAAAGTGTTATAACTGAACATATATGTGAACTGTTTTATTGAACTGTATAAACTAAAAATGCAAATGTAATGTATTAATTGTATTGAACTGTTTGAACCTAAACATGAAAAAACAAAAACTGCTGAATGTCTATCTTTAACATTTTCCTATATTAAAAGTTAAATGAAAATGGAAAGTCTCCCTTGGCTTTATCTTTGCTGCGGCCTCCACTCTCAGGGCTCTTGGTGTTGAAGGCAAACTGGAAGTCCTCACTTGGCTCAGGTTGGTTAAAAAGGAATTCTAGAGAACATAACATATATGTATTTATGTCTTGGGAATGTCATAATAATTATAAATGTGTAATCTTACCCATGGAGGACTTAGACTCTGCAGTTTTCTGTGAAGGAATAAAAAGCGTTCTGAGTGCCGTGGTTGTTAATTGTAAAAGAGGATATACACTTTACACACCTTCTCTTCAAAAAAAGAACTTGAGAATGGTGACGCTGGGTCCTGCAAAGCCATTTTTTTAATATCGCATGAAAATGAACACATTCTTTGATGGAATGGACGCCCACCTCATCCTGTGCCCCGAAGCCAAAAAACCCTGGAGTGCTTGGTTCGGAGTGAATATTGAAAGGAAAAGCAGGGGATTTGCTTGTATCCGAGATCTGTGGTGATTGGCTCGGGCTAAACCTTCAAAATAAAAGCTGGTCATTGAGAGATTCTGTTAAATGCAGTGTGATTTTGCGAAGATAACCAGATGAAAATCTTACGTAAATGGGAAAGTTGGGGTTGCAGGGTCAGGTTTAGTTCTAGTGGGGGAAGTGTTTGTTTGGTTTGCTCCTTGTGAGGATGTTTGACTCAAAGAAGTCATAGTTTCATCTTCCTCTTGGTTTGCCGCTTGCTCCTCTTCTGGACCCTCATCCATTTCAAACTCCATTGCCAGCTCAATTTCCTGATTTTCTTGTGCAGCATTTTTTTCCTGTAACAACAGCTGGTCAACAGAAAAAATCAATAATCTGCAATTGACAAAAAGTTAAAGAGTTGGATAAACCTAAGAAACATATTACAAGAGCTGGACTGTGTGGGCCGGTCTCTGAAATGCCAGTCTCTGCTTCCTCTTGATGTTCTAAAGAAAATAAATGTACTTATTAGAAAGGTTAATGTAGTTGATAAGATACATCCCTGTACTTGCCATCCATCTGCTGAGAGTCCATGGTGGCTGTCAGCTCTGCAGGAAGACAGGCAGTGGAGGCACTCTGCTCTTCTTCAACATGTCCTCCAGAGGCCTTCTCAGCTAAAATTGGATGTTCCTGTAATATTATATGTTTGCTTTAAGTTTGAAAACAGTATTTCAGACATATTCTTCTGTTAACTGTTTTATACCTCTGACTGTGGTGAAACGGGGCTAGCGTCTTCAGCTGGCTCTGTTTCTAGTTCATTTTCAAGTTTCTCACTAGAGCGAGGCAAAGAATAAGGAAAAATTATCACAAAAAACACAAAATACAATTATATGAAACACGACAATACCTTTCCAAGGATTTTTCTGGGGAAGAGGTATTGACCACTGCAGCGGATAAAACCAAAGAGACATCAACACAAATGATATTACATCTTACAGACAAATTACAGATTTAACACCTGTCAGATTGTCCAGCTCGCTTTGCTTTAATGCTAATAAATCATCATAGCACTTGATGTTTGTTTCGATCTCTCTGTTCTCCGCCTGCAGCCCCAGGAGTTTTTGGGCAAGAGGATTTTTGTAATAATATTCTTTGTATGACTGGAGGGTCGATTTGTAGCTTGCAATCCTCTTTTCATACTCTTCCCTTTATAGATGAAACAGTGCAATTCAGTAGTGCTAAAACATCCAAACTCTAGAAGTTTCCATAAATTAAATGTGTCTACTGAAGAGTAAAGGCTGACTTGTCTCTGTTGTACATGGCTCTCCTGTTCTCCAGTTCAGTCCTCAGGGTTTGATCATAATGCAGGACCAGGGTGCTCGTAGTTTTCATACTGTTGTTAAGACACAGAAGAAATGTTAATCACACAAGTATTACTATTGATAGAACAAATGTACCTTTTAGAAACAGCTTCATTTTGGGCCAAAGTGTTTTGTTTTGTCTTAATCTCCTCCTCAAGGCTCTTGATACTTGTTTTAGTTGTTTCAATCGTAGACTTTGCCTTAGCAATATAATTTCTGTAAACTAATAACCGTGTGTAAATGTCTTCCAATATCAATACACAGATAGTCATAAAGAGCAGAACTATAATCATAGTAATACCTTCAATTTGTTGGTTGATTTCATTTTTCTTCTGAGAAACTTCTCTTGTTTGAAGCGCTGAAAACACGCACTCAGTTAGTCAGTCAGTTTAGTTTTTTAACTTAGCCAAATAGAATCATGTTATTGTGTAAAAGAATATCTCACCACACTGAAAAAGGAGGCTGTCAATGTTTTTGAGGAGCTCTCCATCCGTCATGTTTGTTCAGCTCAGACCCCGCTGTTAGCATAGCCGAACTACACACATTAGCTGTGATTATTCCAACTATGGTATTTTATTATTATTATTGTAAATATATTATTACGATACAGAGTTATGCAGGTATACACTTAAATAAAATAAATATGCAATAACAACAAATATTACAAATAAACGGTCATTATTTAAAGTAAACGACATGAATCCTGTATAATGTCTTTATTGATGTGTTGAAATGACAAAGCCTGGATGATCCTCTGGGTAGTTCCTCTGGGTAGTTCCTCTGGGTAGATCCTCTGGGTAGTTCCTCTGGGTAGATCCTCTGGGTAGTTCCTCTGGGTAGATCCTCTGGGTAGTTCCTCTGGGTAGATCCTCTGGGTAGTTCCTCTGGGTAGATCCTCTGGGTAGTTCCTCTGGGTAGATCCTCTGGGTAGTTCCTCTGGGTAGTTCCTCTGGGTAGTTCCTCTGGGTAGTTCCTCTGGGTAGATCCTCTGGGTAGTTCCTCTGGTAGTCTCTGGGTAGATCCTCTGGTAGTCCTCTGGGTAGTTCCTCTGGGTAGTCCTCTGGGTAGTCCTCTGGGTAGTTCCTCTGGGTAGTTCCTCTGGGTAGTTCCTCTGGGTAGTTCCTCTCTGGGTAGTTCCTCTGGGTAGTTCCTCTGGGTAGTTCCTCTGGGTAGATCCTCTGGGTAGATCCTCTGGGTAGATCCTCTGGGTAGATCCTCTGGGTAGATCCTCTGGGTAGTCCTCTGGTAGTTCCTCTGGGTAGAGTAGTTCCTCTGGGTAGTCCTCTGGGTAGATCCTCTGGGTAGTTTCTGTCCTCTGGGTAGATCCTCTGGGTAGTTCCTCTGGGTAGTTCCTCTGGGTAGTTCCTCTGGGTAGATCCTCTGGGTAGATCCTCTGGGTAGATCCTCTGGGTAGTTCCTCTGGGTAGTTCCTCTGGGTAGATCCTCTGGGTAGTTCCTCTGGGTAGTTCCTCTGGGTAGATCCTCTGGGTAGATCCTCTGGGTAGATCCTCTGGGTAGTTCCTCTGGGTAGTTCCTCTGGGTAGATCCTCTGGGTAGTTCCTCTGGGTAGTTCCTCTGGGTAGATCCTCTGGGTAGATCCTCTGGGTAGTTCCTCTGGGTAGTTCCTCTGGGTAGATCCTCTGGGTAGATCCTCTGGGTAGATCCTCTGGGTGGACACTGTGATACCACCTCGGTCACTGTGATGGTGCCTTCTGCGCAGCCGCGCATCTGTCCGCACGGAGAGAAACAACATCAGCTCATGGATCTACATCCTGACACATGAAACCAACCATGATGTCAAAATCGTCTTATTCTGACGCTTCTCGTCTTAACATAAAGGTAAGTCTGCTTTTCTGCTGTACATCATTATCACTGGGGCCATGTTCGCCGGCTGCAGACAAAGCGGATGGGTGGGATCTCTGTGGGAGGAGATCAGCTGTGAGGCGAGGGCTTTGTCCATTTTACCTCTTTTACCATCATGTATATTCCTTGTTTCGACAACATTGTGCAATAAAAGCCTTTGTCCTTTCTTTAGGTAAAGGCACGACAGCACATCCAAATGTGCTTGTACAGTATAATATGTGTATGTGCTTCACCCATTTATTGGCACCTAGCATGGCTTCTCTGTAGAACTGCATTACAAACGAAACGGGACATTTGTGTCAGTTATTGACTCTGAATGTGGGTCATGCAGGATTAATATTCGCCTCTGCAGTATATTTTTGTTCCCCCTTTGATGGCATTTCCCTCTTTTTCCTTGTCTTCCCTGTGGCATAGCGGATGCAGTAGACATGGCAACAGCACTTACTTTAATGCTGACTCTGTAGCTACACATTTGGATTTCACCTGCAGCTCTGAGCATGGCTCAAGTACAAGGCTCCCACCATGATGGGGAGGGCAGCCCCCAGCTCATCTCCCTGAGGTCAGACCAGTCAGACAGCCATACTGACCATGCAGAGACAGGACCTTCTATGAGGAGGAAGAGGAGGAAGAAGAGAGAACCGCGCCCTGAGTCCATTATTGTGTACCGCTCTGAGATGGAGAGGGCATCTGAAGAAGACCAGGGAGAGGAGGCCCCTGAGAGGAACTCGGAGGAGGCGGCCAAGTTTCTGTGTACTCCAACTAATGAAGGTGAAGGGCTCAAACTACTACCACATCACAGATTACAGATTACACATTGATCTTTGAAACAATACTACAATATATTTGTTTAGACAATGTTTAACCCTAAGCCACATTTAAGACTTTATTGAAAACACAATGCATACCTTGCTCTATGATAATAATCAGAATATTACTTCTATATTATCTACAGTATGTAGACAGACCAGTGGCTGTTGTGTTTTTGTGCATACCCATATTCTGTTTACAATAATTTATCTGAACATCCACTTAGAAGAACAGCTACATGGATTCATATGGTTTACTTTACACTTTGGTGTTACAGGAGGGGGCTGGTCTCTTCCTCCTGACAGCCGGTACGTGACCCTGACGGGCACCATCACTCGAGGCAAGAAGAAGGGCCAGGTGGTGGATATTCATTTAACACTGACTGAGAAGGAGATCCGTGACCTGGCCAAGTCAAAGGAGCGCCTGGACGCAGAGTGTGATGCTGGGGATGGCTCAAAACGCAACTGCAGTTTTGGCCTTTGTTCTGGCCCCCATGTTGTTCTGTGGAGCATTTCCTGTTTCCCATTTATTTTTGTCTTGTCGTTCATCACTTCCTTCTACTATGGCACTCTCACCTGGTACAATGTTTTTCTGGTGTACAATGAAGAGCGCACGTTTTGGCATAAGATTACCATATGCCCCTTTCTCATCATTTTCTATCCTATGCTGATCATGCCCCTTGCACTGTCTCTGGCGCTGTACTCCTCCGTGGTGCAGGTTTCGTGGGCATTCAGTGAGTGGTGGCAGGATGTACGTGACTTGGAAAAAGGCTTCTGCGGCTGGGCATGTGGGAAGCTCGGACTAGAGGACTGCTCCCCCTACAGTATTGTGGAACTGCTGGATTCTGACACTGTCTCAGGCACACTGCAAAGTAAAGCCCCAAGTGAATTCGCCCTGACGTCATCGGTGTAAAGTCAGCTCAGGTTGGGTTCAAGTGAGAAGTATGTATCTACATATCTCTATAATAACTATAATATTAACTTTACAAAAAAAATTGATCATTATGGTCTGCTTACAAAAAAGACCGATTAAAATGACCCCTTCTACTAACAACCCTACACACATTTGATCAACTAACTACAATGCCTGACCTGTTTCTATTAATATTCTGTATGTCTGTATCCGGTCTTTATGGAGTTATCGCACCTTTTATATTCAGGCCTACTACCTTCCTCCTTTACACCATCAATATAAAAAAATAAAGAAAGTGTGTGCATTTCACAGCAGCATGTCAAATCACCTTGCCTGTAAATGGTTCTTTGAAAAGAGTTGAAACAAGGACAGTGTCACCCACCTTATTTGTCTTTATATGTGTTATGTGTGTTATGTGTATCATTAAATTAGTCTAGGCCTATATGTAAATTTGTTATAATAGGATAACATTTTTTTTTATTATTCTAAACTTAAGCTACAGAACAAGGCCCTGGTCCTTTTTCTGTAGCTTAGGTCCTGGATCTCTAGCCCGTCCGTCTGTGTGGAGCGGATCCCTCTCTCAATGTGGATCTCGCTCAGGTTTCTTACTTCTCTCCCACTGGGTTTTCGTTTTTCCTTGCTGATGCAGGAGGGTCTGTTGGACAGTTAGTGTCTAACAAAAAGGACTGGTGATGATCCAGGACACTCTTAACATTCCACAACATTAAGGACGTTTATCAACATTCATGGGCATTGGTCAACTCCGTATGGACCCATACCTATGTGTTCTATATTTTTTGGGTTTGAAATGTTTGATTCTCTGATCTGTTTTAGCAATTTCAATGGTTTGAGATAACTACTGTTGTGATTTAGGAATATGCAAGAATAAATTCAATTGAATTGAATATGAATGAATGCCTTTATTAGTCCCACAGTGGTATTTAACTTCATTCACCTTTTCTTGATTTAAAAATTATTGTATTGAATATGTTGTAATAGAACACTGTTTGTAAAATGTCATGTTGTATTCAAAATCATTATTAAAATTTCTATTCATATCTATCACTCATTATTATTATTATTATTAGCAGTAGTAGTAGTATTAGTAGTAGTAGTATTTTAGTAGTCCACTGGAGAGCGACAGTGGTTCGCTTCTTCGCTTACGCTTACGGAACTCACTATCTGGCTGCAGTTTCCTGACGGATTCATAACACAGGCACACTCAATATTTTTGGTGGAGGGAAAAGCCATGGCAGCATCCAAAGTAGGTTACCCTTTAGTTATTGTTATTTATTCAATTTTATTCGACCACTGCCCCAGATATAAACATGTAAACCATAAATAATGTTAAAGTTAGTTCATTGGGTAATGCGTGGTACTACATGTTGGCAGAAGACATGTCGGGGCATGTCAAGAAGGCAAGCAAGCAAGGGCTTTGTGAATGGCTGAGGATCTGTCTATGTTACTGTATCTGTTTATTATCATCTCATTTCTTGACAAATGTGATCATCATCATCAGTGGTATTATGGTTCTGGTTCCTGCTGAACTTGTCTTTTAGTTTGACTCTGCTTCCTGCTTGTCCTAACCACAGCAGTGTCTCTTTTGTTTGCTGATTTTGGATATGTCCTGTTGCAGTCTGCATTGGTTTTATGCATGGACGTGGGTTTCTCCATGTCCCACTCAGCTCCTGGTGAAGAGCCTCCGTTTGATCTGGCCAAAAAGGTTATGCAGAAGTTTGTTCAACGCCAGGCAAGTCTCCTCCCCTCCATGTGGAATTTCGATTAAAAGCTATCAAATCTTCTGATTTGCTGCCTCTGAACTCACTATCTCTACAGGTGTTTGCTGAGACTAAGGATGAGCTGGCGTTGGTTCTGTTTGGAACAGAAGACACTAAAAACTCCCTACAGCAGGATGATCAGTACGAACACATCTCGGTGCATCGCCACCTCATGATTCCAGACTTTGAACTTCTTGAGGAAATTGCAAACCAAATCCAACCTGAGAACCAAGTGGCTGATTGTATCCTTTAAACCAATATAGTTCATTAACATCAGGAAGACAGTTTTGCTCAATTGGGCAGGTTCCTTATATGTTTATACAGGGCTAGATGCGCTTGTTGTCTGTATGGATCTACTTCAGACAGAAACAAAGTAAGAAACTCCATCATAAAATACTGTATTGCAATATTATTTCTGTTATCTAATTCTTATATGAGAATTACTCCAGAAAATGACCGTCGTGGAGTAAAATGAAGAAATTACCCATGTACCACCAGAATTAGCTCATTTAGAGAAACCCATTTAAAATTGTATGATCTATTTTGATTTATATAATTTCTGAAATTCTATTTCTTAATCATATCTGATCACATTTACTATTGTATATTAATATTGCTCATTTTTAGGGGGAAAAAATATGAGCGACTTATCATCGCCCTTTTGACTGACCTGAGCTCTCAGGTCAGCTCTGATAACCTGGATATTATCATCGGAAACCTGAAGAAGGCTGGAATTACCCTTCAGTTCTTGTAAGAACACACTCTGGTTATGCCAATACTCCAACTAAATCTTGATTACTAGATTATTGTTTTTATGGGTTTCCCAACTAGTTTGCCATTTCCTGTTGACAAAGAGGATGAGGATGGTAGGAGTGGGGATGGAGGAGCTCCTGGGGGGCCACCGGGGACCAGAAAAGGTATGACCCAAGAGCAGCAGCAGGGTCTTGACATGGTCAAACACATCATGCTGAGCCTGGATGAGGAGGATGGTCTGGATGAAGTCTACAGCTTCAGGTTTGAATACAGCCCTTTCTATATGAGGGTTTTCACATTCAAGAAAATATTTTAATGTAAGTGTCATTTTACAGGAATGCTCTGGAGGAGCTTCACATGTTTAAGCGTATTGAGAGAAGACCTATGGCTTGGCCCTGTCAATTAACCATTGGCAGTTCACTACCCATCCGAATTGTTGGCTATAAATCAGTAAGTTCTACATACCTATTTAATTTAAAGTGTGTATCTACATATAAATATTTAGGTAGCAGAAATATTGTATTTTGTATTACCATTATTTAAACAAGCTTGTAGAATACTGTACTATTTCCTAAAATATCTCAGGTGACTGAGGAGAAACTGAAGAAAACATGGCTTACTGTGGATGCGCAGTCAAACCAAAAAGATGATGTGAAGAAAGAGACTGTCTTCTGTCGAGATGACGACAATGAAACCGAGGTACAAGCAGAGGACATTATTCAAGGTAAATTCGTCTGATCAAGATTTCACGCTAAACAAATACATACTAAACCAGTTGAATAACTTATTTTCAGGTTTCCGTTATGGCAGTGATATTGTTCCCTTCTCCAAAGTGGATCAAGACCAAATGAAATATCGGCATGATGGGAAATGCTTTGCCGTTCTTGGCTTCACCAAACAAAACATGGTAATAATCCTTTTCTATGTACGGTATAATCATTGTGTAACCAATATCAGTACTGTACAGAAAATAATGTGCATCTAAAGGTGACATTACGCACTTTTTCAAACCTTTAACCTGACTCAAAACCGTGTTCCCTTGCCAAGTAACATGTTCAGTGATTCTTGTATGTCTCATTCAGAAAATGTCAGCTTTACCTCCATTACCTACAACACCCCTATCTATATTAAATGTAATATATATTTATATATATATATATATATATATATAGGGTTAATATATATATTAATATGATGATAGGATTGCAAAGGGAGAATGTAGTCTCATTTAACCTAAATTCTACCTTTTTAAACCGACAGTCAATGTATCTGTTTATCGTCATTAATGACACTCATCTCGACAGGACTGAAAATCACTATTGTACATTTTTCAGATCCAGCGCCATCACTTCATGGGTAATCAAGTTCTCAAGATATTTGCCCCCAAAGATGATGAGGTAGGAATTGTTGTATCTGCTTTGCTTATATTTACACACAGTATAAACACACAATTTTTGTTTTGATCCCATTTTTTAAAACTCTGTATATTTGTTCAAAGACCCATCTCCACCAGAATTTTGTTCACAAATCTGTCAAAATTGGTATTAGTGAGCCCTTCTCCCTTGCTGTGAAATTCATCCCGCCTCACAGGTGTGGTGGCATCGAGAGGGTTAGACAGCATGAATACTGCACACCCTTTGGATGACCACAATAGAATGCCACTCTAAACCTTTATTTGGGAGGTCTGGGGGTTTCAGAAAAGCCCCAATGCAACACGTCAGAGATGATCAGTCCTTCCATGGCCAGCATACTCACCAGATACAGTAGTATGTTTCAGTTCCTGCCTGTATCCAGCACGTTCACAAACATCGAAGAGGAAACATGAACAACCCTGAGAAGGAGATGTGTTGCTCTGTGGTGTCACACCAGACCCACAACAAAGCAACACTAAACATATCTTATTAATCATTAGTCCAATCAGCATCTTCATATGCCACACCTGCGACGGAGGATGGATTGTTTCAGTAAAGAAGTGCTCTCCGTAACAAATTAAAGTTCCACTAACTGACTTTATTTTTGCATTCATTACAAAAATGCTATCCATATCCATGTAGTGCATTGGGATATACGTCCTTTTGAAGAAAAAGTAGCGCAGATTTGTGCTGGCGTGACATTATATTTTGGATCGAATTTTGATGAAACAAGGAAGAGAATGTGTTTCGGGTCTCAGATTGTGACCAATCACAGCGCACCACTAGCCCCCACTTTCTTGAGAAATCTACAGGACCGTTAGCACAGCTGAGTTAGCACAACAAGCGGCGGAGCTAACCTGAAGCTTCCGTCTCTTCGTCACCGGTTACTGCTTACACAGCGAAACAGCCATCCAAAAGAAAGTCTCGTTCCTCCGCGCTTCCCGGTTCTATCGTTCTATGGTCACGCCATCCACGCCCAAATGTACGATACACAATTTTATTGGGAGACGCTAGCTCCGTAAACAACAGTGGGTGTGGGGTAGTGGGGGGCGATAGCTTCGTGGGTGCGGGGAGGGGAGAAGAAAGAGCAAGGCCAGCGAGTCCGCTGCTTCAAAATCCCTTCGCAGTTGAGATTGAATGACATCGTGTGTCAGGCTTGAACTCTCTGACCCGGCTTGGATTTGCCCCTGTGTACGGAGGTCTGAGGGCGCCACAATTCGGTTTAATTGGATTTAATAGAATATCTGCCTGCTTTTGACTGCTACATTGCATTTAATATTGTCCCTCTCAGGCGATGTGTTTTTCTCCTGCTGTGTCTTCTCTCCACTCTTATCTCACATTCCTCAGCCAAGGCCATAATAACAAGGTCCCACAATCTACAACTACTCACACTATTTCAGTCTCCAGCAAGGATCCCGCTCCCCCGCCTCCCTCTACCTATCCATCTTTCCCTCCCTCCCCTCCACTCCTCATTGTGTTTCCGACTCACCCCCTCCCTGACCCCGCCCCCCTCTGACAGCCACATTGGGCCGGCAGTCGGAGGTGCTCATCCCGAGAAAAAAATCCGTGGTTTATACAAAGCACAATGTGTCTATCCAATTGTCTGTGAAACTGTGTGTTACTGCTCTCTGCTGTTTATTCTACTGTTTGTCGCATGGCGCCGTAAAGATGGCGCCGTGGCAAGAGCTCTGGTGTGTGTCGTCTTCTCTGTCTGGTGCACACTGGGGTAGTCTTGCACAGTTTTTCCTATGTGGTTTTACTGCAAATGGCAAATAAATGAATCTGAATCTGAATCTGAAGTCAGTTAGTGCAGCTTTAAGACAACAGTAGTTGAAAAAGTGTTTAGTGTTCAGTGTATGTTTTAATCTCTCTTTATCTTTGCACAGCATGCAGGAATTGCACTGTCAGCTCTCATTCGGGCACTGGACCAACTCAATATGGTTGCTATAGTGAGGTATGCCTATAACAAAGTCAGCAATCCACAAGTAGGCGCTGCTTTCCCCTGTATCAAGTCAAACTATGAGGTGAGATGATGGACTTAAACATGGACTTTTATTGAGTCTTCAACCTTTCAATGTGTTCTCTCTAGTGCCTGGTCTACGTCCAGCTGCCTTTTAGTGAAGATCTTAGACATTTTACTTTCCCTTCTCTTGAAAACAAGAAATCCACACCTTCAGGTACAACTCTTTGGGTTCCAATAGCTCAATTTTTAAAAGTGGATATGGAAGTTTAATCCTCCCTTCCCTTCTTACCTTCCCTGACATGTTTCTTCAGAATCACAGCTGTCTGCGGTGGATAGTCTCATTGACTCCATGATGCTGGTTGAGGAGGATGAAGATGGAGAACATACAGACATGCTCCAAGTCCATCACATTCCAAATCCGTCCTTTCAGAGGCACTTCCAGGTTATTCAAATCTGTTACAATAATTATCAATAGGTTGTGTAACTGTGTTTCTTTCTCAGTGCTATTGATTAATACTGTATTTTAGGTTGTCTTCATTAAGTGTTTTGATTAATATAGATTTTAGATTTAGATTAATTTATGATATAAACAGCTTCAGGGACTTAAACTTAGCATCACTTGTTTTTAAAGGAAAAGTTCTACACAAGATATTTGAACGTTTGTGTTTTTTCAAACTCTTGACTTTTTGTAAGATCTCTTGATAAAGATCACGCTTCAACATTAGGTAATTCACATTTTATTTTCTGATGCTTAACCCTTTAATGTTTCCCTCAACCATCTGGTAAATCACTATCGATTTGGAACATTGTTGTAACATTATCTCATTGCGAAATCTCTAGCACTATAAATATGTTGTGCTCAAAATATCCACCCATGGTCACTGTTTACTTTTTAAGTAGATATGTAGGTATTTGATACTTTATTTGCTATAACTCATTGTATAACTATTTATTAGGAACTTTTACCATTGATCTGCTTCTCAACAATTTGGTAGAGGCCTTAATTAAAAAAAACTTGGGGGTCCAAAAAAAGAAAAACAAATTATTTACTACAAAACTTGGAAAACCCCCATACAAAATTGATGGGATGAATGTTAAAGGGTTAAATAAATGGCATGGTAACACTCAGTCACGATTGTCCTCATAGTGTCTGCACCATCGAGCGGTCAGCCCTGGGACAGCTCTGCCCCCGATGGAACCATGGCTCGTGGCAGCTTTGGAGCGGCCTGAGGTGGTAAACCAGCGATGCCAGGCCCCTCTTACTGAGCTCAAGAGGAAATTTCCTTTGACTGAAGTAGAAAAGAAGAAGACAAAAAAGACAAGTGAACAGATTTTTGGCAAAGAGTACGTCTTACAACACGGTGTCACCTAATGAAGTAGTATGATTTTACTCATCAACTAAATGTCATACAAACTTAGATCTGAGGAGACAGATGCCAAAAAAGCAAAAAAAGAGGATGACGAGGAAGAATATAACCTGGCTGACATTGCTGAAGGCTCTGTGACCTCGGTGAGTTGCAGAGAAACTGTTTGATGTGATACTCACTTAAAGAAACAGTAACATGAAGGACCTTCAACGGAAGTGTTTACCTTTTACACAAGTGTTTAAATTGTCCTGTTCATTGGTGTTCCATAGGTGGGAAGTGTTGATCCGGCACGTGACTTCCGCACACTTGTCAGACAGAAAACGCATCCATTTGGTGACGGTGAGCTGCAGATTGCATTTGTTCTTGTATATTGTCCCCATAAGTGTTCTCTTGTGCCAGTAATTGTGCGTATTGGTTTTGTTTGGTTGTGGTGACTCTTGTGCCCTTCCCAGTTTGTCAGCAGCTGACTCACCGGATAGAGCAGTTGCTTAGCAACAAGAACTCACAGTATTACATGAAAAGCTTCACCTGTATCCAGGCGTTCAGAGAGCAGTCTGTTCATGTGAGTAAACAGTTGTGCTGCTTTTGGCATTAGTGCTTTAGTGTGGGAGTTTAGAATGTTTGTGAATCTTTCTACTGCATTATTTGTAGCTTAGAATCATGCAATTAAAAGTTTTTACCAAAAATGTATTGAGTTTAATATTGAGTGTAAATATTTTATTTTCCAGCAAGGAAATGCCGAACTGTATAATGGTTATCTTCAGTCCTTGAAAAGAAGTATCCCAAACAGAGGCCTGGAAGTATTTTGGGACCTGCTGGTTCAAGGCATGATAACCTTTTGTTTTTTTGTTTTGTTTTCATGAATTTCAATGTTGACAAATGGTAAAAAGTAACTTATTTCCACCATTGTATGTCTCAACAGACAGAGTCACTTTGATTAGCAAAGATGAGGTTGAAGGAAGTACAATATCAAAACAAGAAGCTAATCAGGTGGTTATAAAACTGATAATGATACCAGTCAGATTTTTTTATTTATTCATGGAATACGTGTTTTGTTAGTTCCTGGTTACAGCAGAGAAAGAAGAAGAAAAGGCTTCACCAGCTGTGGAAGACACTGGAGATGTAGATGACTTGGTATGTTGTACTTTACTACGACCCATTTATCTGGAAGCCATTGAACTGTAATTACACATGTTAAGTGATGCTTGTGGCCAAAGGTATAACATGTGCATAGTTGTACTTAATGCTTTGGAATTTCTTGATAAACATCGTTGCCACAGCTTGTGTCGAGTCTGTATATTTGGCCCTTTGTGCATAAATGACGTGTTAGGCTATATGAGACATAAACTAAAGTCTTTCTCTCCCTCCTTGTGCAGCTGGACATGATGTGAACCAATGAGAGAGTACAGTGAACATGTACTAAAACCATCAAACTGATCTCTGAACCCCGCCGGATCAACTCCCACAGTCCTCCTTTGTTCTTACGTTCAGAAACCAGAGAGGATGTATCCGCCTGTAGAAAACTGTTGCCACAAGAACTCCTTCAAATGAATGAATGTAGTTGATATGGAGGTGTTTATAAAGGTTATATTTGATTAATAATGGTTTGACATTTGTTCAGTTTTTTAACAAATCTGTAAATGTAGTAGTCTCCAGTATAATTTGTGGTGCGGTAACATAATGACAACATTTCTATAAGCAACAATATCACTTAATTTATTCATGTTTTTTTCTCTAACAAACCCATTTAATAAATTTGTTAAACAAAGAAAACTGGAAAAAACTTGAAACTTCTGGTCCTTGAAAAATGGCATTTTGGTCGCCCATGACCAGTTTCTGTAAAACCTCGTGGTCTACATCACTTCCTGTCGCAATCACTGTGGAGACCACATCAGCCCGGCGCATGGCACTGATGGCCTCATCTATGTTTCCACTGATTGTGGCTCCATCAGTGATGAAAACAAACGAGAGTTCTGCATAGCGCCTTGCCTCTCCCTGATTTAGTATCTTGTCTATAGTTTGGAAGATTGCTGAGCTGATGTCCGAGGACGAGTCCAGGTAACGCAATCTCTGCAAACCATCAGTGATCTGGTCAGGGTCATGAGTGAGAGGGAACGCAATCACGTGTTCATTCTCTTTGCCATACTCCACCAGAGCTATGCGTGCCCGCGTACGGTCAGTTTTACTACGTGCTAGCTCGAGACTGTATGCAACCATTTGCACTAGTTGAATAAAACGCTTAAAGTCTTCATGCCCAAGTCTTTCTGATCCATCTAGAAGAAAGACTAGCTCTATTGGTCGGTTTTCACAGGGGGCCACATCAGGCTCTGCAACAAACAAAACCACATTCATTACAACTTTTGATATTTGCAAGTAGAATGGAATTTAATCTGGAGTGCCTCACTTTGAAACCACAAAAAATAACTACTGTGATTAAATCCATATAACGAGTCCCTCACTTGGTTCTATCCAAAATTTTCACTGTTTTTCAATAAAAAAGTACCAGCCCTCACAGCCAAACTGCTCTCTGTATGTAAATGATAAAACATTTTCTAATGAGATGAGGACAGCATGTGGTGATGATCTGATTTTGTTCTCAAAACAATTAAATGTAATTTGGAAATGCACTTAATAAACAAAAACGTTCCATTAGAACTGATGTGAATATATTTGATTTTGTGCTTTCAAAATTAAAAAGTGTGGTTGTATTGTCACATACAGTATACAGTACTTGCCTTGTTTACAGGGCAATTCTGGGCACACAATAAACGGTTCTGTGCAGGATATTAAAAGTAAAGAATATTATTAGTAAAGTTGTGGAAACAGATCTGCAGAGATTCTCTTTCTTACCTGGACAAATCCACGTCTTCACTTTGACAATGATGTCGTCAGCCATGAGGTCTGCATAGCGCCTCATCTCAGTGACGCGCTGTCTGTCATTGCATGCTATAGACAAGAGCGTTTCAGTTTGCTGCTTTTTCTTAAACATGTCTCCTACACCAATGGCGTTCACTTCCACTTGAGGATAACTGCAAATGTAGTTCAGCAGGTTATCATCATCTCGTGGATCAAATCTCCCATCTGTGATCACCACCATGGACACTTTGGAAGGGACTCTTGTGCTGTTGCGAATCAGGGTGTCATATGCAAATTTCAGAGCTGAGGGGGTGAAGGTCCCTCCAGCGATCCATTCCAGCTTCTTCACAGCTGCTTTGAACGCTGGTATAGAGTCTATGTTGGGATCATCGAGCCGGATAGCTTCGAAAGTGCCATTGTGACTGTACTGTACAACTCCGACTCTAGTACCTACGACAAATACACAATTCAACACAACATTTCCATAAAAAGAGTCATTCTTTGGAACAACTCATCAGATGATTTAAAAAAACATGTTCAAACCTGTTTATAAAATATATATATATCTTTTTATATAAATTTTCAAAAACTAAACAGTGGAGAAGTACATGGAGGAAAGAGTGATGTTCTGAGCATAGAGCGAGATATGGGGAAGGTGTAGGGTCAGAGAGTTGAGTTGAGTGTTTGGGTCTGTCTGTGTGTATGTTTGTGTGTACGTGGGTTTTGAGTTATGTTGAATCAGTGAGTGACTGTAGCCAAATAAATGTTTACTATGTCCAACCTCTTTTGAAACTGAAACTATTTGTGTTTATTTTGTTTCTTGTATAAGTTTGAAATGTTATATAAGAATAATAATACAAATAATTGTGAACTTCCTACCATTAGATGATTTTGGATCACTGGCCATAGATCCCAGTCTGCTTACGGTATTAATCACAAAGTTCTTTTCGAGAGTGAAGTTTCTCAGGCCAACACTTTCTGAGCTGTCGATGACAAACACAATGTCCAGGGGTCCACAATGTGTCACACAATCTGAAAATTGAGAGAATTTTCTTAGAACACCAGATATTCCAGATCAGTCTGCATTGTATTCAAATATGTGTGTAACCATACCACAACAGCCACATGTCTCTCTGATGTACGTCATGACGTCGCAATCCTGAATGACCAAAAATATATGTTTCATCTTTACAAGTAGTGCATTGAACTAAAATCAATGATTAAAAGTATTTACGGTCAGCCCAGGATCCCCCTGTGGTCCAATACTCCCCTAAAACGGCAAATGAAAAGTTTATTGAGAAAGAAAGACTACCATATATCGATGATGCTTGTGCTGCTTCTGCTTACGTCAGGACCTGGCTCTCCCTCGGGTCCTCTCTCTCCTGCACGGCCCCGTTCACCAGGTTCCCCCTAAAATATCAATCAAATACAGAAAACAAACCAATCCCATGCAATAAAATCTCATTGATCTTACAGGCTTTCCAGGTGCTCCTTTAGTTCCAGCCTCGCCTTTGAAACCACACGATCCCGTTCCACCTCTGGGGCCTTTCCTGCCTGGATCTCCTATCTTTCCCTGCAAAAAACAAAGCATGACAACAAACTCGAGTTCTAAGGTAATCTTTATCTGAATATACTCTATTCAAAAGTCATGATGGTAGAACAAACTAAAATCATACTGTTGGTCCCCTCGGTCCTGCAAAGTTGAATCCTTGTCTTCCCTTTTCGCCCTTTTAAAGTAAAAACTTAATTAACTGAAATGTATACATTTCATAACATGTACAGCTGTTTACAAAGTAATAGCAGTGTGTATATAAAAAACATGAATAAATGACAAAATCCTTGAAATAATTGTACTTCCATGTGTTGGAAACATTGCACATTGGACTGAAAATGTATCTTTCCTGAGAATCCCTTAACCAATATTAGTTTCTGAGAACTTTCATAGACTGTATATTTGAGGCGGACTGACCGAGTGCAGAGGTCACCATAGTGTTTGCACATAAACATAAGCAAGCTGGAGCCCATTTCCTTATATGGGCATTTGTTCCAACTTGGCCTTAGGTTTGCGCAGATGTGCTGCTAAGACGGTTGGAGGTTTCAAATGAAGCCATCTGATTGGTCAATCCTTAGGGCTCTTATGTGGATTTACAAAGACAACATCAACATGTAAACACCAGGATCATAGAGAGCGCTGAACCACGGGCCTCAAAGCCCAAAATGGTGAGTGTGACACAAACAGTCACTGAGATTGGAGTTTACTTTTAAATGTAAGTCAATAAAGCAACATTTCGTCCATGAACTCTTCCATATTAGGCGTCTGAGCTTTCAGGTTACTACTTCACATCTGTGTTGCATGAAGTCGACCAACTTCCTGTATCTTCCTCACCAGGATGATTTGACCATATTCCACAATTCTTCAGCACGTCTTTGTTTTGCTGTAGAAAAAGCCTTTTTCATCGGAATAAGGAATAGGAAATGTATTAGCCTGGGATTGGGCTGGTCACTTCACAACTCTGACCTGTTTCCCACTTGCTGATGTGTTTGAACCCAAAATGACTTTTTCAACAAGACCAAAGACAAAATGTGTGTCTTCAGAGTCCATTGAAACCAACACGTGTTCCCAATGCATCAAATATTACTAGGATTTTGTGACATTTTTATACACACTGTTATTAGTTTGAACTCAACTGTATGTATCGTGTGAGTAACTTATGACATACCAGTTGCCCTGGCGGTCCTGGGTTTCCCCTTTGCCCCGGCTCTCCAGGATCACCTATACTGCCCTGTAGATGACAAGTGAATTACAAACGTTGGCTGTTTGTACAAAAAAAAAAATATATAGTGTTAGTTTGCTTTAGTTTAACCCACAGTTAATCCGATAACTCCTACTTCTCCTGGGGAACCTCTTGAACCAGGGAGCCCTACTCCGCCCTTAGTGGAAAAAATACATGACAAAAATGATTTGATAGAAAAATCTGACAGACTCGTGTAATTGCAATCAAATTGAAATTAGAATGTTAGTGGCTGCTACTATCAAATTCTTGCAAAAATAGACATAATAAGAAATTAAGTAAGGTAGTATTTATTTAGAATGTGTTATCCACTGCTGGAAAAGGAAAGTCCAGTCTTATCTTACTTATCTAGTGCAGAACATATCTTTTTTTGTGCACTGTCCCTCTCAAATAAAGACTAAACTAAACTAACCTCTGTGGGATTTTAAATGAAAGCGTGCCTGTCAATTTTTAACATTGATTTAATACAACTTCATAACTGTTTTCAGGCTTGAGTTTTCCTATAAATTTGAAATCTCCTAGTGCACTTCAAACATAACCCTAGCTTCATTACAGACATTGTGAATCGCATCATAATCAAAATGGTTTTCTGAAACATCGCAGTTAGATACAGTAATCAACTATAACCTAGTTTTACAAATGATCATTGTGGATGGGTCTTACAAATCCCATTTAAATTCTGTTATTTCTTCCCCCTTAATTCTAAATGAGGGAAATCGTGGATGTTTCTGGAGGTGAAGCTGCTGTTGCACAGACGGCTGACTCATGCAAAAGTCAGAATACTTGTACCTTTACTCCCTTCGGTCCGTTTTCACCTGGCCCACCGGTGGGTCCAGACGGTCCTCGTTCGCCCTAAAATAAATGGATTTTGTGACACCTCGTTAATCAGCCCATGCACAAACAGAGATAAGAAAACGTAAGGATTCAGCTCAGTGTGAAGGATTGTCACGGGACTCTCATTAACAAGTCTAATAGCTTTAAAATGGGCCATATTACCACAGACAGGAAGTGTTTGGAGCTGCTGTGTTCCCTCGACAGTTCTGAAATTCACAGTTCTCCCACACATTTTTCTCCATCAAACTACAGGCTTATCTCTGACTAACCACAGCCCACGGTCGTTATGTATGGTGCAAAAAAGTTCATGTTGTACTCGCCGTTTCTCCTTTTGATCCTTCCAGTCCTCGTGTGCCCTTTGAGCCAGGAACTCCTCCCCTCCCCTGTTTGGCATTATGAGCAAATGAACAGCTTGTAATATATTTGAATAATTATTACAAAAGAACTGAATCATACCGGTCCTCCTCGTTGACCCGGTTGTCCTTTGAATCCCTGCAGAAAGGTAAAAGATTTTCATTCAGAAAGTATAGCTGATTATATTGGAAAGTGAATGATGCACATTTCTGCAGCAATTAAGATATAAGGGTTGTGTCCGGTGAATACCTTTGGGCCCTTTGTCCCATGCTGCCCTGGGATGCCAGGACTTCCTCTTTCACCCTGCCAAATATGAATACATGATCATTGAGACTCAAGGCAATATTCATGTGTTTTAATTTGAATTAACCTTTGATCCTGGATCACCGGCCGGGCCTGGAGGACCTGACTTTCCTGGATTTCCAGTTTCACCCTATGTCCATTTGAAATGTAAAAAGAATTGAAGCCTTGTTTACAATGAAAAAACAACAACCATTTCATAAAGGTGGATCTCTACTAACTCTGTCCAGGTATAAGAATAGCTCATATTTAAATTATTACATTTCACAAGTTTTGTTCCTATAATATTTCTTCAGTTTGCATCATACAAATGGAAACATAGACAGAGACCTTGCCAGCTTTTTCTCCTGGTGTTCCGGTCTCTCCAAAGTCTCCAGGAAAACCATCTGGCCCCTGCACACAGTGATACCATCATTTAATCACCACATAATGAAACAGCATTCATGTTTTTCAGCACAACACGCTTTAACATAACTGTGTTGTGTTCCTTCTTGATCTTATTTATATGGTGAGTCATTATAGACAAATAAGCATTATAGAAGTCATGATACTACCCATGGCTTTAGAGCGGTGCAATTGTACACTGGCCCAGAAATGGAAATTCAGTTGAAATATGCTCAAAGTGATTGCTGAGTGTGATTACATTGAATACTTGGGCGACTAAGAAGTGAATGGACTTTTCCACAGTGTTTCTTTATACTTTTTATGAACGTTAAACATGTCTCAATGGATGGTTTGCACACATGAAAAAGAAATGGCAGATGTTGCCAATAAAGTGAACTGTGGATGGGTGTTTCACCTTGTCTCCTGGATCCCCTTTACAACCTGGAGCACCAATGTGCCCAAGTTTACCCTGAGAACACAACAATAATACTTATTTATACATCTACATTTTAAAAAGAAGGGTATGAACACTTTGGTGTATGAAAAAGACTAATCTATATAATAATAACTGAGAAAATTGTATATTATAATCAAACTACTGACAATGTTATTAGTTGCTTGTTAAGACAATCATCAATTGGAGAGTGTCAACTTCTTAAATCAGTTTGAACGAACATCTCTCTGATCTAAAGCTTTCACATGAGGCCTGTCTATGTCATGTAACACGAAGAAAAGAGCAAATGTTACTGTATACAATAGTACATGCACAGTCTACAACGTGCATGCATTTCAATGGGAACCAGAATTATGTACCTTTTGTCCGTCAGTCCCATTTCTGCCTGGAAGTCCGGCTGTTCCCTGGAAGATGGCAGCAGAGGAATCATCTTCTGAATCATGTTTTATTTTTTTCCTGAATTGTTTTTTAAAGGTTGTCTTACCTTTGTTCCTACTGCACCGGTGTCCCCCTGTTAATATAAAACGGATGTTGAAACACACCTTTACAAAGATACAGAGTATTCTTTGATTCTTACTTTGTCGCCTTTAGGACCCGGTTCTCCCTGAGCAGACGAGACAGTTGAAACATTATTATTATCGTACATATTTGTTAATAAAACAGTCAAAACAGCTCAGAACAAACCTTTGTTCCAGGATGTCCAATGGGACCTTCAATGCCAGGATCTCCCTGTGAAAAACATGTTCAGCACGAGAAGCTGTCAAAAATATTATGAATGTAATAATTGTTCTTACTTGGCTTCCTTTTACACCCTTCGGTCCAAATAAACCTGGTTGTCCTTTGATTCCCTGTGAAAATGAAAGAAGGGTCATTTTGAAAGAAATGATGTGGTCAGTAGTATCACATGATTGGGATTCGCATACTTTACCTTTTGGCCTTTGCCTCCTTCACTACCTGGAGGTCCGGGAAACGAAAGGCATTCAGTTTTATTATTGCACTGAAATAAAATACGCAATAAATACACATTTCATCTAAATACACAAAATTGTCAGTAACAGTTCTTACCTGTAAATATGCTTTATATTTCTGTTAAAAGATGAGAGCAAACATCATAGATTAGTGCTTTGAATTACCACTTTGAAACCTCTATTACATTTACTTTATTTGTTGTGTATTTCTTCAACAGTTGATGTTTATTTCGTCACACTTACGTAAATTTATTAGTGTAACTGTTTTATAAATGACTACTAATTTTTATTATCATACGCATTTTTATGTTAAACTAAATACAATTACAGCTTATTACTATACCAGGGCTTTATCGAACCAGAAAATTGATGGATGAAAGTTCATTTGAAAGAAATACATGCCCTTTAAGATGTTAATCTAACACATACTTACAAAGACAAACATATTTAAAAAATCACCATTGTTTTTATCATGCGATCAATGGTCTCCGTGTTGATCCTTGGCCGCCCTCTCATCATATCCACAGCTGTGAAGTTGTGTCTGTAGACGTCTGCAGGAGAGCTGGCGATCTCCTTCATCCCAACCTCATCGACAAGCCCAGACGATGCCACTGCAAAAATCTGGATATCCTTCTCCCGGGCTCTGTCGGCCATGACCCTGATGCCCCCACAGGGATTCCCAGTCACATGACCATCGCTGATCACCACAGAGAAACGCACATCCTTCGGGTTCAGATACGGGCGGCTCATCTCGTACGTCATGTTCTTAATGGCACAGTCGGTGTAGGTGCCTTTGCCCAAGTAGTTGATTCCTCTCAGGCTCCTGATGAAGTCGCTCTTGACAGTGGGGTGGCTGATGACCTCCTGAGTTTGGGAGTAGTGCAAGCCGCCAACAGACCACGAGATCAGGACTTGACCCCGGTAGACTTCGTCTTCCAGCCTCAGAGCGAACTCTTCGGTGAATTGGAGGATGCTTTTGAACAGCTCTCCTGGGGGGGTGTCCTGCAGCGCTATGGTTTCTGAGGTGTCGATGGTGAAGTACAGTCTGATGGGACAGTCGATCACTTCTGTAAAATTGGGAGAGCAATGAGATTTTTTTTCTATAATCAGAGATCTTTTAGCTGGGGGGCCAAAAATCTAACTACGTGTTGTTCCTCGCTCTCAAAAGAGTTTCCTTCCATCACTTTTATTCACATATATGAAAATTGAAAAAGAGAAAACCACCCTCAATCAGCTTTCAGCATCAAAAAGTGATTCACAAGTCTTGTATGCAACAGATAAGAAATGTTCACTAACAGATGCAGCAGGTTGTGGTCTGATTTGTCCACAACAAAACATCTTACTTCTACAAAATGCTTTCTTTTGGGACAACAGCATGGATTATTTATCAAACTGAAAAGTTAGGTATGCAAGCTTTAATTAATTAGAAATGGCTTGGCTGCCAAAGTCACATTAAGTAACATTAATTTGATAAATTGTATTCTACTTTTGATGTTATTGTAAGATGATGATATACTGTGTTAGATTTCAATGTCTGTGGCTGTGAAAGGTGAGTGACAATCAGAACATTACAGCTGAATTCATTTGTGCCCATTTATTTATCTCAGGTTCACAAAAATGGACACAAACTCAATGTATGTGTACATGTGTGATATTGTGAAGAAGAATAAGCTGAACTGAACTGAACTGAACAGAAGCAGATATCTATAATGTTGCACTAAAATATATCTGGCTTTTAATAAACAACTCGGTAAAGAGCAAATCGCAAGCTGTGATATTTGTCTAATTATTTAGAGTCTACAGTTGTAAACTACTCCAGTTTGGAAGCAAAAGATTAAGATTAAGGGTTCTTTTATTCATTCCAAGTGGGGAACTTACAGTGGTGCATCACAAGTTACAGACAGTAGGAATGAGGAGCACACAGCAAAATATAAATGAATGAATGAAAGGGGAATAGCTCACCATCACAGCGACGCCGGATCAGAGATTCAGGGGTGAAGATGTCCTCATCCCCTTGTCCTGGGAAAGGCCTGGGACCCCGAGGATATAGCTGTGGGGTCACAGCCTGGAGCAGACCCAGGAGGAGCAGCCTGTACAGGGCCATACTGACACAGCCCAGCCGTCCTACTCAAGCACGTTGGATTTCCTCCAAAAACACAAAAAAACAGCTGTCTGACAACTGAGTATTTACAGTAGGTGCCTTCACGTTCACCCCACACAAGACTGGTTCTGACTAAAACACAGACATAAACATATGACTTAATGTTCTCCAGGGTTAAGTAGAGCAGACTGGGAGATGCAGTGGTAAGTCATCTATCTCTATTTGAATTACAATCTGTACTACATTATTGTAAGAATGCAAGTTTGCTATTGGGAAGCATGTTTTTCCTCATGTTTACTGTATGTTGTGGGTGTAGGTGTGGGGTTATCTGCATTATATTGTGATTTTTGTGAAACGTTTCTATTGTTTATGTGATCTTGGACTCTACTATATACTCTATAGACAATACGGCCGTTCAAAATGACTGAATGTTTTCTATTTTGTGTCAATTGTATTTCCCTTATAAATGTCCAATGCTGACAATTCAATACAAAGTTATGTCCAAAGATCTTTCAGTCATAGTTTAAATGAGAGAGAATTTAGACAAGACTTTTACCAACTATTCAATCTGGCTGACCAATATGCAATTCACTTAACAAAACAAAGCCAGTGGTCTCTTTGCCTCTAATAATGCGGCTGCAGTCAAATATCTGGGTTTACAGAGTTAAATATCGAGTACATATCAAACTTCAAAATAACATGTAGCGCACAGTGAGCGCTTCTGACATTTAGGCCTACATCATTTCACATCTCTTCAAATTAAAAATAGTTACTCACCAGCAGAATCTGTGAAACCCCAGCCCCGACTGTATGTTTTTGTATGTTCAAGGAAAGTGCAGAAGATGCAAACTGAAGATATTTATCTCAAACGGAAAAAGTCCAATCAGCGCGCTCAGGCGGAGGCTGCGCTAGAGGAGACGCTCGCGCATGCGCACACAGATAATTTTTTTTCTCCCTGCTATTCATTAGTTTTCTTTATATCTTACTTTTTTAGGAGCAATGTGGAAGTGGCTTTGGGTAAACAGAACAAGAGATAAGTGAAAAATGCACACTTTCAGAGTGTGTTTGTGGTCAGTCAGAGCCTTAAATGGACAGAACGAGGAAGTGTTTATGTTTCAAGAAAATGCAACATCAACTATGTCACGCAAGAATCCAGTCTCCTCTGGATACACAGTTTATCTAAACTGGCTAATGTTTGGAGCCAAGGGAAAAAAAAAACACGAATCACTCATTGGAATCACTTATTTATATATGTATTATTTTTGGACACATTCAGTGTAATGTGTGATTATCTAGTAACTAACATCAGACTTATATGACTGTTTATCTTTAAAATGAACACTTTTTTTGTGAAAAAAGGGGGAAAAGGTAAGGATGCCATATCATGTTTTACAACTCAGCTGCTGAAAAAAGATCTTCATCAAATTGGCTAAAGCCATATAAATGCAAACAGCAAATACGCAGCAAGAATAAAGACTTGGCAACACAGCAGACACTTTGAGGATTTTTTTGTTTGTAAAACATCATTTTCACTATGTTTAGTGTCTGAATAATGCATGTGCCATTGTCCTCTGGCACTATGACCAGCAGATGTTGTCAAAACCTATAGAATTCCTGGTTGCTGTGATGATAATCAACGACAGAATGATAATTCCAAATGCCACGGTAATAGCATTATGGCTCAAGCAGCAGCCTATGTTGTTGAACCAGCTTATTCCTTTGTGCTATGAGACATTACCTTTTGAAGGACATCGTTTTAAAGGTGCTGCAGGTAGATTATTACTGATGAACCATCTCTACGCCTCTGTGATTTTATTCAGCCTTAAATAAATCAACACCTGGGACCTTTCCTCTCAGTGGGAACTGTGACAAGGTCATGGAAATGCTCAGCTCCATTTATCCCAATACTATTTAACCACCACATGCCCCAATATGGCAGAGGAAAATAAGACATTGGAGGTTGAATAAGTATGCACATTCAGCCAAATACCACCTTATATCACCTTGAATGTAAATAGTTATATTTATATATATGTATAGCAGTTCAATTCAATCTTGTTCTTGGCATACACCTGGACTCTGTGGCCACGTGTTTCTTCAACAGAATGCTGAGAAACTAATCAAATAAAGAAATCATTGAGACAGTTTGCAGACCTAGAAGTGAGCAGGGGAAATTGCTGCACTAGAGGGGAAAAGGCCTCTCTTGATTATAGTCTACTAATGTTTTAGTTGTACTTGAGCACAGGAATTGAATTCAGAAAATGTCTGAGGACAAAGCCAATCCCAGTACCGTATTGAACATGTTTTTTGTCACGTCCATCCATCCATTTTTTTTTCCCCTTAATCAATTTCTGGGTCGGGGTGGGGGGGGTTTGACAGTCAGAGCTGCATCCAGACCACAGAGCACCAGCCCCTCACTGATCCTCCTGCAGGTGGTGAGTCCACAGGAGCAATTTTTACCTTTTTCCATCTCTGTCGCTGCACTGATATGAATTGGCTTTAGTCAAATGTATTTTAACGCTTTTTGTCACGTCTCTCATGGAATAACTTGACTGATCATCACAAATCTGGAAGCAGACATTTTCATCAATTAAAGGGATCCAGCTAAATACACCATTCTCAAACCATTACTGTGTGTAATTGAGTAAAGATCACATTATTCTGAATAAACCCCATGGATTTAGTGTTTTCAATCTGAGCAATATGATGAAATCTACATGCAAGCTTGGCACACCAGGCAAGTGCATTTCATCCTCGATTACACGGCTGTCATGTTATGAGACATGTTTTGTGCTCACATTCTCACTATAGGCATTTTTTATGGCAATGTACCGGACAATACAAAACATTTTACTTTTGGCAGAAGATAATTGTGTTTTTGGATTATCCACTTGCAGGTTTCAGCTCTGGTTTAGATCTGCATTTTAATGAGGGCCAATGCTGAAATCTTGACGTGTGTCCGAGAGCAAAGTGCATTCAGACCTTCCTCTGGGCTCAGATGAAGCAGTTATGGTGGTGACAGCTGGTGACATGAGATCTTTAGAGATGGGTTTTACTGAGCTTGCTCCATATAGTTTTGGAAAAATGAGATGGACATGATCGATGGTTCACAGTCTATATAAAATAGTCATGAGTAATATATGCTCAAAGGCCTGAAAGAAAAATCACTGTGTAATTCTTTTTTGAAGCCAAAAAGAGAACACATTTTTCAGTGGAGCGTATGGATCTTTTATAACACTTTTGAAGCAACTATGGTTAAAGCTGAACTCATCATTAGGACAGTAAACTGGTGGTTTTACACTTGATGTGTTGGTTGTCTTGAGGCCAAAGCTACTAGCGTTATGGAAAGTGCTGATTGGACTGTCTAAGACACGTCCAAAGATTAGCTGCGTGCACATGATTTTATACCATGGAGGAATAAACCGTCCAATCAGGACCTGCCAAAACGCCGGTAGCTTCGGCCTTCAGATAACCAAAACATCAAATGGAAAATGACCAGCTTGTGCATACTGTCCTAATTATGAGTTCAGCTTTAACCACAATTTTTTCAAAAGTGTTGTATGTTGACCTGAATGATTACATTGGTCAGCTCTGCAGAACTTTGAGGCAATCAAATATATAAAGAATCTCAGCTCATTCCTTAAAGAGGCTGAGGCTCCGATGTTCCGCAGTTAAACCTATCTATATAACTTATTCAATCCTTTCTCTGCACATATGTCCAGGTGACGCATTCGCTTCTCAATGAAAGTAAACAGGCGGCTTTTAGGTATAGGTCAAAGAATGCTTGTCTTGTGATTAAAATCTCACCAAAATCTCAGACAGGCCACATTAAATGTCATTGTTTGAGAAATGTCAGGAAATAAATATAAATGGCAACACGGAGAAGCTCCCAAACAAAGTGAAAGTCTTGTTTGTAAAGAACATTGCGATAAGTCCATTTCACGTTTAGCATTTTTGACTTTATCATTATCACCGTCTGTAACTCAGTAATGCTTCTCTGTAATGGCTGTAATTTGGTCGTACATTCAAGCCGCTGTCAGGGAGAGGATTGGCTGCTCTTTGCCTGTGTGACAAATTATTTGCTTGAATAGCACATTACTTGCATTTTACCCACTTTATCCAGCCTCACATCTCAGTCTGCTAAAACCTATTTCAGCTGATGAAATAAGACCCACGCATAAAAATACATTTTATGAAAATGTACGTTCAAGTAAGAATATAATTTTAGTCATGAGGAAGAAAAGTTCTGGGAAAGGTTCTGGGTTTAGGAGATAATGTAACATTTGTCCATTTCTGAAACACTAGAAGTCTGCAAACACGTTTAATAATTAGATTAGTCAATAGATATAAATGCCTTAAAAGAGTGTTAATGTCGAGGCTTGCATGTATACCTATACAATTGTATCTGTATATTATACAGATTTTATACATATATTTACAGATGCATGGATTGAAAGACTGGTCTGGATAAAAGAGATAGAACATGTTAAACTGAAAAATTAATTATTCATTAATTCATTATCATCCCCTTTATTAGTCAATATCTGGGTTGGGGAGGTGGCAATCCAAGCTGCCCCAGCCCCTCGCTGATGCCCCTGCAGGTGGTGGGTCCTCGGGGGAATGGCTGCTCCTTCAGGAACAACACAGTCCTGGTCTTTCTGCAGGATTAGGTGCCTTGCCCATGGACACAATGACAGCAGACATCAGAGGGAGTAAGTGGACCGAAGATCAATGCTCCACCAACAGAGCAACAGTCGCCTCCATGAATGAATGAAAACATTCAATAAAAACATAGACTCCCCGTTGTACTTATATCTAGGATCTCTTCATCTTCATCTATCAAAAGAAAAACATTTGGTCCGCTCCCAAATGTGTTCAATATTGTGATATTATTTTCATGTTTTTCATCACCATTTATGTCAAACGAGGGGGATAATAAATCCCTATCAGTGTTGTGTTTCTGCTCAGTGCTAAGATGTCGGTTTTATAAAAGCCGAGTCGAGTCGACATCAGCAGAAGATTCAAAGAGACAAGGTGAGAAGACGTGAGAAACAGGAGCATAGTGTGAACTGGAAATAACCTTTACACTTCCTGATGGGTTCCTCTGCACCTCCTACTGAGATCAGCTCTTCATGGTTTTAATAATTCAGCATAGGACTGAGAGATGATGCTTTATGACTGTAGTTAACAAAACAGAAGCTTTGTGACAAAGTTAAGGAAAGATCATCCCAAATCACTGCATTTCTCCCCCATTTGAATACTTCTATTTGCTTTATTATCTGCATGGCATGAAAGTGAATCCTGTGTGATACATATTTTGATGCTTAATAGCAAAGAAATCCATTTTGTTTTCACACTGCTACAGGCCTGACTTGTGCTTGTAACACATAATATTAAATAATGGGATTTTGGAATATTTTTAAGTAAGTGCATCCAAATGAACGACTGGGGAGCTCTGGTTTAATGCTGAAAACACAAAGTGGGTAAAAAAGGACTTGGCAAATCGAGTCTCCACCGAAATCTTATTTTCTTCCTTCTCCAACATGCCTCTAATATAGAATACCCTTTGGGATAAAACTGATCTTTCAAGAGGCAAAAGCAGCAAAAGCAGCGTCTCAAAGAGCATAACTGAATGGAGGCTGCAGAGAGAAGAGCTCATTGTCTTTGTGAGTTAAACATGAACCTGAACCAGGGTCTAATAGACGGACGCTGACTCCAATCTGGCAGTCACAAAAGAGAAAACAGTAGAAGACATTTAGTTTATCGCTGTTAATGTTTTTAATCAAGCAGAAGGTGTGTAGCTTGAGATCTTTGCTCGGTGGCCAGGATTCTGAAAGGGTTCTATTCAACTATTGGACTCTAACCAATGATAATGGTTTGGAGAACTAATAAATGTTAACACAGAAAACTTGCCATCATATTCAATTGAACCCCTCTGCAATTGATAAGAACAGAAAAAGTCTAAACCCACCTTTAAACAAACAATAAGGCTTTTAGGAAATGTGATATATAATTGTTTATGGTAAATGTTAAATCTTAATGTATGTAATGCTGTGAGGGGGAAATGTTTAGTTATTGTGATAGCAATTAGAACTAGAATGTTATGGGAACAATGTTTCAGGTAACAGTAACCTGTCAGAGTCCAGTGTCTAATCAGAATGTAACAAACTCATCCACAGTATTTCTCTGCTCTACTAAATATATATATATATATATATAGGCATTATGAATGATTCTTATTATTCTAATTTAAATTATGATAATCTCAAACAAATGATAACTGATCACATCTGCAAATCAAACAGCTTTGACTTTTATTCAATCCATCTAAGGACATCAGAGATGCACACACAGACTTGGCCCAGTGCAGTCCTGGAGCATGTGGCTGGTTTGTAAGGGTCTGGGGTTAAGGCCTCACACGGTGGTCACCCTCATGACCAGCTCTCGTGTACCGGGGCTTGGCTGCTGGCCGCGGGGCTCTGTCTGCCGCAGGTGGCTGAGGAGATGGAGGATATTGTAAGGGCAGTGCTCTGGGACCACACTGCCAACGGTGGAGTCAGTGTGGGCATTGAGTCCTGCAGTGACCACTGTAGTGGAGGTGGAGCCCGCTGCTGTGGAAGCCACCACCATGAGCGAGGAAGTGGACTGGGACACACCCACGCCAGTCTGAAAAGCCGGTCTGGGCTGAGTTCTATCCACTGCCACCTGCTTCAGGTCATCACTGTCCAAAGACTTGTCGTAGTTCAGAACCTTCCACTGTTGGTTCACCGCCTGCCACCGGTGGAAGATACGGAAAACTGAGGGGCCCTCGTGGACAATCAGCGCTGCAGAAGAGAGCAACCGTGTGTGAGAACATTATATACTTAAAAATCACTTTTCCATACACATATTTATTGCTAGGATAAATTAAAGGGAGCTACATGGATTACGTACCAGTGTGTGGCTTTTTTGATGACAACAATTTCAGAATGTAGCTACATGACAGTGTAAACATACTGTAGACAAAATAACATTATAACAAGTCAATCCTTATTGTAATAAAACAATAGTTACAGCAGTGCAATCACACTTACAGTCAATGTATTCCATTGAGCAGAATCCATTTCTAAGCATTCTGATAAGGCTTGTGCATGGCACGATGATGTGTGTCTTTGATTTTCTAATATGTTTGTAATTTTCAAAACCATTTTTTTTTAAAGTTCTACATGTATTCAATACACTTTTACATTCACACACTTCTATAGGAATACACACTTACACACTACCTGCACTAACATGCTTTACGGGCGCAGTGCCCGTAAATTACAAAGTAAAATGGACATTACAAATAAAGAATGAATTTTACACCTCAGTCAGGGTTTTCCGTTTTCAGTAAGGGTTTTAGATCAGGCTGAAGAAAGAGACTTAATTCGTCTCCTGGAGAAATTCTACAGAATCTTATCACAGTCTAAAATTAAGTATTGACCAATCAACAACATTTTGGAAACTCAAATATTCCTGAAGCACATATGATGTAACATTGAGTAACATGAGAAACAGGATATGTGACACTATACAGTATTTAACATAATATCTGAACAAAAGGATTACAAGCGTTAAATACATCCAGGTTATACTCATAAAGAGTGCACAAGAGGGTCAGAAATCAAGCCGACTTTGTGACAGTCCCTGGTCTGACCTTTTCAAGATATTAAGATCAGTTCCACCTTTATATCCTCAATATGCAGCTTGTTCATGTATGCAAAGGTCAAGTCACACTCAATAAATCCACAATGTTTCTAAGGCTTATGGTTTTATGCATGACTGTACGCTCCAGGGCACAATATTAGGAAATAGGAACCTCTAGGACTGAGGGACCGGATCATTTATACAATCTGGAAACTGGAGGTTTACATACACCTTGTAAAAAGACACTGTCCCAAATATTTAATCTTTAAAAATATATATATTTCTATTGTTATTTAAACATATAATAAATTATGATTATTTAATGTTATTATGTTATTATATTAATATATATCATATTTTGATGTTGTACTGGTTTTTAAATAAACATCTTGATTAATATTGAGAGACGCACACATTTACCATGGGATCGAGCAGGGCTCAGATAGATAGATGGACCTTTATTGTCCCCTGAAGGAAAGGTGATCGTCGCTCCAAAGCAAGAAATCAATAACACATTTATTTAAAAAACCAAAGTAAAATGAAATCACATTTCTCAATATTGTGTCCAAAATTAAATAATAATGGTCAAAATAACATATAAATCATGAGAATAAAATCATAGGTGTATGCAAACCTTCGGTAGGCACACATTATTTGACTAGAGAATAAGAAACAATACTTTTGTTTTATACATAAATATATAGTAGCCCTTTCATGACGAAAACAAAGCATTTAGACGGAGAGAGTGGGAGGAGGTGTTTTCACACTCACCATTTTGGGCTTAAAATATGTTCTTTAGAAATGTCTACGTTCCTAGGGTTGTTATTTTGATACTGTCTTTGTGAATCCAGACTATTCGCCATCGTAACCGAGTTAGTGACACGTTAGTTTGCATCTGCCCCAGTTATAACGTAAAGCTAACCTTGTATAAACAAGTGCCCCTAAGAATATTGGCTTCAGCTAGCTTATGTTCAAATTGGCTTCTTCTGCATTTGGCCAGTCCACTTCTTGAATACAGACTATGGATGAAACAATGACATTTCCGTACTGTGGGACAAATAATGGATATCTTAATTCAGTGAAAATGCGGCCCTTGCCCTTAAATATCTACATTGTGTGGTAAGTTAATGAGTGTGAAGAGTTGCTCTGCTTTGCACGAATGCCTTTTCAGAAACCAGCTTCATAAACTGCCACTGCAATAGTTCTGTGCACATCTGTATCAGAAGTTCCTGATATTTGCCCGGATTAATCTAAAAACAAATCTTTTTATGATGTTTGTTTATTTTTGCCAAATATGTTTCCTTTAAAGGGGCATTTTTTCCCAGTGATGGTTTGAATTCTCAGCCTTTGCCGTGACTCCCTCATTGATCCTGTTCAACAGCAGTTATGTAGTAGTCTCACCGATGCAGACGACATCCATGAAGCCGTACATGCCGTAGCAGATCTGGAACAGCAGGTCCTGCCGCTGCCAGCGCGCGGACGGACTGAACGATGACCACACCAACCACGAGATACTGGCCATGAGGAACAAAGACCCCAGGATGGCTGCTGCGATCTGCACTTTCTCTATCACGGTCAGGGAGATGGCTTGCCACTGCATAAAAACAACAAAAGAATAAGTGAGAAACTGAATTTGAACGCAGTATCCAGGCTGTTGGCCTTTGCTGCCACATGTGATATTGGAGCATACTTAATTTCACACTAATGATGTGCTCTTTAATCAATATACTCATCTTTTATTGAAAAGTTCCCTTTAATTATTTACGTTCAAAGTTGAACGTAATTGAATGTACTTCAACATAGAAGAGGAAGCATGTCGTATAATCCATAATTAAAACATTCTCACACAAGTTTAATAAAAACTGGAGAATAAAACACCAGAAATAATTTTGGATAAAAAGGCTAAACTTTTAACGTGACCTGGTTGTAAATAATACAGGCCATCGGAAACCTTTTTCATTTAATCATAAACAGAATAATAGGTGCTGTGAAGAAACACCACTAAAACAATAATGATAATGTATTGTGGTGTGTAGTATAACACATAAACAAAAACATGAATGAATCGACCAAATACAATATAAAACAAATAAAAGACAATAATCTATAAGTGCCTTATTCACAAGTCATATTGAAAAATAAGAAAAGAGTTGTAAATATTGTTTTAAAGATGCTGTGTGCACCAGGTAGTTGTCGTCTTGTTCAGGAGAGGAGTAACGCTCACTCACAGGACATGGTTTATACTTTTTGATATTTTTGTTGGAAGAATTATAAACTATTCAGAAGAATTCTCTCTCAATAATTCCATAGAACTTCAGAAAAATTATTACCCAAATAAGATAACATTTCGATTGCCCCTATTTATGACTGTTGAGATATGAATTTACTAAAGAACTGCAAAGTAAGAATACTGATTGAGTTGTTGAGTTGCTATTTATGCAGTCAACAATTTCATTTGTTTATCATTTTGTTTATCGTCTCATGACTTTTGGTGTTTGAACGTTTTGTAGTTTTGTAAATTTTTGTACTTAAAATTGTATTTTTTCCAATCTTTATAATAGAGATTTTTACGATCTCCCTATGGACCAATGGCTTCTATGTTTTTGCTATTTTTGCATTTCCTCTTTTTGAACAGGTTGATTCTCTGATCTGTGTTGGCCAATCGACAACTTTGGAAAGTTGAAGAATAAAACATACACAGGTCCAAGACACACACACACACACACACACACCTGCAGTGGGTTCTTGGTGCTGATTGCGATGACCTGATACTTGTAGTAGCACAGCTCGCAGGCCCAGGAGCCTCTCTCACTGATCCACTTGATGAGGCAGGGCTGGTGTGTGCAGCGGACCGAACCACAGCAGCGACACGGGCTCAAGAGCTCCCCCTACAGGCCACAAGAAAAGGCAGTCAGTGTCAGCCCTGGTCTGCGCAAAGAAGCTTGCACTGTCCTAGTTCTGTTGCATTGTGATGTGTTGTGCTGCTGAAACACACGTAGTCTCCCACAGTTTGGACAAAAGCACAGAAAGCAGTTGCCGATAGAAATTACTGCTGATCTCAACTTCCAACCCCCTGCTGAGAATACATCTTGCATGCACTGTATTCTGGGTTATAACTTCCATAACACTTCTTGTTGCTGTTCTTTCTTTGCTAGTATATTGATTTTCTGAGAGCTGTGCATGTGCTGTCAAGTGAGAAAAGACATTCACTCTGTAAGCATACGGCAGGCACACGCATGATAATAAACACAAACAAATCACAATACCAGCTCAGATTTCAGACCAACCCTTTGTGTGTCGGGTGAGGCGCCTCGATTACTCCTGACGATGGACTCAGCCAATCAAAGACTTTGTGAAATGGATGTAGCAACAAAAAAAACAATGTAGCAATTTAGAAAATAATTATATTCATATATTAGCAGCTCCTGTCCTTCCTTCAGTCAAAAGGCATTTGTTTAGGTTTCAACAATAAAAGCCTCTCCTGTGTATAAGATGGTGAAACTCACTGTCCATTCAAGGCAAGGCAAGTTTATTTGTATTGCACAAATCAAACACAAGGCAACTCAAACTGCTGAACAAAACAAGATAGAAACAGTCACACAAGGCCATTCAAATAAATAATCACATCCAGTCAAAAGAGTAAAGATAAAATCCCTCAGTTGTATGCACAGCTAAACAGAATAGGAGGCCAGTCCTTGTGCTCCTCAGAGTCTGAGTTGGTTCATATGGCACTAACATGTCACTGATGTACTTTGGTGCAAGGCCCAAATGCATTCTGGAGAGTTTTTGTGTTTTCAAACAGACAAAACATGTACAAAATCCAAACTAATTCCTGTCTTTTTTGGATACACATTGACTGGATCACGGATCACAATAAATGAAAAGAACATTTTAAATTCTACACTCATAAAACACTTTTCTATCTTTCAATCTATTAATCATTTCAGATCAAGAAATCCCTCATCCGTTCACACAACAGTGTAGGCATGCATAGGGTCTTGCCCAAGGATAAAAGGGCAGCTTTCAGTTATCGAAACTGAAATGATTGTTTCACATGGATAGGTCTGGAGGTAATTGCAGAAAGAAGAGCTGCTAACATTGTGGCAGATAATTCACCTTTCATGCCATGGATCTCTTCAAATCCAAGATTAAAATACGCTTGCTGAACTCGAATGGCCTTCACAGACATCTGCACAAGAAGGCTTTCTAGCGAGAATATGTGAACTTCTTTTAAAGTAAGTGAGACTCACTGAATTTGACATTACAACTGGATACACTGAACAAATGAGGGATTTATTTCATCTCACAAAAAGCCTTGGAATCATTAAATCATATTTCTTTAACTGTCATGAGACGTTCAAAATGCAGGGTAGACAATTCCTCTGGGTAAGCAGTTGCGGTTTGAACAAAAATGTAATCTTAAAACTTCAAAGTGTCTTCCCTTTCTATAGATATTTCTCCATAAGGGGACTGAGCGCCAGTCTGTATTGAATGGAAAGTAAATTAGCTAAACCCCTGGACAGAAAAAACAGCTCTCTCAGTCACTCCGAGTTAGCCATTGTTACCTGTCTATTCAATATCCCCTCTGCCCGGTCAACCTTCAGCACGCCATCCATATTGTAATGAGAAATCCAAAGCGCCAAGATTACTTTTACTGCCGTGTTATTGTGCCGGCACAGCTAACAGATGGAGCGAGGCACCCCGTCTCAGAGAGGAAGAATGGGAAAGCGGGTGTATGGGGCACAAATGGGCTGTATGCAGATGGATGCGGTGGGCGTGGGTTGGCTGGCACCGGCTCCACGACACTTGTGTTGTGTCCAGGGGGACTCAGAGCGCTCGCTGTGACTGGACCAATCACAGCCAAGAGATCACCACAGAGCTCCCTATCAAAGCCCACACAGACGGGGAGTGATAAGTAAATGTCTTTTTGATCAAACAGCCACGATCATTACCAAACAGACAAAGGGACAATGAGCCGCATTGTGTTGGGTCTGATGACAGGCGGGCTGAGTGTATGGCGGCACAGATTCAACGCGGCAAATGTCATAATTGTAGGTGAGGTTGAAAGGGAACTTCAAACTGTGTTCAAAAATACACAGTCCTAATAATATAATACTGGTGGTTCACTACGCCTCATTGTGTAGGAGAAATTCATGAGGCAGAAAATGCAGAACACTATCTCCAAAGACAAACATCCACTGCCAGAGATGCCGAGGAGCGACCGCTTCCTCTCTCTGAGCTGTAGCACGGAACGGAACGCTGTAAACCGACAAAGAAAAATAATTTGAGCATCGATGACTCAAACTTGTAAAACAAAACAAAATAGATTTAGATTCAAAACGTGGACTAAAGTGGACACTTACACATGTTTTGTCTAATATATAATGACTAATGGTGCCACACTAGCACAGCGGTTGAATTCTATGTTCTCCATGTGTCTAGGTTTGCTCCGGGTGTTCCAGTTTCCCCAACCACTAAAAAAATGTGCAATAGGTTTGAATGAGTGAAAGGCTTGTGATGGTCGGTGTCTTTGGTTCAGTCAAAAAAAGCGCTTTCAGTGACCTTGGTCGGTGAAATGAATACATACAGTACATATTACTTAATGGGAAGTAAAGAGTTGTAATTAACAATTATTTTGAATTTTTTTTTAATTAGTTGTTTAGATCCTGAAGGTCTTTGAATATCAATTTTTTTATGCATCTGACCAAAACAAAGCTCAGGCTCTGCCCTCAGAGAACATATTCATAGAGTCTTGTTTGATTGAAAATACTTTGTAAACATATTTTCATTTTATTCTGCGGCCATTATAGAATTATCTGTCTCATAAAACCTCTTCCTCAAACCTCTGCCATCCTCAGCATGTGTAAGTCTGTGTTAAAAAAATAATAAACAAATCAGAATCCAAAAAATCAGATTTCAACCATTTTCAATGATAGATTATTCGTAATAGTTCCATTCAGTTGTTAAAAACCTCGTTCTTCTGGAGGGCTGAACACTTTCATTTCTCTATTTAGGAATCAATAAAGCATCATGCTATTCTCAGAATTTATACTTCGATTCCAAATTTTTTAGACAAGCTTTCTGTTTTTTGAGTACAACAGCATTTCACGCAGGAGCAACACACACTATTCTTTCCTCTGTTCTGTCTGCTCTGTCTGCTCTGTCGGCTCTGTCTGCTCTGTCTGCTCTGTCTGCTCTGTCTGCTCTGTCGGCTCTGTCGGCTCTGTCGGCTCTGTCGGCTCTGTCTGCTCTGTCGGCTCTGTCTGCTCTGTCTGCTCTGTCTGCTCTGTCTGCTCTGTCTGCTCTGTCGGCTCTGTCGGCTCTGTCTGCTCTGTCGGCTCTGTCGGCTCTGTCTGCTCTGTCGGCTCTGTCGGCTCTGTCGGCTCTGTCTGCTCTGTCGGCTCTGTCTGCTCTGTCTGCTCTGTCGGCTCTGTCTGCTCTGTCTGCTCTGTCTGCTCTGTCGGCTCTGTCTGCTCTGTCGGCTCTGTCTGCTCTGTCGGCTCTGTCTGCTCTGTCGGCTCTGTCTGCTCTGTCTGCTCTGTCTGCTCTGTCGGCTCTGTCGGCTCTGTCGGCTCTGTCGGCTCTGTCTGCTCTGTCTGCTCTGTCTGCTCTGTCTGCTCTGTCGGCTCTGTCTGCTCTGTCGGCTCTGTCGGCTCTGTCTGCTCTGTCTGCTCTGTCGGCTCTGTCGGCTCTGTCGGCTCTGTCGGCTCTGTCGGCTCTGTCGGCTCTGTCGGCTCTGTCTGCTCTGTCTGCTCTGTCGGCTCTGTCTGCTCTGTCGGCTCTGTCTGCTCTGTCTGCTCTGTCTGCTCTGTCGGCTCTGTCGGCTCTGTCGGCTCTGTCGGCTCTGTCGGCTCTGTCGGCTCTGTCTGCTCTGTCTGCTCTGTCGGCTCTGTCGGCTCTGTCGGCTCTGTCGGCTCTGTCGGCTCTGTCTGCTCTGTCGGCTCTGTCCTGTCGGCTCTGTCTGCTCTGTCGGCTCTGTCGGCTCTGTCTGCTCTGTCGGCTCTGTCCTGTCGGCTCTGTCTGCTCTGTCGGCTCTGTCGGCTCTGTCGGCTCTGTCTGCTCTGTCGGCTCTGTCGGCTCTGTCTGCTCTGTCTGCTCTGTCGGCTCGTACACGTCTCAGTAGTACTATCACAGCACACCCATGGGCTGCACCATTATATGTACTAGTGCCTTGGTGAATGCTGCTATTATGAATGGAAAACCTGTGATGAAGTTTTGTCCTGTGAAGGCTTACTATACACCCCTATGTTTTTTTATGGGAACATATAAACCCTATAATTTTTTACCTTTTTCTTACGCAAAAACTGTTTAATGGAATGGACGACTATGTAGTCACTTTCTCCCGCCCCAGGAAATTAGATTCAGCAATTGGGGCCAGGAATCAATAGAAGTGAACTCTATCAACGCACATGGAAGAAGGAGATTGTGGGATTATGACGTTGCTTCCATAGTAACTCCAATTTTTAAAAAGGTCCCAGGCCAATAATAGGCTTGACCACAGGCGTTTCATTTTTAATGCTACTATATATACACACAGCGGGATTATTGCACACATCATTACACAGAGTAGGCACTTCTGGGCCATTAAAAAGGGTTTGAGGGGATAATAAGCAATCACTGACTTAATTGATTTACATATAATCATTGGGTGCACATTTATACAGACCTGGTATTTCATGTGCGATTTTACACACATCCATAAAATATATTTCGTCCAAGCTTCCTCAATAAATACACTTATTTTCTCTGCGCTGTCTCTCAGCTAGAAACATAGATATTTAATAGAATTATCAATTAGGGTTAGGTTTTGTCAAATGTAGATTCTCTGGATGATAGTTATTTTGTTACGTATTTTTCTGACATGCAAGACACCATTTGACTGTTCATTTTACTCATTAATCTGTTTAAAAATACAAATCAGGACAAACTGGGAATGAAACATAGATTGTAACAATGCAGAAAATCCTCATTTAAATGTTTGTTTAAAACCAGGATTTCTTTTAGAGTTTGTTTTAACCACAACCTGAAAAAGAAAAGCATGATAAAAAAAACACAATATATACAAACCTAATAATAATCCTGGAGTTATATAACATGTTAATGCACAAACAGCTGATAAGCCATCACACACAACAGAGACAGCCATACAGGAAACATGGTGCTTCCTCGGCCCCTGAAGGCTTCTCATTGTGGCTGGAGCAAATACATTGTACGGCTGCATCATCTGTGCCATGATTTAGGGAGAAAACATAACATTTCTCCCTCTGAGAAGCCAGGACAGTGGCAGCAGCGGCCCCAAAGGGCACTTCATAATCCTGCATGACACTTTGGGAAAGGCTTTTTATACTACAGTGTAAATGATGTCGATGTAACTGTGTCTGAGGGATTTTTACTTCTATAGGTCGCTTTTTCTTGAGGAAACACTTCTTGATGTAAGCTATAAGGTATAGCATATTTTTGTGTGGTGTGTCAAATAGTGTCAAATATTAAATGTTAATATAGTAGTAACTAATGAGACAGGTGTACTGGAAAACCAATATGTAATAAGGTAAATTATCGTGACTGGCCAGTCCCTGCCAGTCCCTGTTAACTTCTGTTTTGTGTTTGTTCTGGACTTTTGAAAATGCTTTCATAAATTCCTTTTAATTGCATTTTGGGTTCTATGTCCTTTTGAAACGTGACAATTGTGAGCATTGACGAGCTTAAAATGGCGCATAAAGAGTCTAATATTTCATTTCAACGGTTTGACACTGTTTCATAACATCGATGATGCCAAAATTTAGAGTACGTAAAAAATACATCCTTAATAGAACCAAGTATAGAGCATTTTCCTGCGTAGATTGTCAAGGCCTTTTTCCATATCAGAACTTGAATAAGATTTAATATGCGTTTGACATTTTATTCTTCATAAAAGTGTTATCAGGATCGCACTGTCAATATTGACTGGTGATGGCTTTCGGAAATATTAACATGGTACAAACATAATGTAATTCTTAAATATATTCATGGGTTATCTGTTAATAAGGTGACTGCCTCTATGCTGCAGAAAAAACGTGCAATTCTCTATAATTGCTCAATTGTTACAGCAACAATTACCCCACGCATATACGAGCACTAGAGGACTGTTCAGTGCATATTAAAACTGAGTGTAATCATTTCAAACGATCAGGTCAAGCAATAAAAGTCTAGTATTTTCTCTGCCTCGCTTTGCTCGTGGTGTATCGCGCTACTTTTTCTACCAGGCCTGCCTTGACATGGTAGTGTTTTGAAGGTAGATTGTCAGATCAGATCCTAACATTCCCATCAATGTGACATCCCTGAGGCCACAGGACAAGAGAGGATAACTAATGTCCCATAGTTGGCTGGCTCTCCACTGCTGCAAGAACGTGGCGCCTGCTTACACCTCGCCTGATCCATATCTGGACCTGACCCAAACCAATGGACAAAGATAACAGGCAAAAGAACCCAGAGATGGATGGGAGCTTGCATAATGATAGTACGCTGTAAAATCAAGCGTTATTGATAAACTGAAATTTCTCATGAAAGCATTGATGAGTCGGAAGAAGCCAAGGGAAATGCTGCCAAGTTAAAGCTGGCCATTTGTATGCACTGCCATAGTATGCAGACGATGTGTATAGGTTATTAAATCTACTTGTGTTTCTAAAGGCCGGCCAGCAACCCCCATTGCCAGTTAATGTGGGCCTAGATTCACTCCATCAAACAGTTTTCCACTAATTATACCACAGCAAATAGGAAGCTAGTTAGGCAAAAGAGGATAAGAACATTTTGTGGATTGACAAAATGTTTGCTATGTTTAAAACAGCAGCATAAAGCTACAGTGTCCAGCTCGGAAATAGTTTTAAATAAATGTCACAAATAAATAGGTATTTATGTAAACTGACCCTGTCAGATGCCATATCTCAGAAGCAAAGCAGGACAGAGTACTCTAGTACTGTGATGGGAGACCACAGGGAACATCCAGTGGCACGGTGGGAGGCTGCAGTGTGAAACTATCAGTGTGTCCTTGGGCAAGACACTTTAGCCTCATAGTCTATGAGTTAGTTGCATGTGTGCATGAATGCTAGTGGTCGAATACCACGTGAAGAACCTTTGAGAGTAATATATATAAATATATAATAAGTATCAGTAACAAAAGTAATTGTGAACTTTCTTCATTATTGTCAGTTAGTCTGCAATCATAAATGAACTCATGCACTAAACTGTGGCTGGATAATCACAACAACCATAACATAAGAGATGCTGAGGTTAGGGACGATCACTATAGAAAATAAGACACAGGTTTAAAATGTTAATGAAATGTTAAGAAGCAGAGAATATGGTAAAACGATAATATCATTAATGACAAAACTGTGGCAGGAAGTTCATCCTCAAGCTAAACCATAAGTAACCACTCTAGTAATGATATAACACGTACTTGCCACTCTTCAGCTCTCCTGTTTTACTTTCCTTATCCCCTTCATCTCCATTAACCACCGCCGAGACGGGACGAGCTCAGCGACGTGTGCTCAAAGACTGCCATGCAGTGTAACTAATGTCTCTGCAAATTGCTAAGCACTGGCGTTCCCTGTAACAATTTATTATTTTTTATTGCAGCCCATCGTGTCTTAGATTTTCCCGTCATGATTGATGTAGTGCCACATTATGATCGATAAAGCCCCAAAGGCGTGGACTGCAGATGATTAACAAAAAGGCGCTGCTCCTGTGTTCGCCACACTCTTCTGTGAACGTATCCAGGTGGCGTCATGGAGTGAGAAGTATTATTTGATTTGTTTTCATGCATGTAATCAACGTGTGAGATGAATCTGAGTTTGGTCTATAATGAGTTGTTACTGCATCTCAGCACTCTCCACACTTGTCAAATATGGGGACAAGGTATTTCATTATCTTCTTACGGCTGCCATAGTGTCTTTACATTAACAGAGTCTTGAGTTGATGGAGTGAGATTTCTCCAGCTACTGTCCAGCTCCACAAACACCAGAGCACTGGGGCCCTCACATGGCTCTACAGTACTCTATGACCACATTAAGAACTTGGCCAATGTATAGGCTGAGAATTTAATTCATGACATAGTAATCTATTCAATCAAATGTAAATGATATTTCAAGGATCGATTTTGGGCTATTGGCCAAAAGGTGACAAAAACTGTCCCTTTAATGTACATATTGCTTTCTATTTGAGAAAAAGGTTTACACTTCCTTCATGCCACTGTAACTCACATGCTCGGGTCCCTGGAAGCAGATCCTGCACACGGGTGTCCTGAAGCCGCTCTCGGTGTAGCTGGTGAGGGAGAATCTCTCCTCCAGTTTGCCCTTTGAGCAGTCATCTGAGGAACTGCTGTGGCCGCGCAGGGCTGCCGACAGCTCGGCTGCGTCCACCCAGACCCCCGCTGATCCACTGGCTCCCGCTGTGTCCTGGGCGGCCCGCTCCCCGGCCGGCTGCTGCTGGGGGCTCTGTGTGACGGTGTTATTGTTGTCAGGCACCGGGACGCCTGGCACATGGTTCGGCGTGGCTTGGCTGCTCATGGGTGCAAGCAGGAGCACCCTCAGGTCAGCGAGCAGGACGCAGCAGCGGCTCTTCAGCATGCCCTGGCCGCACAGCATCAGCCCTGTCCGGACACCAGCTCAGAGCTCCAGGGGGCTACTGGCGTGGACTGTACGTGACCCCGGCATCAGCAAGCACACGCTGTCGTGACAGTCCACACCATCAATGATATACAGTAGCAATTTAGTTGTTTATATCCTTTTTCCAAACGCACTGTTTTAATTTCCTCCCGCCTCGATGGAAATCCAATCAAGCAATAAATCCATTTGATGCAAACAAGTGTCTGAAGCCATTGAGCTGGACAAACAAAGAGCTAAAAGAACAAAGTCAATGTTAGAGTAATGGGGATATGCATTCAAGTAACAAGCTATACTGGCCGCTGTAGCCATACACTGACGGAGTCTCTGCACACAAACTACGCTCCACAGCGGCTGAGGGACCGCGCATACAGTCCGCTGTGGTCGAATATACATACACATAACTGGGATTTTTCAGCAGTGAAGATCGACGTTAAATCTACATTCTCCTTCAGCTACTGGAGAAGATCAAACAATTGATGGCGCGTTAAAAGATCACTTACCTGGCGAGCTGTAATAGCGACAGGACTCAGGCTCAGACTGCAGGTCGCTAACAAGTCTGTGCGGAGCTTACATCCAGAGTGACCAGAGTGACCGCGTTTCTTGTTCCCGGGGACGCGCCAAAAGGGTTCAACATCCGTGCGTAAGATCCAGCAGGCGCAGACAGGAGCGTCCTGCCGGAGATGAACGCGGTGTCTCTTGTAATCATTGGCCGTGGTCCGTGCTGCAGCTTCAGCCCCATGGTTCCTGGGACAGCTCCCAGACGCCACACGTCATCACCGCACACACTGATGCAAGCAACTCAATAGGCTCCTAATACAAGTGTGAATGCACCAATGAAGCACTGGTGCCAAACCTTAAGGTATAACCAAACCACGTTAAGGTATAAGATGTGGGACTCTTCTCTCACCGCTAAAGGGAGAGTCTGTAAATAAATAACGCAATACAAGATTAAATAAACAAGATTTGAACAACAAAGTAACAGGCAACTCTGAAATGAATGAAAAACCACTGCGGCTATGATACATGATTGGTTCAATAGAACACAATGAATACAAATCTGAAGAGTGGGACTTGTACATGTAATTAAGTAAGGAGGCTTGATTGTAATTGGATTAAGACCAAAAACTAATGATGTTTTACATGATGACACAGTTTCATGTCACTGCTCTGTGCGGGTTTTGGCATATCTAAACGTACATTTTGCAGTAAGTACAAAAGTTGTTAAATAAAGGAAAAAAGAGGTGACTGATTAATTTAAAAACAGATACTACTTTTTCCTTTTGTTTTGAAAATCTCTTTTTCAGGAGATTCTTGGCCCCGAGTCAGGGGAGCTATTGTACTGTATGTTTTTAGAGGTAGAGAAATCCGGAGCACCTGGAGGAAACCTATGCAAATTTAGCCCATGGCACTTCTTAATGAAAACACAGCCACACACAGCCACACACACACACACACACGCACACGCACACGCACACGCGCGCGCACACACACACACACACACACACACACACAGACACACTCCAAACAAGCTTCTGCTGCATTATTTTAAAAACGCTGCAGCTCAAGTCCTGACTAGAAGTTTTCCCCATAGCCTCACACCAAAGTACATCCAAGACATTGTGAGATTTCATAACACTTTGAAGCAACTTTTGTTAAAGTTAAACTCATCATTCTATCAATGTGCAGAAGCCAGTACTTTTCCCTTGTTGTGTCTATCTGAAGGCCAAGCTACAAGCACACCGTGGCAGCTGCTGATTGGAGGTCTCCATGCCTCCGCTCTGTATAATACACGTGCATTCTATTGTTTCTGTGATCGTGTGCTTTGTTCGTGCTGTCTCTACCATCGACAATAAAACATGTCTTCTGTCTGAATTTATGACACGGTCCCAGACATGTCACCTTCTTCAACATGTTAGTGCCATATTAACTTGAACTCTGAGGAGCACAGGGACTGGCCTCCTGCTGGTGCCCAGAGTGAGGACTAAACAAGGGGAGGCAGCATTTCAGATTAATGCCTTTTGTAATACCTGTGTTATACAAATAAACTGCCTTGCAAACAGTTACGGAGCTTCAGAAAACCATTTGGATCACCATTACGTCTGACAGAGATAGGGTATATGACAGGAGCATTGTGCAATGATCTTGTTATGAGAGATACACCGTGCATTATCTGTCCAGTTTGTCCAATGCTGTATGTACAATTTATTCGAGCGAATGTCGCAGGAGAGTAGAGTGTTCATCCACTAACTCAAAGGTGAGTGTCATATTTATCTCTGTCATTGTGTCGTTGAACAAGACACTTCATGAACATGGTTAATGCATGAAAGAGTGGTGCGCAGTGGACTTCACTTACATACATTTACATTAACACCTGCTTTGACATGTATTTTGTAACTCGCCGTAAGGTTCAATCAGAATCATGAATTCTGAATACTTCAATTCTTCTAGTGTTCATATTTATATGGATTTGGTTTAGTATGAAGCCAAATTTGTAGATCTTTAGACCATGAACTGACACCAGTAAACAAAGAGGGGGGAGTTGCAGAGACATAGTTTTTTTTTTTTGTACTAACGGTAACACAAAATTGACTGTTCAAGGAAAAAAATAACTATTAGGATGTGCTCAGGTGTCGTCACGTCAGCTTCATATGGATCAAACTGAAAAATCACATTTAAGTTTAAACAACTTATCAATTAAAATAATAATCACAACATTTTTACCACCCTAGGGGAAATTAAATTACTGTGAAAACTTTTCAGAAGGAGTCACTCCAAGAGCCAACAATCTGAAGTTGTCCTTTTCGACTGGATTTGGGCTGTTTTTAAGTTTGTGATGTACTGCAACGTGCACACATTTGGTTATCATTCAGCCAACTTCAGCTCTGTAAAATGTATTGCATTGGAGAATTGCCACATAGAGCTCAAGGAGTAAGCAGAAGTAAAAGTGCTTAGCCTGAGATCACCAACTTCTTAGACATTATTTTCACATGCAAAATGTTGGTACAGTCAACCCATGGATGTATTATATTAACTGGATAGGGTATTACTAGCTTGTAGCTGAATAACTCACGTGCTCAGGGGATTCTCGCGGTACTGCAGACTGAACCAGACTAAATTCACGTGGGCTACCCAGAAATTTTCCCCATAGAACTCAATGCATATTAAAACAGCTCAACCTCAGCTGACGGAGAACCTACAGCTTTAATAAAGATCGGATTTTGGGGGGATTTTAGTGTCCCTTGTCATCCTGAACTTTTTTTCTTCTTAAATCCTTCGGTTTTGTTTAAATCCACACTTTAGTGCCACAAACTCTGCTCCTCTGGCTCTCGCTCTAACTCCCGCTCTGATGAACTGCTCTGATTGGTCAGAGCGCGGCCGCGCCCCTCTGTGCACGTGCGTGAGACCCGGTGTGAGACCCACACACGCGTGTTTGGCGCAACGCATTATGGGAGATCATCCACTGCGCAGAACCGGGAGGACCAGACGATGCCCAAATACAGGCGAGTTTCCCATAGATCTTTGCGAGTTTTAGGCAACTTCCGCTAATCTTTCAGCCCCCATGCTGTCACAAAGCGCCACTGAGCACAACCATTCATTTGAATAGGGCGCCATCTTGGATCGCCGGGGCTTGAGTCAACCGGATTCAAGAATCTGGCAACCAAAATGGCTGAGGGCCACGGCGCCACATATGGACCGCGGGCCGGACTTTGCCTCTTCATACATAGTTCCCACATGACGTCACTACATACGGGGATTTGCCGACCCGGCGCCATTTGTCTTGGCATTCTGTGGGCCAAAAAATAGAAAAAGAAGCTGAAACGTGTGATAAAGTTGAAAATGGTCGTCTCCTGCTGGGTCAATGGATGTTCAAATCGTGCCGGAGGTTCCGTTAAACTTGGATTTTACAGTATACCCATCATTAGACTTCATGAATGTGAGAAGACTAAGCTTTTGTCAGAACAACCACGGAGGTTATGGCTTGCGAAGATAAACAGGCAAGAAACTCCCTCAAAACACGCAAGAATATGCTCGGAGCACTTTGTGTCAGGTGCGTATCGTATCTTATAATGTGTTGACAGACGTAATTTACTCAGTACTAACTTGTGTATGCTGATAGCTGGTAACTTGAGAGTTTCATTATTTAGCGTTAGATTACTTTATTATGAGGAGGATCGGTGTCGCGTCCGAGGCTCTCGAGGGCAACGTAAATGTATTAAATAGATAATAATAGTTCTATGGTGGGCTAAAACAATGTTCACAAACAGCATTGCTTCTGTAAAAAGATCTGTGTCATAAAATAAACTGCTCTTTACGCCTGGAAAAATCAGTTGCCCACCATTCACCAAAACATACGGTCAAAAACGCGGAAATAAACAATAACAGCAATCCAGAGTGTCCGTGTGGCATTAGCATTAATTAAATTAATTGTTAATATAATTAAAATAATTAAATGGAGCTCCAACTGGTATTAAATCTAAAGTTTTTGAGAAATGTTTGCATTGCTTGTTAATTTTTGCTGCATAATTTGATCAAATATGTAAAACATGTCCGTAGCACGTTAAACTGTGGTGCCATTGTATTAATATACAATTATTTGCTCAAAAGTTTCCCTTTTTTTCCAATTTGCGTTTGAATATCTACATTTATTCTCATTCTTCTGTTTAATGGAATGCACAAACACAGCAGCGTGCCATCAAAGATGGCGTCTCCGAGGAGGTCATGTGACATTCATTGGTCTGTGGGAACTATGGAAGGATGGGTCAAAAGTAGAGTAATCTTTTCAGTCCAATAAAGTAATTAACTATTGTTATTTCAATTAATTGGAAACTATAAGTGCACATTCAAGTTCATATTCTTTTGAAAGTCATGAAAGAGGATCACAGTACAGTAAATGTGACAGATCAAGTCAGAAACACGTGCTTTGTTGTTGTTCTACGTCACTTCCTGCGCGGCAGAAAGGAAACTTCACTCCTAGCGTTTAGCATGACTTTTCCGGAGTCTTTTCGGTCTAATCCTGAGTTGTCGCTGCTCGACAGACTATAACTGTTCCCGGAGTTGTTTTGGCGTTTCTAGACGGTGGATACTTGACTATCCTCGTCTCCTTCATGTGGCTGACACAGCTTACCTTAAATCCGGACCTTTTCTCTGCTGTTGAAGATTAGCATGTTGCTAATAGCATAGGACGATGTTTGTTTATTGTCTCGTTACCGTTAAATGTTGGCATTTGAACCGTAAGATGATGTGTGTCACCTCTGCATAGCCCTCCTCAGCCTCAGACAGAATCATGTCCCGTCAGCTTACGCCAGAGCAGCAGAGAATGATCGAGGAGAACAGACGTAAAGCTTTGGAGAGGAGAGCGCAAAGACTAGGGCAAACTGCGCCTACAAACGCACCCATGATCAGCGGGGCATCAGTGCCAATATCTTTTCGATCTCACAAGCCGAATGATGCCCCTTCAACTTTTGAACCCACAGTGCCACGTCCCGAGTCCAAGAGATTTGTGCCTCCGTTTCGTAAAACCTCTGCACCTGTCTCATCTGGCACAACACAAACCATGTCTGTTGCTCCTCCTCCTAGAAAGGTGAGGTCCGTAGTGTATTGGTAGTGATGCCAAATGTGGAGGTCCTAATCATTATTTCTGTGTTTTCATGTAGCTCCAAATTATTGATGCTCAACCTCACCCTAAAGGTCAACATGTTAGCAGCCCTGGCTTGTCTAGTGGAGGATTTGCTGTGAAGCCAGCACACACTCCATCTAATAATACTGCCTCAAGCAACTTTGGAGGTGCAGTGGGCTCTTTTTATAAACCACCTAATAAATCTGCTTCAAATCCTGTTGCAAGACCCGCTTCAGGCTCTTCCACTGTAAACCCTGCACCCGCGAAGAGACCTGTTATCTCTGCGAGAGGAAAGTGTGTGCCACATACAGAAGGCCGCTTCAGAGTGGAGGTGGGCTTTCATGCACAACTTATAGATGTCTTCAAATCCATACCTTCAAGAAACTTTGGTAAGTATCTTCTTTAAGAGAAGACCCTAACCATTTGTTCCATCATCATGCATCTTCATTTGCCAATTTCCAATAGGATGCACTAACGTTATGACTATAACCAAGGGCTGCATGATTAAACTCAATAAAATCAAAATCACAATTTTTGTGGTCACAAATAAAAAAACGCTGAAATTATTCAAGTTCTTTACAAAACTTTGGCACTAAAGATAAGCAAAACATCACTTGAATTTGGGAACATGCCTCTTGATTTGAGTATATTTTGAGTATCTCTCATTCCAAATGAGACATAAAAGATCAAAACTACTTATTTTTGCAGTGATTGTTTTTGCATAACAGAATATCCATCAGCTGGAAAGGCCCTTGAGGTGGCTGTGGATTAAGCGTGGAGATTTGTGGGCGAATGCTTCCCAAATGCAAGTTGAGACTTGATGACCCCAAACTGGGTCGTATGAAGTTGAAAGACCTGGGGCCGTATTCCTAAATATTCTTAGTGCTAAAAGTTGCTCCTAGTGGCCAAATTCTACGAATTTTCTTAGAATCTTGACCAACTCTTAGAATTTCCCCTAAAAGTGAGGAGTAGCTTCTAGTTAAGAAAAAAGCTTTTCCTAAAGAATCCTAGCTCTTAAGAGTGCTCCTAAGGTGAGATCCCTTAAGAGTTGAGAGGAGGACTTTTAGCAACTTAAAAAGTTCCCTAAGAGGACAAAATGGTGGACGGTAGAGGCAGGAGAAATATTCTATACACTGGATGACAGTGAATCAGTAAAACACTGCAGATTGGATCCTGCAGGAATCATGTTTAAAAGTCAATCATGTAAAAGTCATCATGTACAAATATACAGTTTTGTTTTATTAACAGCAATCCAGTTCAAAAAGGAGTGTGAAGAAGTTAATACTTTTAAACTCCCACCCTCCATTTATCATTCTAAATTAACTTAAATAGTGTGGTTGCTACATCTTAGTTTATTCCAAGGTGTATTTACAGTTATGCAACAGTGACATTCACAATAACATGCACTTGATTTGTTTATGTATAAAATGCTTATATTAATATTTTTTCCTTAATTCCTTTTACGTCTTTCAGTATCACAGCCTTTACTAATCCTAATGTTATAATCATCTAATTATATATATATATATATATATAAGTGCTCATGTTATATACGTTTGTTAAATATGTGTTAAATATGTGTGATAAATTGGTGCTGAGCAAGCTCTAATGTGGTGTAAAAGTCAAACTTACAACAGTAAGTTAGACAATATTAGTAAATACATCTGACTTTCTACCTTTTCTGATTATTTACAATGACATAGTATTCCTAAGATTAGATTCTATGATTGAGTTTGTCCATTAGAGGATCCTTATTTTGCCCATTATCAAAAATATGGTTTCTCTAACTTTTAGGATCAACCAATCACAGCGTCTGAAATGATGACTCATACCTAGCAACGGGGTCGGCCACGCCTCCTCACTAAGATAAAAGTTGTTGTCAATTCCTTGCTCAGAGTTCTCTAAGAGTGTTCTGGAATAACTTTTAAGCTAAGACTCCTAGCTAGGAGTTTTTAGGTTAAGATAGGAGCTCTCTGAGAGGACTCTTAGAATCTTTAGGAATATAGAACAAATAAGTACAAATATACAGTTTTGTTTTATTAACAACAATCCAGCTCAAAAAGGAGTGGGAGAGGATAAGACTTTTAAGCTCCCTTGTACTTGATTTGTACAGTGTATGTATAATATGTTTATATTAATATTGTTTCCTTAATTCCTTATAAGTCTATACATATCACAGCCTTTACTAATCCTAACGTTATCATTATCATCATTTATCCATATAATATTTATAATAATAATTTTCTTTATCATGTATATTATATATAGAGTAATATTTAAATTATATATATATATATATATATATATATAAAATTATAAGTGCTCATGATATATACGTATTATGTGTGATAAATTGGTGCTGAGCAAGCTCTGATGGTGTATAAGTCTAACTTTACTATTCACAGTATTTATGCACCATTGATATATCTGACTTTATAGCTTTTGGTTATTATTTACAATAACACAGTGTTCCTAAGATTAGATTCCATGATTGAGTTTGTCCATTTTAGGGCCCTTATTTTGCCTATTATCATCACAAATATGTTTGTTCTAACTTTTAGGATCAACCAATCACAGCGTCTGAAATGATGACTCATACCTAGCAACGGGGTCGGCCACGCCTCCTCACTAAGATAAAAGTTGTTGTCAATTCCTTGCTCAGAGTTCTCTAAGAGTGTTCTGGAATAACTTTTAAGCTAAGACTCCTAGCTAGGAGTTTTTAGGTTAAGATAGGAGCTCTCTGAGAGGACTCTTAGAATCTTTAGGAATACGGCCCCTGAACCACCCAATGATCTCTGACTCAGGATTTGTTTGAGTAACACCAAGTAGTGTTCCAAACACGACTTGGTGTCCTCTTCAAGTTTTGAATTCTTAACATAAAGGATATTGAAAATTGAATTGCAATCTCAATATTAGTCCAGAAATCTCGCAATTAGATCATTTGCCAAAATTGTGTAGCCATCCATCCATTTTCTTCCCCTTAATCCATTTCTGGGTCGGGGGGGTGGCAGTCAGAGCTGCACCCAGTACACAGAGCACCAGCGCCCCTCACTGATCCTCCTGCAGGTGTGTGAGTCCACAGGAGATGAGAGCGTTTCAGTTGGGGGCTTAGGCAAAGGTTGGGTTAAGTGCTTCAGTCATCAGTGGGAGTTCGTGAGAGGTCTTACGGTGGGCTCGAACCCACGACCTTCAGGCCCAAAGGCCAATACTCTACCAACTGAGCTAAAATTGTGTAGCCCTACTAGATATTAATAATTAAAGAATTAGATCGGAATCAGAATCATTTTTATTGCCATGTTAGTAACAGGAAGAACAGTAGAGAAGAATAAGGGATAATAAGGAATAACAAAACATTTCTAAATCATTTCTAAACATCTCTTAAGTATAGCTTTTTCTTAGATAGAAGGAGTTAAAAGTGAAGTTATTACGATTACTACTGTATACAAGTGCACTCGGTGCACACAGTGTACATTAAACAGCGCAGTAAGGTGGCGTTATAAAGGACAGGGGCAACGTTATGAACAAATTGGTATAACATTATTTCTTTGAGTTTGCTGGGCACACATTAAAGAAATAGAAAACACTCTCATTCTCAACATGTTTATACTTTTAGACCCAGCTACAAAAATGTGGAACTTCAGTCTAGAAGATTATCAGCATTTAAGTAAGTATGACCCAGGTCTGTGATATTATTTTACAAAACTATATAAACACATACTTATTTGTGTTTTAGTGCGGGGTGTAGCTGCCATTTCCTCTGTTTCTATAAGGCCTCTTGAGGGAATGGAAGCACTGGACATTGAAGTTGCCATGAATAGCGCCCGTGACGGAGCAGCTTTGGGAGCACTGCTGAAGCTGTGCAGCGGGTGGCAGAAACCTGGAGCCACCTTACAGGGCCAGTGTGTCCTCGTGTCGCCGTCAGAGTTTGAGGTTGACATTGGTTTCCACGTGGATGTGATTGCAGCTTTTAAGCAAATGCCAAACAGGAGTTATGGTAATATTGTTTTTCTGGATTTTTTCTAAAATAATTCATTTTTCATTTGCATTCTGATATTTTCTTTTCTTTGATGAAAGACATGGCAACAAGAAAGTGGAGCTTCTCGCTTGAAGATTACAAACCTCTGAGTAAATATCAAATCATCCTTTGCTTGTATAATGTATTTGTTTTCTTTGTGTCCGCTTGGATGAGACACCTATTCTAAACCTGCTGTGTTCCTTACTCAGTGGACCTCCTGAGTGGAATAGCAGCCGTCGAGGTGGAGCCTCTTCCCAGGGCAATAATCCAGGCTTTCTCTGCCAGGTTTGAAGGGGCTCCAGCCAGGTCCGTAGCTATCCCAGAGGCAGACCTTTCCAACATAGACTCCACACTCACTGCAAGCCTGATGCCCTTTCAGAGAGTAGGGGTCAAGTAGGTGGCTTTTCACTTTAAAATATGCAAATTAGAAGCAAATAATCACCACAAAAACATTATTTATGTTGTTAAAGTTTTGCAGTGTGTAAGGAGGGTCGAATTCTTCTGGCTGATGACATGGGTTTGGGGAAGACCATACAAGCCATTTGCATAGCAGCCTTCTACAAAAGCGAATGGCCTTTACTGGTGGTGGCTCCTTCCTCTGTTCGATTTACATGGGCAGAGGTGAATAGTCCATAGACATCCGTACATGTTCTATACACGATGAAGCTACATTCTCAACTTCATCTGCTGAGTCTTATAGCCCTAATGATCTTGTACAGGCCTTCAAGCGCTGGCTGCCCTCCCTGAACACTGATAACATAAATGTCGTTGTAAAAGCCAAAGACGACATCCGCGCTGGTTTAGTCAATGTCATCAGCTATGACCTGCTGAGCCGAATAGACAAACAGCATCTTGGAAATGCCTTTAAAGTTCTCATCATGGTGAGTTTAGGGGATGTATAATCTGACAATAAATGCTTTACTATCAGATTTATAGTATATAAATAATTGTGTATATAAATAAAATGTTCCTTTCTTTTGCAGGATGAATGCCATTTTATGAAAAACATAAAAACAGCTCGTTGTAAAGCAGCTCTTCCACTTCTGAAGGTGCTGCATATTTTTCCCCACAACAAACCTTTGTCATAGTGCTTTTTTCACAATAACAGAATTCTGTTATACTAGTTGATCTGAATTTTCTCAAGATGTTTTTTGTCTCCTTTAAGACAAATAAACAAATCATCAGTGTTTTGTCCATTCTTAGGCTGCAAAGAGAGTTATTCTTCTTTCTGGGACCCCAGCCATGTCCAGGCCTGCTGAGCTTTACACCCAGATCCTGGCCGTCAGACCCACACTTTTCCCACGCTTTCATGACTTTGGGATGCGGTACTGTGCTGCCAAACAGGTACATGCCCTCCTACTGCTAATAATATGTTCTGTAAACTATTATTTATCACCACTACAATGTTGTCATAACTTCTCACTTTAAGTCTTACATGGCTGTGTTATTGTGATTATTTTGAATCCACATAGATGGGCATTCAATTTCATGTGGCTCAGTCGTATGTAGTTTTAAAGCTAACCATAACCTCAAAGAACAAATCTACATAAAATAAAACACTCAATCCACCAGAGTTGAGCCTCTCACATTTTCTTTTTCCACTGTCTGTCCATGCATTTCCCAATTTTCTTTCTTGTGCGCCTGCCTTGATCTCCTCCTCTTCAGATGAACTGGGGCTGGGACTACTCAGGCTCGTCTAATCTGGGAGAGCTAAAGCTGCTGCTAGAGGAGTGTCTGATGCTGCGGCGCCTCAAGTCAGAAGTCCTGTCTCAGCTGCCAGCCAAACAGCGCAAGGTGGTGACAATTACCATCGAGGGGATCAACGTGCAAACTAAGGCTGCGCTGGCTGCTGCTGCGAAGGAGCTGGCAATGGGGCACCGCAACGTGAGTCAGACACAAACAATCACAAATGTCCACAGAGTATACTATTCATGCATTTTGAATAAAATCGATTTGGAAGCAGTTGTTTGAGGTCTCAGTGATTGGTAGAGTTATAGAATGACCAAGGGATTTGAATGAGTTGCATAATCACACTATTCCTCTGAGTAATGGCAGCATTATTGAATCAAACAGCATCTCCTGTCAGTTCTTATCGTACGCTCTTTCTTATCTCTTTCCCAGAAAACAGAGGAGAAGCAAGCACTTCTTGTCTTCTTTAACCACACGGCTGAAGCCAAGCTAAAAGCGATCATGTATGTACAGCCAGTTGGTTCCCTTCAGAATCATGTTGTTGTGTCAAACCTGATTAGAGTCTATGGTTATATGTCTACAAAGTCCGATGCTTTGTTTGCAGGGAGTACATCTCAGATATGCTTGAGTGTGGGAGAGAGAAATTCCTGGTATTTGCACATCACAAGTTGGTCCTGGATCATATCTCTGCAGACCTGACCAAAAAGGTGGGTTGCACATATTTACATATATCATATAGTTTATAGCTGGAGCATCAAAGTCATTTTTGTCGGTTATGGAGGTAGTGATTTTGCTTAAATATATTGTTTTTATAGTGTATTATTTTCTGGTATATATCTTTCCACCGGTGTTCCCCGGGGTGTCCTTTGGGGGGTTCTCCGGGAGTATGGGGTCGGAGGTCCTCTGCTGAGGGCCATCCGATCCCTGTATGACCGGAGCCAGAGCTGTGTTCGCATTGCCGGCAGTAAGTCAGACTTGTTCCCGGTGAATGTTGGCCTCCGACAGGGCTGCCCTTTGTCACCGGTTCTGTTCACTGTATTTATGGACAGAATATCTAGGCGCAGCCAGGGGTCGGAGGGGGTCCGGTTCGGAGACCACAGGATTTCATCTCTGCTGTTTGCGGACGATGTTGTCCTGTTGGCTCCAACGAACCAGGACCTGCAGCATGCACTGTGACGGTTTGCAGCCGAGTGTGAAGCGGCTGGGATGAGAATCAGCACCTCCAAATCTGAGGCTATGGTGCTCGACCGGAAAAAGGTGCCTTGCCCTCTGCAGGTGGGTGGAGAGGTCCTTCCTCAAGTGGAGGAGTTCAAGTATCTCGGGGTCTTGTTCACGAGTGAGGGAAGAATGGAGCGTGAGATTGACAGGCGGATCGGTGCAGCGTGCGCAGTGATGTGGTCGCTGTATCGGACCGTTGTGGTAAAAAGGGAGCTGAGCCAAAAGACAAAGCTCTCGATTTACCGGTCAATCTTCGTTCTCTCCCTCACCTATGGTCATGAGCTTTGGGTAATGACCGAAAGAACGAGATCGCGGATACAAGCGGTCGAAATGAGCTTCCTCCGCAGAGTGGCTGGGCGCTCCCTTAGAGATAGGGTGAGGAGCTCAGTCACACGGGAGGAGCTCGGAGTAGAGCCGCTGCTTCTCCACGTCGAGAGGAACCAGTTGAGGTGGCTCGGGCATCTGTTCCGGATGCCTCCTGGACGCCTCCCTGGGGAGGTGTTCCGGGCACGTCCCACCGGGAGGAGGCCCCGCGGAAGACCTAGGACACGCTGGAGGGACTATGTCTCTCAGCTGGCCTGGGAACGCCTTGGGGTCCCTCCGGACGAGCTGGAGGAAGTGTGTGTGGATAGGGAAGTCTGGGCGTCTCTGCTTAGACTGCTGCCCCCCCAACCCAGCAACGGATAAAGCGGAAGAAAATGGATGGATGGATCTTTCCACTAAATGAATTTAGTTTTGAATTGAACCAAAACTGGAAAAAAAGTTAAAGGCTGTGTGAATGTACAGTAACCTGTAGCTTGGGAGCTATCAGTAGCTCACCACATTCAGAATTTAACAAATAATCCAGATTGATTACATTTTGAGTAATTTCTGCAAAAACAGCTCTCTGGTGGAAAAAGGTTGGAGACTGCTGATGTACAGACTGAAGGTTAATTTTTCACTATAACAAATATTCTAGTTCAATGTTTAAAACAAAAGTCAATAGTAAGAATAGTCCATCATGACAGGTGCCATACAAATAATAGTTGTGGGCCGTATTTGGCCTACGAGCCGTGTGTCTCTTGTTTATAGCATGTCGATGTATTGCTGAAAAGAAGTGCACTGTTTAACATTGATTATTTTTCTTGATCAGAACGTGAATTACATTCGTATTGACGGTGCCACGCCCTCAGCCGAGCGACAGCTGCTGTGTGACAAGTTCCAACACTCCACTAAGCCCTATGTAGCAGTGCTGTCCATCACCGCAGCCAACATGGGTCTGACATTACACGCGGCTGACCTGGTTATCTTTGCAGAGCTTTTTTGGAACCCTGGGGTAGGTATTAAAAAGACTTCTGGGCTTGATCACAGTGGTATCACAAGCCAGAAGCGTGTCTGTTTTATTGGAGAAACAGGCAACTCTTATCTTGTAATAGCGAATTGGATAATACTGAAGGATTCAAGCCAGTCTTTTTCCTAAATGCTGTCTGTTCTTTGTCAATTTTTCAAGTTAATTTCCTGAGTGTAAAACCAACGAATGCAGCCCAAACTGAATGATAAAGGCTTAACATTTGCCAACATTATATACATTGGGGAAAAAAGTATATAGTCTCCCACTTAAAAAAATGAGAGGCCTGTCATTTTCATCATAGGTAAACCTCAACTAGAGAGAGAATGAGAATAAAAAATCCAGAAAATCACATGTCTGATTTTTGAATAACTTATTTGCAAATTAGGGTGGAAAATACGTATTTGGTCACCTACAAACAAGCAAGATTTCTGGCTCTCACAGACCTGTAACTCCACCTGTTACCTGTATTAATGGCACCTGTTTGAGGTTGTGGACAGGTGTCTTTCATACTGATAACAAGTTCAAACACTGACACTCCAAACTCCACTATGGCCAAGACCAAACAGCTGTCAAAGGACACCAGAAACAACATTTTAGACCTGCACCAGGCTGGGAAGACTGAATCTGCAATAGGTAAGCAGCTTGGTGTGAAGAAATCAACTGTGGTAGCCATTATTAGAAAACAGAAGACATACAAGACCAATGATGATCTCCCTCGATCTGGGGCTCCACGCAAGATCTCACCCTATGAGGTCAAAATGATCACAAGAACGGGGAGAGAAAATCCCATAATTTTGCTAGAGAACTTTTGGATGCTTTGTGGCGGTTTTTCTGCAAAGGGATGACTGATCTGTGTAAAGGAAAGAATGAATGGGGGCCATGTATCGTGAGTTTTTGAATGAAAACCTTCTTCCATCAACAACAGCATTGAAGATGAAACGTGGCTGGGTTTTTCAGAATGACAATGATCCCAAACACACTGCCCGGGCAACGAAGGAGTGGCTTCATAAGAAGCATTTCAAGGTCCTGGAGTGGCCTAGCCAGTCTCCAGATCTCTGCCCCATAAAAAATCTTTGGAGGGAGCAAGTCTGTGTTACCCAGCGACAGCCCAAAAACATCACTGCTCAAGAGGAGATATGCATGGAGGTATTGAGTATTGAGTATTGAGATGAACTTTTTTTATTGACCAAATACATATTTTCTACCATCATTTGCAAATAAATTCAAAAACATTAGATTTGTTTCTTTTTTTTTTCTCTCATTCTGTTTCATATAGTTGAGGTTTACCTATTATTAGACAGGCCTCCATCATCTTTTTAAGTGAAAGAACTTGCACAATTGTTGGTTGACTAAATATAATTTTATATATATATATATATTATATGCGATTGAGTTAGTGTCACAGGTTTAAAAGTGTCTGTTGAGGGGGTGTGATCATAAAAAGGGAAACTGGATAAAAAGGGGATAAAATTTAATAAAATATTTACAAAAGGGATCCATAAAAGATGATGATGGTCTCTGGCTGGCGGTGCTCGTCCTCGTCCTTGGCCCGGTCCCGCGTCCTCCTCCTCTGGTCCTCCGTGTTCTCTCTCGTGTGTCTCTCTCTCTGTCTCTCTCTCTTCTTGTCCTGCAGTGCCCGCCCCCAATTAAAAGGTCTTGATTAAAAGCAGGTGTGGGTGATTAGGGGAAGTGTCCAAGGAACTGTGATTAAAATCCATGCATTAAAAATATAAAAACACATCACACAAATAAAAGCAGTTAAAAGTCCTTGTTAAAAGTTCACTTTCCCACATTAGCTATGACACTAATGCAATTAATCTGATTTAATAGATATTACTCTAGAGCAGAACAAGCTGTATTATTACAGGAAGTTATTATCAAGTGTAAACTTGTATAATTTCTATACAGGATTTATCATTTCAATATTTTGATTTTGCTGCAGGTCCTCATTCAGGCAGAGGACCGGGTGCATCGAATTGGACAGACTTGCAATGTGAACATTCACTACCTGGTTGCCAAGGGAACTGCTGATGACCACCTTTGGTATGTATGCATCAATGGCCTCGCTGCTGTCCACTCTGGAATTATCATGGTTTCACTTTTGTCAGCCTTTGAGCTCAACTAGACGAGGTCATTTAGTACTTAGTCTGTGATCTATTTTACACCTTTACAGGCCACTTATCCAGGAGAAAATGAATGTTTTGGAAAAGGTCGGTCTGTCTGAGTCAAATCTCTCAGAAAACGCAATCAATTCCAGTTTCCACTCAAAAGTAAGTCATATTCTTTGAAATGCAGTAGATATGTATGTAATAGACAGAAGAAACATTTTCAGTTTAAAGTGACGTTTGGAGACATTATTGAAATTTTTCCTTTATTTTGTTAGGACCCAAATCAGAGAAGCATCATGGATATGTTTCAGAGATCATTTACAAATGAAGATGACATTGATGAAGCTCTCCTAGTGGAAGCTGCCAATGAATGGGACAGCACGACCACGACCGAAGAACACATTTCAAACAAACATACTAACAAAAGAACCATTGGTGATTTCTTTAGCTGAGTACATATAAAGTTATGTTCTATTTTTCTTCTCAATTATGACTTATATTCTGTTGTAAAAATGAATAGATGTAAAGCGATACATTAATAAAAAGTATTCTTTTACAAAGCAGGAATAAATCCTTGACTCCAGGCTGTCATCACATGAATTATTAATCCTCCCCAGCAGAGCGATTTATAGCATGCGGCCACAAGGCATTTCAACCAACACAAATCTATGATGTGGTTTGTATTCCACATTCATTGCATAATTTGGCTCTTGTTACCTTTTAGAAGATTATGTGCACAAGATTTCTCTGTCTTATTGTTCTGGGTCATCACTTTCTTGTGTTTCTGTCTCTGTGCTGTAGAGAAGCAGATCAGCGGGGAGGCCTGTGGGTGAAATGTTGCATTAATCATTAGTTGTAACTTATTTAATGATCTAATGTGTTGATGCAGACATTATATATGCAAGTTACCTATCTTCTCTAGACCCACTTAGAGTAAAGATTGTCATTCACAGTCTACACTCATTTGTCATTATTAAACTACACTAAAGTAAAGGAGGGATGATTTCCAGCAATAAGACATGGTGAGTGAAAGGCTGTGATGGCTCAACACAGCTGTTTGGCCTCATAAAAGCGCAGCTTATTCTTTACACAGATATGGAGCAGTTTTGAGGAGTGTTTCAGCTGCTGCTGGTGACATGAAGAAGAAATGCTTTGCGGATGCTATGATTCTTGAAATCACAGCAACCGGCTGTAGATGCAGAGCATTCTCCAAATCCACAATGACAATTGACAATCTGTTGCAGCAAATACGTTCCTCATATGGGTTTTATATTTCATGCAATATAAAACAATATTAAACATTTTTTTTGTTGTTGAAGATTTTCATTGGCCAAACCTAAACAGATTTTGAAATTAAACTTCTTTGGAACTTTCTACGTGGATAAAGATATGTTTTTGGCTATAATTATATTTGTCAGGTGTGTAGACACATGTTTTTCTTGGTGCCATAAAATCATTGTTTTATATTTAGACTAGTCAGGTACTTAGTGAGACTTTAAATCAGACAAAAAATTAACTATGGGTTTACAAGAACATTTCTCTACTAAGACAACAAAACTATGGAGCCCTATGGTCCCCTTGGGGGACAAGATATCCTGAATGAACAAGGTACAGTGCTAAAAAGTGTCTTCGGGTAGGTTACCGTCATACTGACTCATTTGTCCCGAAGAACTTGACAGCCCAGCGTTCTCATCTGTAGTGTTACTTTGATCTTTAACTGAAATATAAATGTTAAAATGTAAAGAAATATACAGATTTCCTTATAATATATTTCTTACCAAAGACAAATCCATCCTCTTCTCCTTCAGTGCTGGTTACTGCTGCACTGAGATCACCAAACAGAAGCCGTATCTCCCTGTCCGACTGCTCTACACTGGAGGAGCCATGGACCGCATTGTGTAAGATGTCAGAGCCGAAACGGGCCCTCAGAGAGTCTGGGGACACCTCCTTTGCTCTGTTCGGGTCTGTGGGGCCCATCATCATCCTCCAGTCCTCCACAGCATTCTCTTTAGAGAGCACGAGCTGTAGACAGGGTCCACTGACAGAAACACAGGGAACAAACCAGCCATGTGTGTTACATTGTGAGAAGGTTTGAAAGAAATTGACCAGGATGAAGGCTATTTTGAGATTGTTCGGCTAGTAAGAAAAATAGAAAAGTAGAAAAATAGTGTCACATTTAAGTGAATATATTCAAAGCATTGACATTTAGATTAGTTTTGGACAGGTTTCAACAAGGTGCTCAAATATGAGTCAGAGCAGCATGTTACTAGGCAAGTGTAATACTTATATTGTGGTAGGTTAATTATTTCGTTCTACAGTTAAAGAATACTGTACTATTTGTATGGTAATAATGATAGTGTTTGACTCACTAACCTACAAATGAATTGGACCAGCTGACTGAAAAATGGCTTGTCCTTGTGCTCTTTGTAAAACTCCTCAGCCACTTCTTCTGACAGATACTTCTCCTGTTGATTTTTAATTGCAAATCCTTTACTCTTGATTTCTTCCAAAATCTCAGCTGTTGAAATGAAAAACACAAGCCAGAGACAAACATATCAATCCTTGTGTATAGTTTTTTGCAAAGTAATTAACATAACTAAAATGGTAATTAAATTTGTATTCAGACTGCTCATTAACATTAACATTGTGTTGTTACAGTTCACACATTTGAGATAAAGTACTGCAAACAAAGCATGATTACATCGCCTTGTCATGTGGCCAACATGAAGTCCACCCACCTTTATGCTCCTGTGCAGAGTTGGGTTTGATCAAAGCCAGAGTGTTCTGCCTGGGGAAGAAGAAGTGGATCTCCTGCTGGGCCTCCTCTCTGCTGCCGCTGCCGTGGAGCAGGGAGACGGGCTCGTCCTCCACACAGAACTGGGCCCTCAGACTGCAGGGTTGCAACACAGGTCAGTGTGTGATCCGCTAGTTTTCAGGTAAGTGCAGTCATTTACGCTGTCAGTGCCTTCAAACCCTCTCATTCTATCTAGTTCTTTTAGTAATTTCCTGGAAACTGTCAGATACCTCAAAAAATCGGATAAATGAAACAACAGACAGAAAGGTTCAAAGAATGACACTGTTCAAAGAGATGGAGTTTTTTTTCTTGAATTTAGGACATTTTTGTATAAAATGAACTAATGTTATACTTCCAGAATCATGTTTTTAAAGAAGTCCTAAGAAACACTTTATTCTATTCACATAATTTTTTTCGGCTGATTGGGAGGTAACATTTGATTCTGATCGTCTGAAACATGTGATTGGGACGACCCTGAGACATACAAAAGCACAGAACTCACCATTCTGAGTTCTCAACTTTGGCTTCAGCAACATCAGAAGGACCAAGCATGTTGTTCCAGTGCTGAACAGCCTCAACTTTGGCCAGCACCAGAGCGAGCGTGGGCCCACTGCAAAAATTGTCATCATATAGGTTTTAAGCTTCACACAAACAAAATCTTAAAACTAAAGATTGTCCCCAAATGTGCAACAACCACAAGCATGATACTTTCATATCCAGTAAAAGGCCTTCAACATTTTGCTGCTTTTGGATTAGATTAGATTTAATTCAACCCACATATTATATCATAGGCAGAGGTTTGAAGAGTAAATCACACAGAAAATAAATAAGTTACCTTGTCATAGTTTTGAGCAGTGCTGGAAAGAAGCTTTCATCTACTCGCTGAGCATAAAACTGTCTGACCTGCTCCTCTGTCAGTACCACCTCTCTTTGAAGGACCACACTGAAGCCTGCCTCATGGATTCTACTGAGAATATCATCTGAAAATATAAATTCAAACAGAAATGTAGTGATGAATGCTCTCACAATGATGACATCTTCAGATCATGAAATGAAAGTTCGACCTGCATCCTTCAGGAAGACATTATGTTTCACCAAATTCTAAACCTAGCCATCCTTTAAAATAGAAATTTGTCATCACAATGTGCACATGCAGAGTACAAGCTATGTATGAGGCAGCATGATTGCAGCTGTGATGGCCTCAGACCTATGTTTAGTGTATTGGTCACTAATTAGTATCATGAAGTCCTTGTATCATTTGCTTTTACTTACTATCCGTCTTCCACTTTGCAGTAGTCTTTCACAACTTTATGTATTCAATCACTAACTTGAAAACATTTTGAAAAGTTTATGTGGTTTGAACACTTTGTACAAATTAAATCCCATTTATCTAAAATCGTACTACATTTCCATTGGCATTTTCTTCAAGTCTGCCTGTAGTTGTTTGGATGCACTTGGCAGTTACCTCTGCTCTCCCGAGCGACGTCAGGCTGGATCAGAGCCAGTGTCCTCTCCACAGGCCCTTCCTCCTCATCCTGCCCCATGGCTGTGGCCGTCCTGAAGTGGGGGAAGAGGAAGGCGAGCTCCCTGCCGGCCTGGTCACTGTCCCCGCTGCCGTGCACCGCGTTGTACAGGGTCTGCGTACCGTACTGTGCCCGTAAGCTGTGTGAAGCCATGGGTAAAGGGAGGGGAGAGCAGATGGTAACTCGGCTGGTGCTCAACCCAGAGAGAGAAGCATAATGTTTGGGTGTGTCTGATAGAACATGCCAGAATGTGCTGTTCATTCCCCTTTACACTCACAGTTATTTTATGTGAGTGGCTTGGGGGACCGACAGTGCAAACTGGTTACAATGCTTCTTGCCCAAGGGCAGCTGTGGCTTTAGTTGTAGTCGTGTAATGAGGCGTCTTAAGAGCTTCCGAAACGGCGCTGCATTAAGTCGATGCATTATTATTACTTTCCCAACAAGTGTGTGTGTGTATATGTAGTGTACATGTACTGTATAGGTCATTCAATGAGGATGTAATTCTGCCACCCAAACCCATTGTCTGCCCTTTGTCAATTTGTGATGTATTTTGTTTGTAATGTTGCTGTCTGTTCAACCAAAATAGAAAAAGAATGTGAATAAAGTTATACCTGTAGAACACCAACATGCACATGCTAATACATTAGAAAAAAATTCCATTCCATTACGTTATCAAATTGATTACATTGAAAGCCAACAATTTTAAATGAATCATGCTTAACTGAGTATCAAACTGACTTTGTGTGTGACATTTGCATAATCTAACCTTTCTGGCTTGTCTCTCCTGGCCTCTTCGATATCTGCAGGGCCAATAAAGTCCAGCCACGCTCTGACAGTGTTCGCAGAGGTGTTGGACTGAGACAGGAGCAGCATATGTGCGGGACCACTGGACATGAACTGCACTAAGTCCTCAAACCAGGCCTGGATGGACACAAAGAGTCATGAAGAGATTGTACCTTTCTAAACAACACGATACAATCTCACAGATCCAGAGCTTGTTTCATCTGAGAGCACACGCTTACTGTGATGAGTTCAAATCTGAAGAAAAATAAGCCTACTTGTGGCTTTCATATAATACAAATAAACAAATAAGCAGGAAAAGGGTAATGCAATTAGCCTTTGTTGTTGTAGATCCTAAACATAATAATCTAGACATAATTAGGATCCACACCCTGCAGCAATCCTGTTGATGGATGGAAACATTGAATCTCTGAACAGGTTATTTATTATACAAAATAAGGAATTTTTTGGAACCTTTGCTAACTGACATAGACAAGTGCATTTTAAGTAGGTGCATCTAAAAACAATACCATTTATTTTTCATTAGCAAAGTGGACATGGTACACATGACGATATGCATAGATAATTAGCCCAATTCTCTTGCATGGACACGTCTTATTTTTATATTTGTATTCAGAATTTGTAACCATTAACTTCCATCACAAATAGCCTGATGTGCAAGAAAAAGCAGCTTACACAGCAGCTCTATTTTGGGCTGTGTGGAAAAATGCAGATGAATGTGCAATGTGCTGCAGTTACTAAATTAAATGCCGCCTGCTTTCCCAAATGTCAAAACTAAACTCACACAAATGCTTGAACCATATCCAGTATGTAAGAGAATGCTGCTGCCTTCTTTAGCATAAGCACTGAAGTGTTGTCCCCTAATGTATTCTTCTTCTTGTTTCCAGGCAATACCTCTTGTGCTTTATGTTGATAGAAATCTCGAGCCTCTATCTCCGTTAGAGTGCGCTCCTCGTGGACTAGGATCTCAAAGCCGGCGTCTTGGATCTAACCGGGGGAATAATACGAGCAGCTTTAATTGGTGTCAGCAGAAATGTTTGGACAGTTCGCAGCGATGGTCCCTGTGCACCTTCATAATGATCTCATTTGCCTTGCCATGAGCCACAGCATCTGGTTTGAGGATGGCAACCGTGCAGGATTTACTGGCAGGCACTAAAACAGAGGAGAGCAGCCTGAATGATGAGTGCTAAAGCTAGTGCATGTAAATAGGTGTAATGAGAGATAAGGTGATAAAGATAATGGTTGTTGCGGCTGTGATTTCTTCGTACCAATACGGTTTTCCTCATCTTCTGGTTGTGTTGTAGGCTCCTCCATGTCCTCTTCAAGGCCTTCATCTTTAATCTGATAATAAAAACACACAAAGTAAAAGCACAAAAGGCAGTTTTGTAAACTTTTTAAAACAATGTTGTGAAAATAGGTGATTTGTAAAGTATCTGCTTTTTAAAGGAGTAATTATTATTCTTCCCCTCTGCTGTTGGACTCTTGAACACTTCTTAACCTGTCCCCCCGCCCTTTATAAAGTCTTATAAGCCCTTTACTGCCCATCATACGTCACTTTACTTCACTGTACTGCTGTCACCTTACATTGTGTGCACCATGTGCACTTGTATATTGTAAATAGTAACTGTAACTCTATTTTAAATTTAAATTTATTCCTTAGAAGTGTTTTTTATTCTTTATTTTTTATTATCTCTTTCTGACTGTTGCACTGAGCCAAAGCAATTTCCAAGTCTGTGACCTCCTGTTACTTAAAGCAAAGGAAGGTTTCTCACCCATCATCTGTACTTCTTAGCAAGTTTTCCCAACGTTTCGTCCTCAACCTGGGGACTTCTTCAGGGAATGAAGAAGTTACTTACTTACTTACTAAAAATGATTCTGATTCTGATAGTGTATTTTCTTCCTCTGAAGATAGGATAAAGATCTATCAAAAGTGGGGGGCCACAGACCAGGATGATGATGAGTGCATTATTATAGCTATAACACAGACCCAGTGCTTTTCATGATAGTATGTACAATTTTTTTGAATTGTGTCTCTGAATTCATGGTCAACATGAAAAAATCCTAGTTGTACAAAATGGAAATGCTGATCTATTATCACTATCACTTATCGTGATCACTTATCACGATAAACACTGGGCACGGAGGCCACGTTTTTATGGAAAACTGTCTTTCTATTCAGAATTTAATCTATATTCTCATTAAGAAATCAGAAATAATTTGATTTGATGCCTCCTTCAATCTTGGTGAATTGAAAATATGACATTTGCAAAAATCTCAGGGTTTTGATTAATTCTAACTTTCCTTTTAAATGGTAGATAAATGTTGTTAAGATCTACTGTATTTTTCATCAGGATGAATGTCAAAGAATATATATATATATATATATATATATATATATATATATATATATATATATATATATATTTATTATTTTTTTAGTCAAAAGGACCATTTTGTTATCAGAAATAATAGGTTTGTGATTTACCAACAACAATTAGTCTTAGTGCTGCGTTTGGCACACATACCATTGATCTTGAGTTCAATAGATAGATATCTTAGATTTATTTGCATACCACTCTCCGTTCTCCACCTTGTTCAAGGACTGCCTTCTCCTTGGCCAGTTCTTCCACTATTATCTTCTGAAGCAAAGGAGCATTTGCTCCTCGCAGAACTGCCACCAGCTCCCCACCCTACAAACAATTTAACAATAGTATAAATATATAATACAATATTTATGGTTACTGCTACACTCCAACACTATGTACCTCCAGGCATCACATTCTCCCTATTACACCACAGTTCCATAGATGCATGATCTACAGATGGGAACTATGAAACTTGATCGCTACATAATCTGGTGTACAGTAGTTAACTTTTGACATTGGAATGATCTAGGAAAAGTGTTTGCCAATTTTCATGTCTGTCACTCTGTGGCTTTGGGCTGCAACTGGGAAATGTAAACACTTGCTGTTGACTTGTGTCAATCAGGTGATACAGATATTTGCTCACCCCATAAAATAAGAAGGTAGGTTCACATTTCCCTCGATATCTCGCGAGAGCATCTATGTTGTCGGCTTCAGCCTAAACCAAGCAGAGGTTTAAGTGTGCATTTTGATGAAACCGTTGAATCTCATGAATAAAACATACTGTGGCAAAATGCAGGAGGTCGTCTCCGAGTTCATTCTTGATCTTCCTGAGAAGGCTTGTCACAGCTCGGCACGGCCCACACCACTGTTGGTACACATCCACAACTACAGACAACAGAGGCTGCGCTTATTACTATGAACACTAGAGGGCAGCATGACATTTAAAACAGCGAAGACTCAAGTCAACCCATGACCCAGACTCGCGACAACAGCAGATATTCACTTTTAAATGTATTTGCCTGTTAATAGACTCACCAGTTAGACCTTTGGTAGCAAGAACTTCTTCCCATTGCTCCTGGTTAGTTAAAGACACCTAATGAGAAATGCATCACATTACACAACAGGAACATGCAACACATCTGCAAAACCAATTATTCAGACATTTCATATGTGATAATTGACAACATCTGTCTTATTCCCACAGTATGACAAACCTGCAAACTCGCTTCTTTCTTCTTCCCCGCCATGAAAATACCATACGCTTCTGATAAAGCATAAACTCCTATTGCAGTTTAAAGTGGTCAGATACACCTATTGTCGCGTGTAGTGTCAAAAAGTCAGGAGGAAGACGTTTTCAAAGTCTTGCATCTCTGCGCGAGCTCGAGTTTGTTTGGCCAATGGGTTACCTAGCAACCGCACTCAAACCAAGTTACCGTAAAAAGATCTAAGTGTCATAAAACAAAATACTGGCGTCACGATCACAGGTAGTCGCGACATCAGTGAGTGTAGTGCATGGATCTATTATAATAACGGTGTTGTGACAGTCTATGGTAGTGGTGTTGAATTATTTATACTTCAACCTCCAGAAGCTTTCTGTTTTCTTCCACTAATAGGGCATATTACATACGGCCAACCATTTGATAGACCACATTTGTTGTCTATATCTATCTACCATTGGGGCATCTCTGCCACTTGGTTGAATTTTGCAATGCTCACAATATCCACCCAATGTCACTTTTTTTTTTTTTTTTTTACATCAAAACTTTTTACTCCAGCTGCAAGACAAAAAACACTTCTTACATCTTTCATGCAGACTATTTTTGGCTGCAAAAGGTACGTTCTCATTTTCCACATTTTATGTAGACTGACACCCGACAATAATATGTAATCTGATGCAACAAAACAGAAATTGTGAGAGTCCAATAATTGTTTAAACACATGCTTGATCATGTGGTTGAGATGGCACTTGATGGTTCGGATCTCCACTGTAAGGTAACAATTTATGCTCAATAAATGCAAAAAATACCATTAAAAATACTTGAAAGATATGTATTGTTGTTAATATGTAAACTTATAGTGTTATTGCACTAAGATGTTGATATTTATGATGTATTTATTTTATTTATTGATGGGCATCAAGAACATTGGGTTGTGCTGTCCTATAGTTGAAGACAATGAACTTATACAATGCAATTACAATTACAAGAAAATATGTCTTGTATAGCCTGAAATCGCAACAGTATAGATGACTTCACAAAACTGTTGAAATTGGCAACACAGATCAGAAAATCAACAGATAAAAGACATATGTATTGTTCCATAGGGAGATACCAATGTCCATGAATGTGGACATTGGTAGTGTCCTGGAGCATCACCACAGTCCTTTTTGTTAGACACTAATAGTCCAACAGACCCTCCTGCATCGGCAAGGAAAAACTCACAAAAACCCATGGGAGAAAAGTGAGAAACCTCGGGGAGATCCACATTAAGAGAGGGATCCACTCCACACAGACAGGACGGGCTATAGATCCAGGACCTAAGCTACATAATGAGGACCATGGCCATACAGCGGCCGCAGAACGTGGACAGGTCCAACGCAGATGAAGATAGGACGTGGAGCTCTTTGTTACAAGTCTTCTGAAGGGGTACTTGCAGTCAAATAGTATGACAACAAATGTGTCACCCTCCTGAGCAATGCCTGTGGGATCATGCCTCTTAACTCATTGACTGCCATTGACATGTTTGTCTGAGACCGGTGATTTCTGTCAAACTTCCCTCGATTCAACTGGGGATAACAGAAGAACAAAACTAGCGAGAAACACACTTAATTTTTGCTGATGAAAGTAGACAATCCAGTCTTTCAGAATCTGGTTTCGTATTTCACATAGACATAGCATACAATATTTTGTGGGTCTTGAAAATCAGGGAAATCTTCAAAAATGGCTAGCAGTCAATGAGTTAAGTGACTAGTGGTGGAGCAAAGATGAGAAAGGGAAGATTACTGTCCCATGCCCACCACTCTTTCCTGCCTGCAGCCAGTATATGGGTGGCATCAATCTATCAGACATGCTTATTCTGCTGCACAAGACCCCAGCCAAGTCATGACACCATTTTGGATATGCTCTTGACCTGTGAATCTCCAATTCCTGGCTGGTCGACAACAGAGACTGTGGGCTGCAGAAGAGAAAAACAGTGTTGTTGCCCACAGTTTGGTCGACATGCAAGCAACCAGAGTTGGTCGACCATCCAGCTCAAACTTGTGAGAACAGGCGCCCCAAGACCCCCAAGACCACCCCCAGATGTGCACTATGACAACTGTGGACATTTGCCAATTCACACTGAAAAGAGGATACCAAGTTTGTCATTTGGGACATGCGTTTGTTTTTAGTTTTTTTACTTATATAGACCAAAAAAGTTTTATACAGCATATCTGAGAAGTTAGGCATGCAACCCCTGGTGCTTTTTCTTACAATCGCTTGGCTATGACTCCATAAAAGCCCTGTATGTTTAATTGGAATTTTGAGATTTTAATGTTCAAATGGGAGAAAAATATTTTGTTTTGATTTTAAAAATGTTATTCTTTCTGTTAACATCAAGCTACATCTCAACCATTTGGTAGAGGACTATGATTAAAAGAAACTAGGTGGTCCAAAACAATAAAACAACATTTGGGTCAAGTTAGGACAGTATTGAAACAAGGGCTGTGACTGTAGAAGTTATTCTGACAAAATGTATATTATTTTTTATTATATATAGGTTGTTTATCAACTTCGAAACCACTTTGGGGCAGTACACTTAAAAAAGACCTTGGAAATAAGGTCGTAAGAATCCATGGTTGTGTCGTTGCTGCACACAGCAGATAGGAACCTTACAAAATATTCTTTTCTTCACCCACCTCATGATTTACAGTCTGCTCCTGTCATGCAGTGACCCTCCGTCTCGCCCTGAGCTGATTATGCATCCGGATGGAAGCAGCAGTCACCTCTTCTCCATCATGACAAGGTCCTGACCTGACACTCGGTTTGCTCTGACTAATAATACAAAGCTGCATCCTCCGCTGTTCATTCTCACTTAATCCCATATGTTTCATTTCAATGTTTCCTTGGCGTACTACATGCTGCCAGCACTGGTGAAAGTTCAATGATATATGAGCAGATGGTAACAAGTGGGCCATTTGCAACTGTATCTGTATCTGTATATTTCTTTATGTTATATCTGTGAAGACAAATTGATAATGATGCATGTTGAGGAGATTATGGAGTTCTCACTGGCATTATAAGAGAAATTTTTTGTTTTGATTGTAAAATACAGAGAGTTAGACATGTGCCTGTACTGACTGTAATGGATCTCCCCACTTCTTGGGGATTTTATAGAGAAAATAAAAAGTTTTTGAATTTTTACGTGACAAACAGCCAGGCAAAATACATCTTTGAGTTTGTTCGTACTGTTCTAATCAAATAAGATCAAATAAATACAAATACAAATACTGAAATATAGACACATTTTAGACCATGTAAGCTAAACATGCTGGTAAGTGCAGTACAGTGGATACTCTTTATATAGAGCTCTTTTTACAGACATAAAGTCCCAAATACCATTTCACTTTATTTGTGCATTATTTATTCTCTCCACACACAATTATTGTAGATACTTGAAGACTGAAGCAGGGCCAGACCAGCACCACCAGACCCTCAGACCACTGTCAATCCATCATTCACACAAACGCACACATGCACATGCAAACATACACACCATATTGGAATGCTTAGTTCAGTGCTTAGTTTTCTCAGTCAGGTATGGCCGGTTTCTCCCATTAGAATTGTAGGGTCCTTTTTATTTCTAAAGAACGTTAAACATAATTTTTTTTTATAAATACTATGTTGGTTTTCTAGTACTCGATGCAGTGTGTGGGTTAGTACAATACTGTATACACTGAACGTGATATAGATATACAGTCTATGGACAGTGCATATGAACATCCATCCATCCATTTTCTTCCCCTTAATCCATTTCTGGGTCAGGGGGGTGGCAGTCAGAGCTGCACCCAGTCACAGAGCACCAGCCCCTCACTGATCCTCCTGCAGGTGGTGAGTCCACAGGAGCTGAGATCTTTCAGCGGTGCTTTGGGAAAAGTGGGGTTAAGTGTCTTGCCCAAGGACACAACAACAGCAGACATCAGTGGGAGTCGGTGGAGAAGGTGTCGAGGTGAGAAACCCACAACCTTCAGGCCTAAAGGCCAATGCTCTACCAGCTTAGCTACTGTCGACACATTTCAAGTTTTAAACTCCATTACAAACCCCAGTCCCTGTATTTCAGCATTTTATCAAAAAGTTTGATGATAACTGGTCTGGGTCCAAATATCTGCTCCTAGCCAAGCCATCTATGTAAACAGAGAAACTCTGGATTTTAATTGTTTTACTAATGTTATGCCTTTTATCAGACATATTCTACATGAAGGCAACCACGTGCAGCTTCATTGTCATCCCCACCAAATTTCTCAAAGATGTTTTTAATGTGGTTAGACCCGTCATCAGTCAGTCCCTGGGTCAAGGTCTTGTCCCATCCAGTTTTAAAGTTGGCACTTTTAAAGAAACCTAATTTACGCATTACAGATTTAGCACTGATACAGATACTGGTATCGGGTATTGTTTGATATCATAGTTTTGTACTCGTACTCGTATTCATTCCATAGGACCCAATGCCTATAACCGATACCCACATTTTTAAATTTAAAATAGCGTCACAACAGTAGACTGCGGCGTGGCACGTGTTGCCATGGTGATCTCCTAAAGACAGCAGCTGAAAAGCAACCTACCGACAAGCGGACAGTGGTTTGGCAGTTTTAAAACGTGTGACAAGAGTAAAGTGGACTGTCCATTGTGTAAGGCAAAACTGTCACAAGGTGGGTCCAAAACAAACACACATAACACTGGCAACTTGATCAAACATCTGAAAACTCAACACCACACAGAGTTTAACACCTTTGCTAGCACCGGAGCACAACAACAACCAACTCTACAACATAGCATTTGTGGAATATGAAAGTGGATCTTATTGTTGACTGTTAAAACATTTGCTAAAATGTTTGATTGTTAAATCATTTTCTTTTTGTTGAAATGAGACATAAAAGATTTTAGATTTCAGTTGTATTACTTTTATGAATTCCCAGGTATAACACAATGCAGTAATATTTATAGTCTATGTGCAGTACTCAAATCAGTATTCAGTATCGGCAAGTACTCAAATTAAGGTACTTGTATCGGTTTTGAAAAAAGTGATATCGGTGCATCCCTAACAAATCCCTCTACCGCCTCCAACTGGTTAAGAACACAGCAGCCAGACTTCTCATTGGATTTAACAGAAGGGAACACATCACTCCTGTTTTAGCGTCCCTCCATTGGCTCCCTGTGCGTTTTAGAATTGTTTTTTAGATTGGACTGATTACTTTTAAAGCTCGTTTAGGTCTGGCACCAAGCTACATTTATGAACTTTTAACCCCCTACAATCCTTGGGCAGGTACCTGTTGACTGTTTATATATTTATTTAACCTTTATTTAACCAGGAAGTCCCTTGAGATAAAATCTCTTTTACGAGGGAGACCTGGCCAAGAACACCTTCCAAGGTCGAGGCTACCTAACCTTCGGTATTATGGGCCAGGAAGGGGAGATTACCTTTAGCCCTCTGGCAAGGACTTTTGAAGTCTGTATACCACAGAGGGGTTATTGTTTGTATTCAAAAAAGGAGTGGCTTCCTTGAAGCATTTTGGGCAGTGTTACCTTGTATGGAGCTGTGATTTTATCTTTCAATAAAGCTCCAAACACAGGGAGCAGGAAGGCAGTAGTGACTGGGATGGACAAGCAGAAGGCTGTGATTTGCCCTATACAAATCCTCCTTCTCAGTCACCTTGGTGCAAGCAAGAAACTAATATCAGTGTGGTTTTGTCAAGGAAACTGTGGTTAGAATCGGCAATAACATTTTGTCTTTCTTCTTGTGTTTTCTCTGTCTACTTTGTCTTACTGTGTCTACAGTTAATTATTTTGACTTTGTATAATTATTTATTATGCTATACAAATACAGTACATAGTATTGGAGAGGGCTATTGTTATTGTTTTATTTATTTTCTATCCCGCCAAAAGGATTTGATTTTTGACCCTGAAGACAGGCACAAATGTTGGCACATGGGGGTTCTAATACCGGTTTGGCGAAAAATGTTATAATGCGCAATTCTGGTCTGTGAATTCATTGGCGGGCGGCTGCAAGAGTGGCGAGGGTTTTCATCGCCACTTCCGACTTTAATAATAATTATTATTATTATAAGCAGAGCAGTACCAATCATCAACACATAGTAAGACAAAAATAAGAATAATATACCAACTTTGAGTGTCTGTGGAAAGTAATCATTAGCAGCCATTATTTATTCCCCAGTTGGACCTAAACACACTATTTCCCCCTAGTGTGTCTGTAGAGTGCAGTTAATCTCTCCAGTGTGACAATGAGGATTTGAGTCTGCCACAGCACAGCCCATTAGCCCCCATTACCAAGTCTTAAGCATGGAAGTCATCTCTAAGCCCCATTTAAGATAATTCTGCATTTAGTGTGTGTATTTTCCGTGGCTTTTATGCTGCACTCCTCAATGTGCACGTAGGACTTAAAGGACCACATGCTGTTGTCTAAAAGCAGTCAAAGAAATCCCTCCATCTTGTCATAGTTTAGAGGATTATATGGTAAATAAACTAAAAACTGTCATCATCTCTGTGCATTTGGTGCGCAAATCTGTAAAACTCAAACTCTCATATTGTAGTATGGTCTATTCTAATAGTTTACATCGCTAAGTTGTCCAACATTAAATTGGTGATATTGTGAGTTACACCAGGAAAAGGCTTTAATTTTGTTATTATTCCATACCATTACCATATCAAAAAGAAAAATGAACTTTGATTCAACTGTACTTTGCTACTTGCTGTTTTTCACACGATATTACAGTATCCCTTGGGATTTTACTGTTTGTTAGGCCTATTGGGCTGTTTTCTACCATAACACGTATGTAGAGGTAACATTTTGGCCATAGCCATGTCAGATTAGCAGACAGTGTGCTGGTAATGTAAGTTGAAGTAATATTGTGTGGGGGCGACAGTGGCTCAGTTGGTAGAGCATTAGCCTTTGAGCCTGAAGGTTGTGGTCGAGCTCACCACAAGACTTTCTCCACCAACTCCCACTGATGTCTGCTGTTGTTGTGTCCTTCGCAAGACACTTAACCTCTGGGAACACCTGATGGGTGCCAGTGGGTGAAGTGTCCTCAGGTAAGACACTTCACCCCCATTGCCT